GTTGAAGACTACGCCATTGGTATTGACAAACGCAACTCCGTTGAGGATTATGCTATTGGCATTGATAAGCGTGGAGGATCAGTTGAGGATTATGCCATTGGCATCGACAAGCGCCATGCAGGCCATTAAGCTCGCTCAGTTTGCCGAGTATGATGCCAACACATTTGCGAATACAGAACTGTCTAGCGTTTGAACAGATTTATACACGATGTGCAAGGAGTGTTGTTGAATGTAGTGTCCGTATCAAGTTCTCTAGCACTACAGTGTTGCATGATGATAATGATGATATTTCATTGAACACCGTATACATTACTCATTCCAATGTCTTTTTAACCGATCGAGCTAAGGCAGCAGCACTAGCAGAGAGTATTATATTAGCAAGTATGCCCTAGAATAGATCATTGAAAGTGAGCCATATGTTATAAGAGACGATGGTACGTTCCAATATATTGAAACGTACCGTCATCTCTAATAAGAAACAGCTACGTAGCGCTGATCTATATACTTGTGATTATCCAACTCGCGTGAAACAGAAACAAATCATATATTGCTATCATGGACATTTAAGCCTTATTCTATGTACCACTGACACACACCAACTGTTTCCCCGTTAATGAATCCCATGCGTCGTCTTCAACCTATTGTCCTCGGCCCATCGAGCAATAGCATCGAAATCACCACATGTATGCTCAAAGCCCCATCCCGTACTTCCCTTATCATTCGGAGGCGCAGGAATCCATTCTAGAGTCGTGTCCGCGTGACACATGACAGCCTGTCTCAGGTAGTCCCAGCAATGCATGAGATGCGCTGCATTTACTTGGTCGAGGTTTCCTTCTCGAGCGGCGTAATAGCCCTCTCGGGTCATGTACTAAGAGAAATTAGCATGAGCCGTTCTTTCATGACATTGTTGTTATAGAGTAATATACTTACAATGCAGTGGAGCTGGTGGAACACGGAAATCATTGCGCGTTGTTGGGGGAGAGACTGATCCAGACCAGGCTGGTCGGGAAGTGCTGTGTCGTTATTGATATTCACGAAGCCTCGTCCAACTGGTAATGTATTAGTATATAATTTCATCATCGTCCTGGACATGCAAGGAACTCACTCGGCATCAAGTCGTCCCATGCCTTTTCTGCCTCAGGACTGAGAGGTTCTCCATACAACGTCTGAAAAACGAAAAGCTTTCGAGTTGGGGCTGACAGGTAACATCATTAATTTGACTGCATTGATCTGGAAAAGAAGAATGGAACCCAAACCTGTCTTCGGGGGTAACCAAGGAACATCCTTTTCCTTGTGATGCGTTTGTCGGAAGTAATGGATGAGGCCTCCCAACAGCCCGATATTCGACAATAAGAGCAGCGCAATGAGAGTCCAGACAGCTTTCGAGCAGGGCCGTTTCCTGTCTCGTCTCGAATACGAGCGATCCTCTAATAATGTGTCTTTTTCTTCTTCGGCGATGGTTGATTCTTCGGAGTTGCGCACCGGTACTTCTTTGTACCCATTAGATGAGCGATCTGCCATTTTGATTTCTCTGGACGGAAAGAAATAAGAAAACATGAATAGATATCAATTAGGCTACAGATAAACCTCCTTGCAGGCCTTCAAAACTAGTAGTCTGGTTTGTACATGCCTGGGATTTATGATGGATGTAGGCGCGGAATCGATTGGTTATGGAAGCGGCGCCTGCGCCAAAGGACCCACTCGCCGTTATCCATCAATGCTATGGAGTTCAGTCAGCCAACTTTGCGTGTGCATTGGAGCAGCTGGCTGTCACCTCTCCTGGTATGTCTGTAAAAGAGTGTAATGGTGAATATGGGTTTAAGCTGGTATGGCGTACTCGGTTTGGTCCAGCTTATTTCATCCACCATTGTTTACGCCTCGGATCCATGCGCCCAGATCGACCACTATGTAACATTAGGGAAGAAACAAGGTACATGTGCATTGATTCAATATGACTGGTTTTTGCAAGTAATGATTGACACATTGCAGGGAGGAATAAAATCTCCGGGATCCCAGGCCATCTGGCATATGATTGTCTTCGGTCGATGCCATTTCGCTCAGATCTGGCGGTGAGGTTTGTGGACGACTATGCCAAATATCTACAGTTTCATGCTACGGCATCTATGCTGAAAGGTAGCTCAGACTCCTCCAGATAGTTCCCTGGTATAACTAAGCTAATAATAATCTGAATCAGACCCCCCAAGCGGCTATATTTCAACCGGGGCTGATTTGTGGGGAGGATTGCAGAGAATCCGACAAAAGGCCAGCCACAATATATATTCGAGCCAGTACGATTTTGATTCTGATCTCAAGTACCTTACCTCACGGGCAAATGATGGCCATCTCAGTGTTGGGCTGTGTTCTCTGGAAATCATGCACTTTGAGCACGACATGCCTCTGGTGTCGATTTCACCGGATGGGGTTCAGCTTCCACGAATATATACGTACTGTAAGCTTTTTGGTGTTCCAGTTGTGACTTGATAGAAGGGTAGATGGCTCAGTCGCAGGAATATGCTATAGATGACGCCGAGATGAAGCTTCGCGGGACCGAGGCTGTGATCTCATCGGTTTATCGTATTGAAGACATGGATCCGGTTTATTATTTGCAGGCTAATATCGGTGTAACCATTGGTCTTCAAGATCCTGATGCTCGGTATACCCGATCAGCCAATAATTGAAAGCGTAACGACTAATGTGCAATCCAGATATAACCATCTGTTTCCCTCACCCGCTGCAGCATTTTCAGGGATGTACACAGGAGGGCTGTGGACCAACAATCTGGGTTCCTGGCCTGGGAAGGCCAACCAAACCGTGGAATTCAGCAATGGAACCAGATTGACAGTGGAAACCACTGCATCAGTGACGTTGGATCGTGGGTTGGATTTCTCCAGTGGGGAATCACTCTTTCAAACTGCCTGCATGCCTAATAAGGAGAGCCGCCCTCCCGATCCCCACCCAGCACTCGCGGTAGGGAAGTCTCCATACTCAATTCCACTGGGTGGGTCGTCGATGTATCCGGCACCAATCGTACATCACGAGAAGGAACTTGTAAGAGGGTACTATCTCCATGAAGAAAGGCTTGACGATGTTGCCGTACTACAGCTCCCAACGTTCAGGCTCACTGGAGAGAGTCCTGTGTCGCTGGCGAGAGTTGCAGTTCAGTTCCTCGAACGCGCTAGAAAGGATGGAAAAGAGAAGCTCATCATTGATCTATCGAACAATATGGGGGGCGACATCAACCTGGGATTTAATCTGTTCCGGATCTTGTTCCCAGACAAACCAATCTACACAGCCACTCGCTTCCCCTCAACAGAGTTGATTGGCCTGATGGGTCGGGTCTTCTCATCTTCCCAGGGCCATGAAGCAGTCCACCATGACAACACGCTGGACTTGCCTCTGATCTTTCAGAATGCGGTTACACCAGACCATCGACACTCATTCGGCAGCTGGGAGAAGCTGTTCGGTCCCGTCGAAATCGCAGGTCAGAACATGTCCCATCTACATGCGACGTATAATTTCACCACGGCATCAACCGAGGACAATCCGATCAGTGGGTATGGGGACATTGAGTTTGGACCTTCTACTCAGCCATTCCACGCTGAGAATATAATCATCGTACGTCTTCCATTCAATCTGCATAGCACTGATACTAATACCAACAGATGACAAACGGCATCTGTGCGTCCACATGTACAATTCTAGCAAGATTACTCAAGCAACAAGGGGTGAGAAGCATCGTTTTCGGAGGGCGTCCTAGAGCAGCCCCGATGCAGCTGCTCGGGGGCAGTAAAGGCGGCCAATATTGGTCGTTAGTTACAGTAGGCCACTACATTGACAAGGCGCGCGAGATTGCGGTAGACACAAGCAGAACCAGTTCTCCCATTCTCTCCGCAGATGAATTGGCTCGGTTTCTAGAGTTGGCTCCTCCCCCACTCACAGGATTCCCGATGCGAATTGACAGCCGTGGAGGGAGTGGGGTGAATTTCCGCAACGAATACGACGAGAAGGACCCAAACACTCCGTTGCAGTTTGTTTACGAAGCGGCGGACTGTCGGTTGTTTTGGACGGCGGAGAATTATGTCTTTCCGGACAGTTCGTGGGTTGCAGCAGCTGATGCGATGTTTGGAGGTGCTTCTTGTGTGGAGGAGTCAGCTGGGCATCATATTACTCCTTGACCTTTTCATTTAGTGAAAATATATATTTATTTCACTTATTACTACTGAATCATAAGCATCACACGCCCCTTGTCTAAAGTTTCAATTATTCCCACACTATGTATGCTTAGCATCCACCAGCCGCTGACTATCCGCCCAGGCCATGATCCCATCAAAATCCTTACATACATGCACTGCACCTGTACCATCCGTACCGGGCTTGTCTGTCCTTGGATCCTGCCCTTCCAAGGCGGTATCCCCACAGCAGAGCAGCGACTGGCGCAGATACTGAAAACAATGGTCGACATGGTCATGACTGTGGACATGGACCTGTTTATGAGAGTGCTCGTTGGAATGTGTTTCGTCGCGCGAATGGTGCGCGTTCAAATCTGCTGCCGATTTGGCTGCTGCCAGGTCGTCATAGACAGACATGATTGCGTACTGGAATGTAAATTAGAGACTATGAAACCTATACCAAGTGGTCTCCTGGAAAGGACATGACGTACCAAGCAGTGTAACTGGTGGAATACTGCAATCGAATAGGTATCCTGACCTAGCTGTTTGATCGGGGGAGGCAAGGTGTATCTCTCCGTCTGATTGACTGCGATAAAGCCGTTTCCTCCTGTCCAGCTTGTTATTTGGATTCCATCGCGAGACATATATTGCAAAACCCACGAGGCATATACGACAACCAATTGTTCATCGTCGCATTTCTGGATTCCTCTGTTTTGTGATCTGACGCAGCCAACGGATCAGAGCGAAAGATGACCCTCCGAGCAGGAACTACATCAGTTCCCATTGGTGGTTAACCTTGAGATTCCATGGACATATATATACATAGATAGATATATGTGGATCAACTCACAGTCCCCAACCAAACCATTTAGCTCGCCCAGCAACCGCTCCGGGGTTTTCCTAGTAGCCTGGGCGAAGAAAATGCCGAAGAACAAAATTTCCATGAACCCAACAAAGGCAAGTGAGGTGTAAATGATCGGACGCAGACAATCCCATCTTTTCGGTCGGTTCTTGGCAAAGTGTTCGGGTTTGAGGAGGTATTCGTCAGATTCTCGATGTGTATAGAGATCGGACATGGTGGCTAAGTCTGGCTAAGTCTGCTTAATCGAATTGGGAAGAATTGACTACGTGAAAGAGGGTACTATTCTATTCTACGTCCGATTCAGGTACATGTAAAGCTATCACATTGATTTCGTTGTTTGGCGCTGAGCTGCGCCAACCGCTGCGCCAAATCTGGTGCATTCGTTCATATTGCACAACCAAGAAACGAATTAGCGCTTAGTTTCAAGGACTAGTCTCACCAATGTCACCATTCAAGATCCACTACCTTATGTGAGCTGTCCAAAAGTCCGTAAGATCGGCAGTTTACCCCTCTTTGGTTTTCTAGCGAATCAGCTCTCAGCTGGAATGCAGCTGCCACCTGGATCTTTCTTCCTGTCTTTCTTCGTCGCATTACATTGCTGTATAGTGTGCAGCGTTGTCTCGGCTTCTCATCAAGGGTCATGGCCTTGAAATGGATAGAAGAGCAGCCCCTCGTCCATCGTAGAGATATCCAGATTTCCAAGAAATCCCGCATTGCAGCTGGTCTACTCGTTCTCCTTGTGCTCTGGCGGTATGGTCTCCCTTCTTCGACTCACTTTGGTTTCTCGTCGAAGGAACCCAAGCAGTTAGGTGCCGTTGCTAGTGAACATACGCTGTGCAGTCGGTATGGAGCGGACATGCTGGAACGAGGTGGGAATGCGGCTGATGCTGTAAGCCTTTTTCCTAATCTTCTCCTTTTCGTGCGCGTTGATGTTTCTTTCTAGATGGTCGCTACAATGTTTTGTATTGGCGTTGTAGGTATGATGCACATTGCCTGTGACGAAAGACGAACCAACTGATGGACAAGCCCAGGCATGTATCATAGTGGAATCGGGGGAGGCGGTTTTATGCTCATCAAATCCCCCGATGGCGCCTTTGAATTTGTGGATTTCCGCGAAACAGCCCCGGCTGCTGCAATTGTCGCAATGGGAACGAATACATCCGCCGGTCTGAGGAGGTACGAGACTCCTCTGCTCTCCCACTTCATGCGATCGCTCACCATTAATCCATGCCTAGTGGTGTTCCTGGGGAAGTGCGCGGGCTTGAATATCTACATCGAAAATATGGCGTCCTCCCCTGGTCGGTGGTTCTGGAACCGGCCATCCGCATTGCGCGAGATGGGTTCCTCGTGCAAGAAGATCTGGTCAACTATATCGACATGGCGGTCGAAGAGACAGGTGAAGATTTCATGTCCAACAATCCCTCCTGGGCAGTTGACTTTAGCCCTTCCGGGTCCCGAGTCCGGCTGGGGGAGACGATGACTCGTCAACGACTAGCTGCGACTCTGGAGAGGATCTCCGCCGATGGTCCAGATGCGTTCTATTCCGGTCCCATCGCGGAGGATATGGTTGCTTCGTTGCGGAACGCCGGGGGGATCATGACTCTGGAGGATCTGGCTAATTATACGGTTGTTACTCGCGATACCTCGCACATTGACTACCGGGGATATCAGATTACCAGTACAACCGCACCATCGAGCGGGACTATCGCGATGAACATTCTCAAGGTGTTGGACACATATGATGAGTTCTTCACCCCTGGAACCACTGAACTAAGCACCCATCGCATGGTAGAAGCTATGAAGTTTGCATTTGGCCTGGTATGCATCTCGTCCTGGATTACAAACGGTACTTCAACCTGCCCGACTAACAGCAGCACCAGAGAACGCGTCTCGGGGATCCGTCATTCGTGAATGGTATGGAAGAATATGAACATCACATCCTGAGTGCAGAAATGATCGACCATATCCGCCAGAGTATATCCGACTCGCACACGCAGGATACATCGGCGTATAACCCAGACGGCCTGGAAGTCGTCAACAGCACAGGGACAGCGCATATCGCAACAGTCGACCACCAGGGCTTGGCCATCTCCGCGACAACCACTATCAACCGCTTGTTCGGCAATCAGATCATGTGTGACCGGACGGGCATTATCATGAATAATGAGATGGATGGTAGGCTCCACCGGCTCTAACTGCAGCTCAACTATCAATGCTGACATGACCTCGCAGACTTCTCCATTCCCACATCATCGCCGCCAATATTCGGCCATACTCGATCCTCGACCAATTTTGCTGAGCCCGGAAAGCGTCCCCTCTCGGCGATTTCGCCAGCCATCATTCTCCATCCCAATGGGTCGCTATTTCTGATTGCCGGCTCGGCCGGCAGTAACTGGATCACCACCACAACCGTGCAGAATATCATCTCCGGTATTGACCAGAACTTGGGAGCGCAGGAGATCCTGGCGACACCGCGTGTCCATCATCAATTAATCCCCAATCATGCCATTTTCGAGACCACATACGATAATCGGACGGTAGACTTCCTCTCCCAGCTAGGGCATGAAGTGACATGGTACCCGCCTGCCGCGAGTATGGCCCATTTGATTCGCGTGAGCCCAGACGGGGGATTCGATCCTGCTGGAGATCCGCGGCTGAAGAACTCCGGGGGTGTGGTGGCAGTACAGCGTGGCAAGTTCTGGTAGTCGGTCTCAGGCTTTATGGTGGAGTTAAACACATACGGAGATACATGGAAACATACATACATCTTAATTGAATTACATCTGAGTAGAGGAAGAGAAGAGTAGTTCTAGGTATCCTGCGTGACAATCTCATCCAACTCATTGCAAAACTCCCTCACTTCCTCGACCGTATTGTAATGGACAAAACTAACCCGGATCAAACCATCGGCACTCACCGGCTTCAACACATCCCACGTCGGGCGCGGCGCCAAACATATACCCGAGGTAATTCTAAACCGATTTCTCGTATTCACCCGCATAGCAACATCCCCGGATGATCGGCCTACGACCTCAAACGTCACAATGGAGACCCGCTGGCTCGGGTCACTATTCCGGCGCCCAAAGACCCGGTAGACACCCGGCTTGCTAAGGAGATATTGAAGCAGGATCTTGACCAGGACAGTCTCCTGCCGGACAATCCGATCCCAACCAACGATATCTTGGAGATAGGAAACGATCGGCGAACACATAAGCTGGAGCTCGAAACTGGGCATCCCTAGAGCCAATTTCCCATCGAGAGAAGACGAGGAAAGGAAGTAGTGATTGATGCTAGTCATGTATCGGTCCTGCGCTTTGCGGCTGGCATATAGCGTGCCCATATGGGGACCGAACAGCTTGTACCAGCTGAAACAGTAAAAGTCGACGTCGAGCTCTTTCACGTCCACGGGACGATGGGGCACGCAGGCTACCCCGTCGACGATGAGCATACAGCCCGGAATAGCGTGCACCACGTCCGCAATCTCGCGGATGGGATGGATGGTTCCAACGACGTTAGAAACGTGGTTGCAGGTGACGAGCCGGGTTTTGGGCGAGAGGAGAGGTTTAAGGCTGTCGGTGGTGAGGACCGGGTCATCGGGGCTGTTCGGGGTGGTGGTTGGGGACCACCATTTGATGGTGATTCCTAGATCTCTGGAAAGATGGATCCAGGCACTGGCAGCTGCCTCGTGGCAGAGAGTCGAGCAGACGATTTCACAATCGCTGTTTAGCATGGGTTTAAGAGATAGTCCTAGCAGGCGAAATAGACACGTGGTTGATTGGCCGAAGGCTGGATTTTACAGTACATTTGCCCTGGATTAGCATGCACCCTGAAGACAAAAGACATGATAGATTTACTTATTTCGTCTGGCAACGCATTAATAAAGGTGGCCACCTTCCCCTTGTTCCCCGTATAGGCCGTGATTGCCTCCATGCTCTTCGCATCGACGCCCGGGGGAAAAGGGAAGGAAAACATGAATTTGCTGGTACTGTTGATCCCATTGGCATCTTGTACTCCTTCATATATAGAGAATGTGATGGTGACTATAAGTATCTACCTACCTTTCGATTGCTTCCTTCAGAACAACCGTCCCGGACGCATTATTGAAAGCAGCCGTCTCTCCTTCCAGAACTGGAAAATGAGATCGGACACTTTCGACATCTATAACATTGTCCAGAGGTGTTTCTGCTTGTGTAGTGCCATTCGTGCCAGAGCTCAGTGGGACCGAGTCTTTGTCGACATCATGAAGTGATGAGTTTGCTACCGATTTCATTGTCGATGATCCACTTTACTGTACTGTGAGAGTTTCATGGGTTATCCGTATCAAAGGAATTATATTCTTTTATTGCAAGTAATAAAGTAGAAATGCAACTGCAGTCATTGATGCATCAGGCGCCTAACATCCATCTTAGCGCAGGGCCACCAAAAAAGGCGCCAAAGAGCAGTCGACCGGCGCAAATCATAATTTATAGGTTTAGGTGAACTTAGGAACAAAGCCAGAATACCTAATATCGACACTGAAACGTTACAGAGTAAATGGCCAATCCTCAAACCACCCGTGTAGCCGTGGTTGGTGCTGGGATTAGCGGTGTTCTGGCCGCTGGGCATCTCCTTGCGACAGGTCTTGAAGTGACTGTTTTCGAACGCAATGCGGCTCCCGGCGGAGTCTGGTATGCTATTCCCTTTTTTGTCCACTTTCTACTCGAGGAGCTGATGCCTGGGCAAGGTTATACGATGAACAAACACCGATCGAGCCATCGTATCCGGCCATGAAGCCGTCAAAAGCCGACCCGTCAGCGACAAATGGACAGGAAACAAGCAAATTTATGCTAGAACATGCCCCGCCTGGGTGAGTGGATCTCTCTCTCTCTCTCTCTTTTTTTTTTTTTTTTTTTTTTTTTTTTTTTTTTTTTTTTTGGTATTTTGGAAAATTGGTTTAATGTGAATCAGGCCGTGCTATTATAACCTCCAGAACAATGTCCCAACGCCACTACTGGAGGTGTCGCTTAAGCCATGGCCAGACGGAACGCCAGATACTGTGAGACATGATGTAATCCAACGGTTTATTCAGGATATGTCGATTGAGGCCAAGGTACATGATGTTACGCGATATGGAGCGCGAGTAAAAAAGGTTGTGAAGGATGGTGCAGAATGGAAGATTACCTGGTCTACTCCGCAGGTGGGCATGCAATCTGAGACCTCAGAGTTCGAGCAAGTATCTGTAAGCTACTATAGGGCTCTTAACAGCTCAAGAGCTAACCATCAATAGCGCTTTGATGTGGTGGTAGTGGCGTCTGGGCACTACCATGCGCCCCGTGTTCCAGATATTCCGGGTTTATCAGACACGAAGAGAAAGTATGGGTCTCGAATCCTGCATTCCAAGGAGTATCGACGGCCGGAAAGCTTCAGGAACAAGGTTCGTGGTCTTGCCCGGGAATTTATTTAGAACTCATGCCAACACACACAGAACATTCTTATGATCGGTGGAGGAGTCTCGTCGATCGACATCGCCAACGATATCAGTCCATTCGCCAACACCATTTACCAGAGCACGAGGAACAGTAAATTCGATCTCGTGGAGAGTATGCTCCCCAAGAACGGGGTCCGAGTCCACGAAATATCTCATTTCGAAATCCAGAACCACAGCGACGACGCATTATCAGAACACGAGCCACTACCGTTGACAATCCATTTCGAGTCTGGCGAGTGTCTCCACGGGATTCATTTAATCATGCTCTGTACGGGCTATCATATCACATTTCCCTATCTAGAGGATTACCACAGTGATGAGACAACACTGCAAGACGCGGACGAAAACATTCTCATAACGGACGGCACGCAGGTGCATAACCTATACCAGGATATATTCTACATTCCCGACCCCACGCTTGTCTTCGTAGGACTGCCTTACTACACCTTCACATTTTCAATCTTCGACTTCCAGGCCATTGTTGTTGCCCAGGTACTCTCCGGTACCGTCCAGCTACCAACTAAGACTGAAATGAGATCGGAATACAACGCCAAGGTGGAACGAGTCGGTCTAGGAAAGGTGTTTCATTCGATTCTGGGGACGGAGGAAAACTACGTGCATGATTTGTTGACGTGGGTGAATACTAGTAGGGCCGCGCAGGAGCTTGTCGCGATTAAAGGGTTTAGCTCGAGCTGGTACGAGGCAAAGGAGGCACTGAGACAGAAATACAGAGCCCAGGTTAACAAGTAGTTCTACAGCCGACGAGAATCGATCTGGAATAAGCTATTCTAGATGTTAAATTTCATGCGGCGCCTGCTTCGGCGCCAAAGTCCTTCCCCGCGGCAGTTCTCCACTAGGGTCCGTTGAAGTAACAAATTGCCCACGGCACCCCTTTGCTTATAAAATACACAAACTGCATAGGAATAGTCATATCTCAAAATAGAATAATATATAACATTCCATATGGTCGTGGAATATTTCCAGGAAAAACTAAACAAATGGCGATATTCGCCGGTGGCAGACTCGCCAGACGAGGAGGAGGGAAATGCCACTGTCAAGCCCAAGTACGAACATTCCAGCCCTTGCGTATAATATGGATCCACAGCTAATCCAACTCAGCAAAACTAGCTTTGTGCCAGTATATGCGGTGCTTACCATCATAAGTCTCATTACAGTGACCGTCTCTCTTGTCCACCTCCTCTCTGGAACAGGCACAACAACAACATTTCCGCCCTGCAAGAACCCGGCAGTCCGTCGTGAATGGAGGTCTCTCACAAGTAGCGAAAAGCAGAACTTCACACAGGCAGTCATCTGTCTAGCCAGTATTCCGTCGGCGTGGCAGCCGAATGGAACGATATATGACGACTTTGCGATTTTGCATGGGGGGATTGGATCGTGGTGTTCGTGCCATCTAGCTTTATGATCACTCTCCATAGAATGCAAAATATAGCTGACTGATAGAGATAGGCCATCGTTCGGCCTCCTTTCTACCCTGGCATCGATACACGCTAGTCGTGTTTGAGAAGGCCCTCCGAGAGCACTGCGGCTTCACAGGCCAGGTTCCGTATGTTGAATTCCCATCTTACTCGCAGCACACTTGCACATATCTTCACGATTACACCGTCTAACGAGACAGATACTGGGACTGGACGCTGGACTGGATGAACCTGGCCAATTCTTCCATCTTCAACAGCGTGGACGGATTCGGCGGCGACGGAGACCGTACCGGGCCGGAGGTCGTAGGTGGGGGACGCTGCGTGATTGATGGCCCCTTTGCTGGGCTGCAACCCATATTATATAACCATACCTATGTGCAACATTGCATCGCGCGCGGCTTTCGCGACGGTGACCAAGCTGGTCGTATATCAGGTGAGTACTACCGGCCCGAGTCGATTGGTGGTATCCTCCGCAAACAATCATATGTGGAACTGGTGAGGGAGGTCGAGATCTATTTGCATAATCCGCTGCACCAGGGCGTGAATGGGGACTTTTTGGCCATGACGGCTGCTAATGGTATTCACTCTCTCTCTCTCTCTCTGTGTGTGTGTGTGTGTGTGTGTGTGTGTGTGTGTGTTATTCGGACAAGGGCTAACAGATCAGATCCCCTTTTCTATGTCCACCATGCACAACTGGATAGACTTTGGTGGCGTTGGCAGCAGGAAAACCCCGACGTCAGGCTGAGGGAATATCACGGAAAACACATGTACAATTCGACTGGGAACGCGACGCTGGATGACATACTCATGTATGGTGGGTTTGCGGAGGATATCCCGGTATCACGCGTGATGGACACGAAAGGGGGGTTTTTATGTTATACGTATTAGGGGTGTGGAGTTAGAATAGATATGAATGCTATGAATAAATCGTATCTAAACGTCTAAATGTATCGTGACTTCGTAAATCTAGAACATCCGACATGCGATAGGAAGACGAGGAAGAGCTGATATATATATCAATACGACCTTGCCGCAGTGATGGCACCCAGCGCTAGCGTGAACAATACAGCAGCCAGCAGAAAAGGCAACCCCACCCAGATTCCACCCAGCTGTAATCCCCACTGCAACGTCTTGGCCAGCATAGGACTACCGATCACTAGACCTCCGTACAACATCGTTGTGACTCCCGTGAAGACAATTCCAATGTGCATTGGGTCCACCATGCCCGTGAGGAAACTCCTCGCCGTGACGGAAAAGGCAAATCCCAGGGCGAAGACCGTCTGCCCGAAGACCAGAGTCCCAGGCGAAGCGGCGAGGAACATCACAAAAGATCCGATGATGAGGCAGACGCCGTTGATCTGGGTGATTCGTTTGTCTTTCACCACGTCGTTGAGTTTGAAGCGTTTCACCAGGATGTACGAAAGGGCGGGAATGATGGCCGCCAAAACGAATAGATTGACTCCGGCCCGCAGAGAAACTAATAAGGATGCCTTGATTCAGATGGTCAGCATTGTTGACTTTATTATTCCATGCTCAACATAATCTGACCTTGTCAAATTTCCAGTGAAACTTGGCAGCAGCGTACTGCAGGGTAATGCCCGAAATCATTCTCCCGAGCTGGCAGACGAAGAAGGAGGCCATGATCAACAGAATGTTCACATCTCGGATCCAAGAGGAATCCTTCCTGAACTCGTCCACAATCTTGCGCCAACGGTGGTTGATCGACATGAGCCATGTGGAATGCGTCTCCTGCGCAGAGGATAAGAAGTCACCATCGCTGCCTCCTTCGCGCTTGGAACCCGCCGGCCGGATATCTGGCACTACCACGTAGGCGAACAAGATGCCTAGGACCATGAAAATCGCAGCCCCGAAGACGGGGATCCAGGGGTTGAAATTTGCTAGAGCAGCACCGGCGGGGACGGAGACTAACTCGGCCATGAGGACGGCGGCATGGACTTGGGAGAATGCCGTAGTTCTAACAGCATGTCAAGTAAAAAACAGAAATCAAAAGGGTCATATCGAAGATACAACATATCCTCTTACCTCAAACCTGCAGGGCATGAATCGGCTATCATCGCAAATGCCATAGAGGATACGGAAGCTCCTCCTCCACCGATCAGTTGCCAGATACCGGAGAACCATACAGCGCGGAGAGGGAAAATATCGGGGAACCAGGCTTTGCTTTTTTAGTCTTTTGGATGGTAGGAAATCAGGCTAAGAGATTTAATTTAACCATCAACTTACTCACGACCCCGACCCAGATGTCGCTCAGAAGACAACCGACCATGGCAAGTAAGAGGACCTTTGTACGCCCAAACCGATCTGCGACGACTCCATAGGGTATAGAAACTGCGATAGCTATCGAGGCAGATGAGCCAGGCTACAGGAATACCCACCAGAGTATAGGAAGTACCTGGAATATTATCAAACATCTCCCGCCAGCCATTGATCAAAGCCAGTTCACTCTGCACCGGCTCAACCTTGCAATCTCCCATTTCTGTGCCTGCACCTCCCGAAGCCTGAGTATAATACGCCCTACAGATGATCTGTTCGAAAATCGTCAGGCGGGGTGCGACGATGATTTGGCCGGCTATATCAGTAATCAGGAAGGTCAAGCTGGCGACTACCGCGATATAGAGCGGATTGTAGTTCCTGCTCTGTTTGTGTCGATATAGTCCGTCCGGGATAGATGACCGTCGATGCTCCCGGTCGGCGCCGATTAACGATACATCTTCGCTGCAGTCGCTATAATCGTGGTCTACCATGGTGATATGGTCTTTCGGTGTGGATGGAGAGGTGCCCGACATGACGGAAGGGGGGTGGGGGGGGGAAATTCGGGCGACCGTTAAAACCCCAGGATCGGGGTGTTGTTTATATAAAATTATTTATAGTAGTTGAGAGAGGGAAGGGCAGCTGATATATTGAAGAAATGAGCAGGCGGTCAGACTCACTACTAGTGGATCATGCTTCAACTTATGCCCCAGTCAGCTGCGCCCGCCTGACCAGTGACTCAACCCTAACTTGAAACCAAAATCATGGAGATTCACCGATATACTCCTATCTATCCCTTTCATACATAAGGAAAATTCCGTTAATCTAATAATATACCTGAAAGGGTGATACCACTGATCTTATTGAAACACTCAGGTTCCTATCCCAATCTTCTTAGGAGGGGTGACTCAGATGGAGGCCAGTTTTTGACTAGCCCAGCTGATTAAATTGCTGATCGTAGATTTAAGTGGGGTTTTACCCCACAGGAACAGACTACGATGGAGTACGGAGGAAGTATTGCTGGTCGCCAACGGCCCGCTACACCCGCTACTAGTACCGAGGTAGGGCGCCAATAGATCGTATTAGAGCAGCTCGATCTTTTCCCACCCTATCACGGTAGCATTCTTTTTAGTTGACGATCTTATCCCACCTCGGCCAAAGCAGCATTCCGATTTTCTTCCGGCGAATTTCGGCGCCGAGATCAGCGAAACGCGTCCTGGCGTCTATCGGAAGATGTATTTAGGCGCAGGTTAATGATCTGTTATCAGCAAGCTCAGACCCTCGGGACGAGGAAGTATATTGACCAAGGGGAATGGGCAGCATGAGTTTCAATCAAAGTAATCTCAAGTTATGATTTTGACTGATTTTTTAAAGTGAGCTGTACTAAGAAATACGTTTGATCAGCTCTTAGGCGCTACTGCTAAGAAGCGGTATTACTGACTAAGCAATACATAAGCTTAGTTATGCCAGAAGAGCACCTGAGCTCGCCGAGGTAGATGATCTATGATGTACAAGGCACAATGTCCCAAAGTGTAGTAGAGATGTACTGACAGCACCCTTGGAGACCGAATGAATATAATAACACAGGCAAGTGGGCCATCCCGAAGGTTTCAACGATAATAACACCCCAGCTAGTGAGTCGTGTACGTGACATGGGTGATATGAGATACAGTCCAACACCTCAAGAGGAGATTTGAGGATGGCCTCCAATGGGATCTAATCCAGATGCACATCCAGTCCTCTAGCTAGTTAGGGAGATCAAGGGTCGAGACGGTCATCAATTATTGCCCCCCGCATGATAATCCTCGACATGCATACTAGATGTATGTCGTAAATGACTGGTCAAATCCCCATCCACGTCGCTAGGCAATCCGCAAAGGCTACCCACCCACACACTTTCTCTCACCCCTTTCCTTGGTCTCTTGCTCGCGGGCCGACCAGAAGCTGCAGACTGTCAATTCAGCCAGCCACCCCGTTCACCTTCGGACCAACCCCGCCCGTAGCTTTGCAGGATACAGATGTCTCGGTGTATGCATTCATTCATTTATTTATTTCATCACACAGCGTAGGTATTCATGTGATTTTATAGCTATCAAACGACATAGCTCTACAGCAGGGGAAATCGTCCAAATTTTGTCCACTAACAACAACCGCCAGAAGCAAGACTTCCGTAGTTTCCACCCTACCAACCAAATCTGAAGGGTACTTCCGTGCAGAAAGATTACGCACAGGATAAACGACGAGTAGTGAGGGAATCTAATCTTGCCGATCATCTTGCTATCGATGATTGCCAACCATCCATCCTTCATGCCCCGCCATAGTCTGGAATCAAGATAGGCCCGTGCACCTGCTCCCCCACTTGGCCACCACAAGCTGCTGTTTGTATATATCACTGCACAGGATCTCGGATTGCACCATCTGCACTGCGGATGCTCTCAGAGAGTGTGTTCCCCTGATCCTATTCTGTCGTCAGTTCTCCCCTGAAACCTCGCCCGCGGATGGGCTTGGATGCGCGCTTAGATCTCCCCGCTTTTCTTCAACCCCTCCCACACCCAACTGGAAGGGCCCGCCTCGTTCCTCCATTTCAGTAGAGTTTGGACTATTTCCTCGGCTGGGGGAATCCTCTCATATCCCGAGAGGGTCATCCCTGGAAGTTCGGTCAATGTCAGGGGGCCAACGGCGTAAGACGGGATGCTGGACATGCCGGCTCCGGCGGAAGAAGTGTAATGAAGATGGGCAGCCTTGCTCGAACTGTGAGGCGCGCGGGGTTTTTTGCCATGGCTATGGCCCAAAGCCATCGTGGAAGGATCGTGGGGAAAGGGAGAGGGAGGAAGCGCAGCGGTTGCAACTGATTTCTAGAGCGGGAACTCGTCGTGCGCGCGCGACCACTATGAACTCCATAAATGATGAGCCCCGACGGCCCTCGATCGACATGAACACATCTGATATGGGTTCGCCCATTCAGATGGGGCTCGCGTCCTCGGACTCGTCCATTTTCGAGTCGTCCAGCCTCGGCCTGCTTGATATCCCGGAGCTGGAATCCTCGCTCTGGGATCCGACACTGGATATCATCCAGGTGCAACCTCCCCCATCGGACCCCCCCAGCGCTCTGCAGTTCCCGTCCATTCTCGGTGATGGTCTGGAAGAGAAGGAGATTGACTTGATCATGTACTATGTCGTAGAGGTGTTCCCGAGGCAGCATTCTTCGTACCAGGGAACCTCGGTGATGGAGCGGTCGTGGCTGCTTTGCGTGCTCAAGCGGTCCTCGAGTTTCTATTATACAAGTCTGAGCCTGAGTGCACACTACCGACTGATGAGTATGCCGGAAGACGGCCAAGGGCGGACTGCCTTGCTACAGGAATATGAACGATACAGGACGTGCAGTCTATTTCGCTTCCAAGAGCTGGTGAGCTCTGCCGCACGGCCACAGTCACCTATATCTACGGGAGTCGTGGGGGAGTCTGTGATCTGCGGGGTTCAGATTGCCATGCTGGAGGTAAGAATGATCATCATCGTCCTTTTCTTCTGGCAAATATTTGGTAACAGACTGGACTAGGCGGTAAGTAAGAACATGCAGTCCTCCTACCTGCACCTCAGTTCAGCAGCGCTATCACTGGCACAACTCCTAGACAACACCTCAGCCCTTGATTCCAACTCTGTATCCACAAATACCACCCCGCAATCCTCTCTACTAACCACAGGCCTATTCCATGCGCGTTCCATGGAATACAAGGCTCTCCGGTGCTTCAGCATCATCTTAATATGGAATGATATCCTCCACTGCTCCGCGCAGCAATCTCTCCCAGCCGCGGCCAAAGCCTACCAAAAGCTCCTAGCGGATGAAAGCTTCATCTCGCTCTTCGTTGACATTGTGGGGTGCGAGGGCTGGGTGCTCGTCCCCATACTCGAGGCAATGCTGCTGGCCAACTGGAAGAAGGACCAGGAATCTAAAGGCCAATTGAGCATCCGTGAACTCCTCACCAAAGTCGACCACATCGAAGGAATCCTCGGCGACCGGATGAAGCGACTAGCCCCGGCCGTGCTCCAGCAGAAGGAGGCCGGGGTCTCGTCGCAGAGCCCCGAACAGATTAGGCTGGTCCACACATACATCTTTGCTCACGCGAGTTTCGTTCACCTCCACACCGTTGCCTCTGGCGCGCAGCCCAGCGTGCCCGAGATCCAAAAAAGTATTGACAAATCCTTAGCTGCATGGCAGCTTCTGCCCCCCTCTTTGATCAACTTCAAAACCATGGCGTGGCCATTCTGCGTGTGCGGTAGTATGGCCGTGGGTCCTCAGCGAGGGTTGTTCCAGAAAATCATGTCCGAGAACTTTGAAAATCAATCGACGTCGAGCAATCTCCATTGTCTCAAGTCTGTAGTAGAAGAGTGCTGGAAGAATTTCGATAAGCGTGTGCCAGAACAGAGTCCATCGTCTTATAATTGGAAGATCGTGATGGAAAAGCTAAATTTGAGTATCCTGTTCATATGAACTCGCTTCTGCACAGTTAGATATCTTGCAAGGTATATTTCTCCGACAGCACCTCACAGTATGGTGTTTGGTTCGAAGAACAACCTCTTTCTGTTTGTGTGTTCATTCCTTCAGCATGCCATCAACCGACACAAGTAGATCGAATGAAAGCACCTAGTAAATCCATACGCTCAAGCACTATAAGATAAATAAATATAAAAGACCCTCGTTATCCTCCCAGATACCAATCCAATCGCACCAAAGCCACGACAAACTAGACATCAAGCGCCCAGCTCCAGCACAGCCCACCAAATATCCAGATTCCTCACCGTCTCATGCCCCGCCCGCTTCCATTCCTCATGGGCCTCTCGCAGACGCGCCAGAGAAGCGAGGACCTCTCCCTCCTGCGCCTCCGTAAGCGCCTCCTCCTTCACGCGGCGCATGAACTTCTCCCCCTCCACGTACTGCACCTCAAAATGCCCCTCGAGAAAGGTAGGGTCGGGCGTGATTTTCCCATCCCTAATCACCATATATCCAGCGCCTCTGGCCGCTTCCAGAATCGACGCCTGGTCGAGCCCCGCGCGGACATTCTGCTCTAGATCCCCTGGCGCGCGAGGTCGTCGATACCGATAGAAGAGCCTCTGCGTCTGAGCCGCTAAAGCATGCACGTTCTGCTCCTCCAGCGAGATCTCATAAGAGTATTCGCACAGATACACCCGAGGCGCCTGCGCATCGACCGCCAACGTCCGGAAGAGGTCGTACACGCTCTGCGGGTTCGGAAAGTACCACAGACTATGGAAGAGGGCGACGGAGTCGAAGACCTCACGGGCAGGACGGTGCAGATCGCGCAGGAAAGACGGCGTGTCGGCGCGCAGAAAGGTGATCCGTGATCCTAGCTCGGATTTCCTTACGTAGTCGTGCGACTCTTTCACCGTGTAGGGACTGCCATATTCGGGCTGCGCGATGTCAATCCCTGTGATGTGGCCGGTTGGCCCGACTAGGAGAGCCAGCACGATGCATGATTCTCCCTGTCCGCAGCCGATGTCGAGGATCCTTTGCCCCGGGGTGATTCCCCAGGCGTCTGCGATTAGGAGACGGTGCGTGAAGCGCGGAATGTAGAATTTCGTTTTGAGCTTGGGGTCGTAGAGGCAGCTGGCTAGGATGGTTTCCATGGTTTCCATGGTTGGATTTTGAAAGTCAGATGATTTATTGCTTGAGTTGCTCTGGTGGATGGAGAGTGTGGCCGCCGACTATATATGTACATTGGATGCGCTTTGGACTGGGTGGTTGGCGCTGTGTGACGGACAAGTCCGCGCCTAACATACTTTTTTGTATATACGCCGCTTTTATCCCGTGCAGTTTATGAATGTCAGGGAGTATCGTCCACGATACCTTGACCAAAGCAAAAGAAAACGAAGTGCATCTTCATTTTCCACGAACACACTATCATAGTAAGCAAGCCACACGCGAAGATGACGAAAACAGAAGAAACCCCCCTTCACTTTTTCGATATCTTCTCCACCCTACCAGGTACGCATAGCTGTATCGAAATATAAAGACTGGTTCACCCACTAACCCAAGCAAAGGCACATCCAAATCATGGTCCTCAAACGTCTTGAAAATCCGCATGGTTCTCAACTACAAAGGCATCCCCTACACGCAAAGCTTCCATTCCTACCCGGATATCGCGCCTCTCCTTCAGAGTCTCTCGGTGCCTCCCCACAAACAGGGCCGATTTAAATACACTCTGCCGGCGATATGTCATCCCTCCTCGGTCACGTCAAGCCCCTCCGGTGCCATGATGGATTCTCTCCCGATTGCTTGCCATCTCGATGAGATCTATCCGGATCCTCCGCTCTTCCCGTCTGGGGAGGCTAGCTATACCCTTGCCCTGGCGATCGGAAAGCTCATGGTGCCCGCTGCACTGAAAACGTGCGATCTGCTTCTACCCAAAGCCGAGAAAGTGTTGGACGATCGGGGAAAGGAGTACTTTGTGCGGACCCGGACGGAAATCTTCGGGAAGCCGTTGTCGGAGCTGAGGCCCACGACGGAGGAAGGGGTGCGGCAGCTCGTCGACGGGATGAAGACGGATATGGAGGTTTTCATTCAGATGCTTCGGGGGAGAGGCGAGGGGAAGAAGAGTGGGCCGTTTCTGGAGGGAGAGAAGGCGGGATATGCGGATTTCATTTTGGTGACTTTTCTGTCGTGGAGTCATCGGTTTGATCTGGAGCTCTGGAGGGAGATTATGGATATGGGCAATGGGGAGTTTAGGGCGCTTTGGGACGCTTCTGTGCAGTGGTTGGAAGGGCAAGGGGAAGAGAAGGAATGGGTTGTCCCTCAGGAGATTCCTGTAAATTAACGCGATTTGTGAATAGAGCTCAGGCATTATATGTAGGTCACGTCTGATTATAATTAATGGTTGATATGTATACATCTTTTCAACATTCAAGCAGTAGGGGAGGAAGATAACTACTCCTCATCAACATCCAATTACCCGAGATAAGAAAAATATACTCCCCGCATCCTGTTTCTTTTCTCTCCTTTGCTTTTTATTCCTCCACCGTCTTTTCGCGGATCGATTTCCATCGCAGCGAAGCTGACCCAACAAGGGAAAAAGCGCACATCACCACAGCAACATGAAACGTCTCGGTAATAGCGCGGCTGAACGCCCCAAGGACATCCGCGAGCATCTCCGACGGGATAGTATCGCGAAGCATCGTGACGCCTTTCTCAACCGTAGACGGGTCGATGGAAGGAGCACTAACGCGCAGATTCTCCACCAGTCGGTTGTGAAAGACGCTTTGCCCAATAACCAGGGAAACAGAGCTGGAGAGAGCTTGCACAAATGTCAGGGTCGAGATAGCGATCACGACATCTTCTTTCTGAACCGCGACCTGCGGGACGATAGTCGAGTTTTGCGATCCCAGTCCGATTCCGAGACTCAGCAGTACCTGGAATATCATGGACGATATTAAATGCGAGGAGGGATGGAGAGTGCTGAGCAGAGCGGCTCCAAGAGTAGAGATCACGGACGAGGCGATCAGAAAGGGGGTGTAGTATCCCACAAGAGAGACGAATATTCCTCCAGCGAGCGAACAGAACACCAGGCCCAGCTGTGTAGGGAGGGTCATGAGACCGGATTTGGTAGCGGAAAAGCCCTCGACGGCTTGATACCAAATTGGGAGCTAGACAGACGGTCCAGGGTCAGCCATGTACCGATATGATGGTGTCCCATGATGGGGTGGTGGAATATCCATACGTAGTAAATAAAGATGATCATAGCACCGCCGTTGAAGATTCCCCACAACGTGATGCTCAACATATCTCGATTCCACAGAATACGAAGTGGAATCGTGGCTTTATCCCCCGCCCAGACCTGGACAACAGCAAACGCGGCCAGCATGGCTCCGGACAGAGTAAACAGGCATCTGATTCTCCAGTCGTCCCAGGCATACTCTGATCCTCCCCATTGGAGCGCCAGTAGAAGGGCGACCGTTCCACAGATCAGAAGTAGTGAGCCGGGCAAATCCATCGACTTGACTTTATCCTTCAAGCTCGAATGCCCCATTTTTGGTTGATTGGTGGGGACGAGGAATAATATCACGATCGCGGTGACCAGTCCCATGGGCAGATTGATATAGAAGCACCATCGCCACGAGGCATGGTCGGTCAGCACTCCGCCCAGCCTTTGCATATTTTGTTAGCCTTCTTCTAATCACCATCGATGGAAACCTACAAAGGACCCGTCACTTTCGTCACTGCGTGAACACAGCCAAGAAAGCCCATATACACCGGTCGTTTATCTAAGGGGATCGTATCGGTGATGATGAAGAGAGCTCCGGAGTTGATGCTCCCCGCCCCTAATCCTGCCAGGGAGCGACCTGCAACCAAGGTGGCAGACGACGGTGCGATGCCGCACAGAAGAGACCCAAGCTCAAAGATAGCCAAGCCGAGAAGGAACATCCGTTTTGTCGTATATCCTTGATATAACTTTCCCCACATCATCTGCGTCGCGGTGAAAACGAACAGAAACGAACTGCCGTACCACCCGACATTTTTCAAGGATTGGAATTCATCCGTTATGCGAGGAATGGCAGTCGCGAGAACGGTTTGATCCTGCAAGATAAACGCGAACCAAAATATCAGCCGTCCATTGCCCTCGATAGGTTGGCCAACAATAACCTCTCGACATGACTCACCAAGGATACGCAGAAGATTGAAAGACACAGACCGATCGTGATAAGTAATTGCGGCCGCGATGACTTGGATGGCTCCTCAGTTCCCTTGGTGGAAGAGGCGAGATCCGGTGGATTCTCTGGTAGGAGTCGGGTCGTTTCCGAAGCCGTCATGATTGTGCTCAATGTCGGACTGGTTCTCGCAACAGAAATCTTCCAGTTGGGCGAGTCAGGGAATCAAAAGCCAACGCAAGTCGTGTGCGATGCTCGAGGTGGATTCAATATCACCACACTCATGACCGAGCCACGTCTGCAGAACACGACGAACAAAAGTTTCTGAAAGGAGAGGAGATCGCAAAGTTTATTATGATGGAAAAACAAAGAAAAGAAAAAAGTAAAAAAAAAAAAGAAAGACACAGACAGGAGAAACTATGCAAGGGGGACCTAGCAATGTACTTTTTTATTTTGTGTACAGTACGAACCGTCATCTACTTCAAGCATTCTCATTCGACAATGCCTGGTGGGTCTGCGTATTATACATGTCCCATTGGCTGGTGGCTTAACCTTGGTCAATGTGATATTGTAAAATAAACAACCACTCGCCACTTGGATTGGCAATCGTCGGGGTGATCAACCATACTTGCTTTTTTGCTGCACCAATCCAGGAGTATTTATGCGTGCAGATAAGCAACCAGGACTCACCATCGAATTACAACAACCTGATTGGTTGGTCTGTCCAAATTGAAAAAAATGATGCAGTGCGACTCGGACTGGTAGAGTCCACAGATACGTCACAGGTATATGAAGACTTGGTACTCCACCCAGCATACATCAGCCATTTGTGAGTCGTCAAAGGCTGAGTTGGAATATTCAATCTTTATGATATTATCGCCAGAATCTGTCACTTCCGCGGTCTGGGGACTATCGCCGGGATTGAAGTCTACCCTAAAATGACTCACCCCAGCTGTATTCCAGCCATAGACAGTGGGTTTGAGGCACGTCCGCTTGATTTCAGGGACCAGTTGATCTTTAAGGAATTTGGCATAAGTTCCTCGATTAATGGATATGACACCACTAATGTCCCTGACCTGGTCCGCCCGCAACCAGTTCCACTGGAAGGGGGAAGGATTGGGTAAGGAGTTGTGATTAACAGCGCAGTGATCCATAGTGCTTGCATTCATTTGGCTTAGGGTTGGCGAATGGATGATATTTCCATGATCGTCTCTGGGTGGGTTAGTTGCATGCTCAAAGCCTGTCAACGGCAGCTGGGATGGGTCAGTCAACTGATTCACAGCGACAATGGAGATCAGCGGCTGTCCCTTTTCAGCTACAGCAGCCGCCCAGAGGTTCACAAAACTCTTCTGGAGAATGGCGTAGGCGTTGGATCCTGGGTCGATGCCACCAAAGCTGAGGTGGGTCTGCAGAGAGGCGTTGTCCAAGTCAAATAGGAGCTGCTGAAGGCTGAGTACGCTCCCCGAGAGGTTCTTCAATTGATCCAGAATTGCTTGCTTTTCCTCCGGATGTTTATGGAAGTACGGCGTGTCGAGTTTGTTGTCCAGGTCAGCAATCTTGAGGTTTACGGTTGCCTCCAGACGTCCCATCGCCCGTTCCCTCCCCAGCCGTTGGGAGGAGAATTCTGGATGATGGTAAAGTCGGCGCATAGCATGTTGAACCAGACCTGCTTGACACCATCCCCCAGTGCGACTACCAGGGGCAACTTTGATATTTCAACATCCGGTGGTAGGCCAATCTTGACTCTGATGCCAACGACAAAACGTTGCGTAGTCAATGCTTGGATGGACACTTCGCACACCCGCTCGCCTCCACGTTGCTCGTGAGATCGCCCGAGAAAACATCGTCCTACTCAAGAATGATGGCGTCTTATAAATCAAACCGTTCAGGGTGGCCCTCCTCGTCCCTTTGCAGACATGCGCAATTACGGTTCCTACGCGCTGGCCAACTCGAGTAATCCTCGATGCAGCAACTCGCTCTATCAGAGCCTACAAACCAATCTCGGCGCAAGAAAGGTCGACTTAGACTATGGTGTCGACTTCCTCAACCTTACCTTCAGCAATATTCCGACCGCTGTCTCAGCAGCGAAGAAAGCTGGCCTTGCCATCATCGTCCTTGGCACGCTCTCAGTAGGCTCAACAGATCCCTGGTCACTAAATGCACCGACGGGGAGTCTTTTACCCATGCAGACCTTGGCTTCCCTGGGGCTCAACAACAATATCTTGACGCCGTCCTCGATGCTTCCATCCTGGCAATTTGGATCCTCTCCGGTGGGCAGCCATTTGTGCTCAATGACTCGACTCTCCGCAGCAATGCAATCCCCCGTTTCTTCCTTTGTGGGGAATTCACCGGCGATGCGTTGGCCGATATCCTTACTGGCGAGGTCAATCACAGCGGGAAGTTGCCTATCAGCTTGCCGCAGGATTCATCTGCCACCCCGGCGTTCCACGACTACCATGGGAGAGATGATACTGGCACAGCGGATAGTCTCCTAGGATCTCATTCAACATACCAGTTTCCTCTCCTTTTGCGGGATACGCCGATGCCATTTGGCTTTGGGCTGGGCTATACAACATTTTCCGTTTCGATACCCATTGTGGAAGCCGAAAATGAAGTTATTGGGATGCGACTGAATATTACTAATACTGGATCTATTCCTGGTGAGGAGGTCGTGCAAATATACCATCGGCCACACAGGGGTTGAGTGTACAGAGGGGGCATATTCCTTTGGACAGGAACAAGCTCTACACTTGACCACATCAATAGCGCGCACAGCGAGGAACTGCCTTAGCTTTGTACATGTGCGCAGGGGCGTCCTCGATCATGGCGGTATTCGCTTTTGTGGGAGCACAATTCATAATATCGCCACCACAGCCCCAAGCAAAACTTTGAGCATGCAAATGGCCTTCCGTCTGACATGTCTAGTCAAGCTGCATATGCCTTCTTGGCTCCAGTAGCAACGAGATTACCTACTACGAGGAAAGGTTCAGTGAAACTACGACAAGACCATGGAACAGGACTGGGACAGTGTCTGACTGATATGTACTGTAATGGTTTTCAGTTAACCAGCACGCACAAGCTTTACACTGTGTGAAAAGGCAAGGGGAGACGAAGGGCTTGGACCGATTGATTCAGTGTCTGACGGAGTCATATTCCATTCAAAATCCACCTTCAATTCCAAGATATCGGGCAACTTCAATCAGACCTGAGCCTCGGATTTCGACCCAATGATCGACAAACCCCTTCTCTCTCGCTCGTGCAACACCACTACTATCCCAAGCTTCTTCCGAGTCTCGCTCAACATAGATTGTCTGAAACCCACAGTTTTTGGCGGCTTGCAAGTCCTCAAGATGGGCTGCAACCAGACAGCACTCCGAATTCCTCAAACCGAATCTACGAGCAGCGCCATAATAAGCCTCTGGCGACGGCTTGTAAGCACCCAAATGCTCTGCACTGGTGATGTGCTTGAAAGGCAAAGAGCTGTGTTCTTGTAGGTCTTCGAGAAGTTTTACATTGCCATTGGATAATGTAGACGTCAAAAACTTAGTGCCCAGCAACGAAAGGCCTGGCACACTGTCAGGGTATGAGTCGAGTCGATGCCAGGCGAGGGTCAGATCATTGAGATCGTCCTCGTTAAACAAGTCCCGTAGAAGCCATTTGGTCAGAATGTCTTCCAGAGAAAGGCGGTTGTGCTCATCTACTGAGACAAAAGGCTTCGATGGATCGTAAGTGTGTCCGAAGTTCATATATGAGCGATGCCACTCCTCAGCGATCTCCTGCCAGCTTGAAGTGGACATGCCAGAGATGCGTGCTCGCATATCGGCACTCAGATCTCGAATGCGATTTTGCAGCGCCCTTCGCGCTGTGGCACTCAGTTCGTTCGCGATGCATCGTCTCCATTCCACAACTGTTCCCAAGACATCAAAAAATATCATTGATGGCGACATCTTCGTCGATCCTTGTCCGAGATAAACCAAGGAATGGAGGCTTGTTCGCATGAACTGTAAAAGACACCTCACAGGAAAGCAAATCTCTTGTCAGTCAATGATAGAAAGCATCATAACCTCAAAAGATGACTTACAAAAGAAAGGACAGATAACTTGACTGTCAGGAATTGGTGTGAACGAATATTGACCCTTTCCATCAACCTCGGGAACTCATTGCTTAGAGTTGCATGTGGTTGGCACGTGGAGAATCTCAACCCGGCCCTCGAGTATCGCATTTTCAGAACACATTACGCAAGGCCCCAGGAGTAGTCAAATAAATCAGTCATATACGCCGGTATGACTACTTCATCTGAATGGATTCGTTATCGTGGGCGTTTACTACAGACTGTAATTTACCGAACCTTTCCAGGGTATTAAGGGTATGGCCCAACTACTATACTGGAACAACCGACTTTTGCATATCAATCAAGCGTTGATTCGAGAGCAGAAGTGGATTAATCTAAGGTCAAAGTTTTTCTCTGTCGCTATAAGACACCAGGCAACTGCTTCAACATTCCAGCCTTATAAATGGGTGATTTCTACGCACTGGTGTAGGCTGCACAATTGGGGCTGCGAACCTGGTACCTAGGACCGTAAATAGAGTCTCTTTGGTGGGTAGGATGCAGCCCTTCATCCAAAATGCCCTGGATGAGAGTTTCAGGCCAGAAGGAAGATATCTGAAGCTCAAATAGAGGAAGCCATTTTCATATGTTATGCCGGAAGGCTTGGCTGAGTATACTACTCGTCCGCTTCACCCATCTGCATGAGTTTCACTTAAGTACCCCCACGTTGTATCAAGTATCATGTCTGCGCCAACGAATACCAAGAGCAAGCCAAATGTGTACCCCACGCAACGTGGAGATTCCTTCTCCGCATTTCTACCCCAGAGGATTGGCAAGAATCTGCGGGGTAGAACTAGGGCTTCGTGAGTGATGACCCCACGGAGTTGATATCTTCTCCTCGGTCATACCTGGCATGGCAATGATCAGGCTGTCCTCTTAGGGCTCGCCAGAATGCGTCGCTCTGCATTCATCCAAGGACGGGAAGGGTGGAATTCTATATAAGACCGCATGAACCCTCTTTGAGTAACCACGGACCTACAAGTTCTGTTGCCCCGAGCCCACCCAGGTTGTACCTCACTATGTTTGGCAAAGAAACGAAAGACGTGTGCAAGGTTGAATATATAGACGAGAAGGCCACCCCTCATGATGCCACCCACCAACCCAGAATGCCAGCCTCTTTGTCTGCCCTTTCGGAGTCAGAATATACTACGCTCGGCCGGAAGGCCATCATGAAATTGGATTCTCGCGTGATGCCCTGCATGGTCATCATGTACATCTTGAACTATCTAGACCGACAAAACATCGCGTCCGCAAAGCTGGCAGGGATCGAAGAAGATCTGAGCATGAATGACGTACAATACCAGACATGTATCAGTATTCTGTTCATCGGCTACAGTATGTGGCCCTGCTCTTCTTCTTTTTTCACCTCTATTTGCTTGGCAGCATTCCTAAATCTTGGTCGCTAAATGGGGTCGTGGTGGCAGTCTTGATGCAAGTCCCTTCGAATATCATTGTTGGGAAGATTGAACGTCCGGGGACGTACATCTGCATCTCGATGGCATTGTGGGGTGTCATTTCTGGGTGTATGGCTTCCGTCAAAAATTACTCAGGGATCTTGGTTTGCCGATTCTTTCTTGGGTTTGTCGAGGCCATCTTCTTCCCGGGGGCGCTGTTCTACCTGTCCCTGTTCTATAACAGAAAGCAATACGCCCTCCGAACCGCAATCTTATACTCCGGGTCCCAGTTGGGGAACGCCTTTGGGGGGCTTTTTGCGATCGCGATTCTGAAACTCGATGGCGTGCATAGATTGGCAGGATGGCGATGGGTAAGTTCTAGTCTGGATGTCGTTCCCGAATGTTACTTTGATTGATCGGACTTATACTCCCTCTAGCTCTTTCTGGTCGAAGGAGTTGCTACTGTCGGCTTAGCTTTCATCCTTGCTTTTATTCTGCCAAATTCACTGAAGTCGCTGCTAGGCTTCAGCGATGTGGAGAAGGAGTACCTGCAGTGGAACTTCGAATCGGACCAGGGACAACAAGACAATGCGGATGAGGTCGGAGCGTGGAAGGGGGCTATGATGGCCCTGGTGGATCCTAAGACCTGGTTCATGATGGGGACCCTGTACAGTGTAAGTCAGGAGATATTACCACCATTGAATTTCGTTCTGATGATCTTGTAGATATATATTTGTGCTGCCGTTACCAACTTTTTTCCGTCGGTCGTCGCCACGCTGGGCTACTCTCGGAATACAACATACGCACTCACAGCAGTAAGCTCCTCATCCAGAATAGCGTAGAGCAATGCTCGCTTGCTAATCGCTGGCCATGCTTTAGCCGCCATATATTCTATCCGTAGTCGCAATGATTATCAATGGGTTCCATTCTGACAAGGTGTGTAGCATACAAGCAACACCTTTCATGCCACCACTAACCAGCAAAATAGAAGCAAGAGCGGTATCTGCATATTATATGTCCGATAATCGTCTGTCTGGTGGCCAATATTATCGCCGTATGTACCCTCAACACCGCAGCGCGATGTAAGTTGTACCTTCTCCCATAGATTCTAGTCGCAACAAGGAGCTAAGCCGGTGATACCACAGATGTTGCAATGATGCTGATGCCTGCATCATTCTATTCGGCCTCGACCATTCTCTTGTCATGGGTTGCTGGCTCTATCTCACAGCCCTCCATCAAGCGGGCATCTGCCATAGCCTTGATCAACGCGATCTGCAATACTCCCAATAGTGAGATCCTCTGCGTTAGGTTGAATACCATGGCTTACTGCTAATCATCTTTTAGTTTGGGCTTCCTATTTATACTTCTCTGAACCACGATATCTCGTTGCATTTGTGGTCAATCTTGCCGCGGCCGCTTTGACCATTGCGCTGGCTACAGTAACGAGGGTGTATTTGCGACGACAGAATCAGAGGCTGGATAGTAGCATGGATACGGGTCGGAGTGGACCGACAGAGGCTCAAAAGGCTGCTGGGTTTAGATATACATTGTGAGAAGCTAGTGTTATGGGCTTTCTTTCCTCGGAATGCCAATTGGACCGTTTACCGACAGACTTGTAAAAGTTCTCCTTTGGAGTGTGACATTGTCTCAGAGATCTTAGCTTCAGTATCATAATCTATAAAGACCTCGACGACCGCGTCCACTATTAATGGCGCTGTTGATAAGTAGCCAAAAGCTGACCCTGTACCAAGGAGCCTTTTTCAAAGGATGTAGTAAAAAGGACCGAGTGAGCCCGAGAAAGTGGAGCTTTTCTCGATGTTTTGATCTCCGGAGCCTGCATATAAGAAGAGCACCTGTATCTATATGGTCGCAATACTTTTCCTCGGAGAGGGTGTTCGGCGAAGGCAACTTTTATTCAAGGTATGGAGTATGCGCTTTTATATAACAAACAGAGGAGACAGGAAACGGATACAAGAAAGAAAGTAGGAACGGAAACATCAACATAAAAGTTGTCGAAAGAAAGGGAAGGAGGGTGGTAAGAGAGAAAGAAAAATCTATGTACATGCTTGCTGTTTGCAATAGCAGGTAAGGAAGGCCCATGAAGGCCAAGTCAATGAAGAAGCTGCTGCAGGGATACGTTTTGCCCGCAAAGATCCGCAATCTGGTCCACCAGGGCTGCAATCTCAGATGCGATCTGTTGAGCACCGTCCTCGTTGAAGACATCCGCGTCATACATGACAGTGAGCCTGTTCCGGTTGTTAAGTGCCTTGGCGACCTCCACCACCAAAGCGTATGGTTGGTACATCCGAACCTTAGATTTCGCCATGACCAGCCACCGATCGGACTCGGACTCCTCACTACTCGACGCAGGTTCAAATGGTTGGTAGAGAAAAAGGCAACGGTTGCTTGCGGTAGTCCGCGACAGACCAGCTGCATGGAAGATTTCGTGCAGACCCACATCACCATGTTCGGTGATTCCCCAGAAGATGTCCTGTACACTCTCCAAGTAGTCACCGAGGGCCCTCTGAGGATCAATCTGCGCACGGACCGGAAGAAAATTGGCCAAGGTGCCATTGATCGTCTGAGGATCGACATCGGCCATGTCCACGTTGCGGCCGCTAAGGAGATAATCGAAGCTGACATCGTTCTGGTCACTTGCGCGACAAAGCCAGAGCTGGAAGGCGGCTTGAAAGAGAATCGGGACGGTTACTCCCTGTGCGCGAGCCACAGATTCCAGGTTTCGGGGGATAATCTCCCGAACGGCAGCGGTGATCTTCGGGCTCTCTGCCTGGGGCCAAGTGTAATGCTTGTCTTTCATTGTCTCGGCCCAGAAGCGCAGTGATGCGTCCTTGTCTGACTGGAATATGAAATTGGCAAAGTCCTTAAACTCTCCATGGCTGGGGATTTGCGTGCCTTGACGGATGGCGGCAAAGTGGTCATCAAATGTGCGAAGCAAGGTTCCATCGTAAGCAGCATGGTTCATTTTGATGGCCACATCCCAGCTATCGTCGGAGTGCAGAAGAATGGCATATTTGATGAAAGGCTTTCCAAATTGAAAGCGCTCATTCCAGAACTCCTCGATGATTTCCGACTGTTTCTCCTCGCTGTCGCAGGGAATAATGGGTACGTCCAAACCCGCGTGCTTTATGACAACACCCACCCACTGGGCCTCCGAGGTACGAAGCCAGGATGTGCGCAGAATGTCGTTGATCTCCGTGAGGCGACTAGTGTTTTGCACCCACTCCTGGTAACTGGCGGATTTGGGCATTTTACGAACGGCCATGAGCACCCACATCTGTTCGGGGCGGTCACCCTCCTCAAGGAACTGGACTTGTCCTGGAGGAGATGGGTACACTTGATATAGTTAGCCACAACCATCTTCGTATGAGATCTCAAACACGACGGGTCTATGCTTACCATACTCAACATTATCACCGATCGTCAAACCATGCTCGTGAATGGCATCCAGCACACTGGCTGGGGCCTTGTAGCTCGGCTTCAGTACTTGAGCACCCCTTGTGTCAAGGCGCATCATTGGAGTGAGATTCTCCAAGATCGGGTTCTTCAGAATATCTTTCACACTAAGGAGGTATCCAGCACTGCGAGCAGCACTAGCCAGGCTGATGGCTGCAATGGAGTCACCACCCAGAGACAGAAAGTCGGCCTTCTTCCCGATGCCAGATGAGGGGAGACCAAGAACCTTCGACCACATTTCTTGCAGTATTGACTCTTCCTCAGTCTCCACGGGAACAACCTCATGTTGGTTTCCGTCACCCTCGAAGGAATACTGGCTAAGGGTAAGTGTGTCCAACTGCTCAACCCACTTGGTGAGAAGCTTCCGATCGGTCTTGCGAGAGGGCATCTTGGGGAAGTCTCCAACTGGGAGAATATATTTGGGAATCATGTAATGGGCCAGGGTATTGAGCCCCGCTCGCAGGTCTTTAACATGAGCCTGATAGTCATCGGCTTCCTGGATTTCACAGGAGCCAGCGACAAAGATGCAGAACGCAACGAGTTGCTTCTTGCCGTTATAGTTGACTGCCAAGACGGCTGCTCCTTGAACCAGTCCAGTCTTCAAAATCGCCTGTTCGATTTCCGTCAGCTCGATGCGATGGCCATGGATCTTGACCTGGTTATCCTTTCTGCCCAAGCATTCCAGCTCGCCACCGGGGAGCCATCGCGCCAGATCTCCGGTTCGGTACATGCGATCGGTGCCCAATACATTCTCCATGAACGCGGCCTTGGTAAGGTCCTCGCGGTTTACATACCCATCGGTGACCTGGGGCCCAGCCACACAAAGCTCACCAACCGAACCATACGGTACCATAGTAGTGCCCTCAGGGTGCAGGATGAAAGCCATCACTGTTGGGAAAGGTGCGCCGATGTTGCTCGGACGACCGCTAGGATCAACCTCTTTCGTCGTGATTACCATGGAGGTCTCCGTAGGGCCGTAGACGTTAAGGATCCGATGGCCCGGGCTCCAGCGTGCAATTACATCTGACGTAAGAGGCTCTCCACCCACTATCAATGTTTCGAAAGAGGGCACCTCGCTAGGATCAAGTAGCTTTGCGACCGTTGGAGTCAGGATAGCTTGTCTGGCTGACATTGCGTTGATGACTCCTGGCAAGTCCGACTGCATCTTGTCTGGAGGCGCCATGCACAGAGTTCCACCGGTGCTGAGAGTGTTAAATATATCCTGCACCGAGGCATCGAAAACGTAATTGGCAAACTGAACTGTCCTCCACTCGCCAGAATATCTGCTTTCAGCAACCGCCATGCTGATGACAGCCGCCGCTGCAGCACGGTGGGGCACCTGTACACCCTTTGGCATGCCTGTGCTCCCGGAAGTATAGATAATATACGCGGTATTGTCAGGAACTGTATGAACTGTAGTAGGAGAGGCAGGGAACCGGTCGATCTCTGGAGTGTCGATCCGAGCGATATCCAGATTAGGGATACTAGAGAACATCTCGGCGTAATCGCCTTGGGTCAGTATCATCCGTGCCTTAACATCGCCAATAATGAATGAGTTGCGATCCACCGGATTATCAGGGCTCAAAGGGACATATGCGGCCCCAGCTTTCATGACACCAAGTATCGCGACTATAGTATCGATAGACTTCTCCAGCATGAGAGGAATGGCGTCTCCTACGCGCACTCCCTTTTGGATCAGGTAATGAGCAACGCGATTAGCGCGGGCGTTCAGCTCTGCATATGATAGCTGAATCGTTCCATCCCAGTCGATGGCGTGGGTGTCAGGAAATGCTCGGGCGTGATCCTCAAAGCTCGCATGCAGAAGCGAAGGACGTGGTACATGGAGGCTCTTCCTGTTTGAGATCTCATTATACAGAAATTCGGTCTCTGCCTCCCCAATGATGTCCAGGGTTGAGATACGTTGCATTGGGGTCTGCATGAATTCCCGGAGCACCTTTTCGTAGGAGTCAAGGAGGAACTCCACACGGCGAGGCTCCATCTTTGAAGAAAGCTTCAAGGCGAGTGTCTCATGGTCATTCTCAACTTCCAGAGTTGTGAATTCAGATTCCCAAGTGGGTCGATCCCCGTAACGCTGAAAGATCTGGTTGACTTGATCCCCATCATGGTCTTTCACCAGGATGTTGACCAATGTGTCAAGGCCACTCGCTGTTAGGTTTCCCGCAGCAAGGGCATTACGCATACCATGCTGTGAGTGCTTCAATAATTTGAACAGATTGGCCTGCACGGTCTGGGCTAGCTGTAAGAGTGTACTCTCGGGCGCCACGTGCACTTTCTGAGGCACTGTAGTCAGTGTAGGACCGTCCAGACGGTCAATATCAAGCACAGGAACATCCCGACCGGAGAGAGTGGTTGCAAATATCACATCAGCATGGCGAGTGTGGTTCGATAGCACAATAGCCCACGCTCCATAAAGGACAGCGCCGAGTGAGAGCCCGTGGAGTTGAAGCGACCGGCGAAGAGGACCCTCGGGAAGCCTGCGTTGGGCAACGGATGTTTGGGCCACGGGCACCGTGTTGATAACGCTTGGTTCCGTGTTGGTAAGATACGTCCTCCAGAAGCGATCATGCTCCACTATCGATGTAGTTGCGTTATGGTTTACAAACTGTTTGAACTGCGGTCGTGGGCGGACTTGAAGACCTAGGTAGACGTCCGCAACATCCTGGTACACGAAGCGATGCGACCAGTAATCGAACAGGGAATGATGCATAGTGACAACAAGAACTTGCCCAGAGACGATAGCCACTCGGAATAGGGGGCCGGAGAGGGAGAATGGTTCCTGCTTATCTCGTGCAAGGTATTCGCTAAGGTCTGCCGTGGACTCAACCCAAGGCAAAGCAATCTCATTTCGTACCACCTGGAGTAGGCTCCGGCCCTGGGCCTTGAACGATGTGCGGAGGATGTCGCTCGACTCGAGAACGGTGCTAAAGCTCTCTTGCAGCTTGTGGATATCAAGATGACCAACATCCCACGTCCTTTGGTAAGTATACATTCCCTGATCCTCGCCCAGACTAGCCAGCAGGCTTTCTTGCAAAGGCGTGGCTGGATATGCATCAATGACGTTGGGATCGGCATTGAGTTCCTGCCGCATCTCGGGGTCCTGAACGAGGGCAAATGGTTGTAGGTCATTATTGCTATCTACCACCACTGTCACGTAGGATACCGTCTCCTTCAAGGTAGCGTTGCCGAGTACATCTCCGAGATCAATGGCAATTCCGCGTTTCCGCAACTCCGAAGTGACTCTAATGGCTTCAATGGAAGTCCCTCCCAGCGAGAGGAAGGAGGTTTCACGATTGATAGACTGCTCCGGCAGCGCAAGCACGTCGGCCCAGACACTCGCGATCTGCTGTTCGGTTGGGTCGGTGATAGCCTCTATAGCAGCATCTGAGGCTGCCGCTTCAACCAGGCCTTCCCACCCTTTCGCAAGTGCTTCGCGCTCAATGGCGCGAACATCCACTTTTCCATTGCCATTGGCCGGAAGTTTGGACATTTGCATCCACAAGGAAGGGACCATGTAAGCCGGCAGCTTCTGCTTACTGTGGTCACGGATCGAGGAAACCATGCTGCTCCACCTATTTCCGGAAGCGGGGACGATTGCTGCCACCAATATGAGTCGTTCTCGCATCTCAATGGCAACCGTCGCGCAACTGTGAACAGCTTCATGTTGGGATAGAACCCGGTTCACCTCCGCCGGATTGACCTTTTGTCCGTTGAGCTTGACTTGGAAGTCCATGCGGCCTAGGATCTCAATAGAACTGTCTGCATGGATCCTAGCAACATCCCCCGTCCGGTACATGCGTCCCTTGCCGAAGGGGTTTTCCACGAAGGCCGCTGCACTATTTTTCTGAGCACCAGTGCTTGAGGCGAGATAGCCCAATGCCAACTGTGGTCCCGCCAGGCACAGCTCGCCCGCGACGCCCATCGGGGTCAGCTCGGTTGTGCCGGGTTTCAAGACATACGCTTGCGTAGTGTCCGTGGGGCGTCCGACAATGCCAGGGTTGCTGCTGCGCAAGAGGCGCTTTCCGAAGTTCAATTGGGCACATTCACTCAGACCGAATGTGTTCCGCAGATCGACATGGTCTGCCCAGGTGGTAACGAGCTCGCGGGGAATGCTCTCACCCACCAGCGTGACCTGTTTTAAGTGGGGTACATCACTGGGCTCCATGAGAGACAGTGCCGACGGTGTGATCCCGAGGGCATCCACCTGCATGGTGCGGATGGTGTCAGCCAGGCGCGTCGTCAGCCTTTGCTTGCTGGCTAAAAGGAGAGTGCCTCCGTGGGTCAGAGTCGACAGCATCGTCCGCTGTGCGGCAGAGAAGGTTGGATTATAGAACAGTAGCCAGCGCTTTTTGCCATTCAAGGTATGATACGCCATCCCATTCGTAGCCGCCCCGTGAGTGATAACCGCACCTTTCGGGGTACCAGTCGAACCGGAAGTGAACACCACGTAGCATGGGTCCTCACTTCCAATTTCGATATCCAGGTTTGCAGACGTTTCTACCTTATCTGTGGCAACCATATGGTCTTCGATTGCCAGCGCATTAGGATACGAAGATACATGACGACGGCTCGCCAGAACCGTACTCGCGGAGCATGTTTCGATAATTCGAATGTTCCTTTCAATGGGTCCCTCTGGATCAAGTACCGTGTATGCTCCACCAGACTTCAGGATGGCAAGTAGAGTGATAATCAGGTCGGGCGAGCGGTCGAGACAGACTGGGACGACCTTGCCCTTGAGTGGAGGCAACGCGCGTGCCATCCGGTTTGCGCGAGCGTTGAGCTCCGCATAGCTGAGTGGGGCGTCCTCCTCAAACTGTACCGCGGCGGCTTTAGGGCTGCACATGACTTGTTCCTCAAACAGACGGGGGATGGTCGATATTTGGTGCTGACGAGCCAACGCCTTGGCTGTATGCACCTGAGCCAGCTTTTCCTCCCGCGAGCCCAGTTCGATCTCCTCCAGACGAGCGTGAGGAAGGTAAAATTTGTTGAGGGCACTGTGCAGGGCCTGGGAGAAATGTTCGAGGAGCAGCTGGGCATCTGCGGTCGCCGTGAGGGGCGAGTGACACAGTGTCAAAGTGATTACACCGGTCCCATTAATGAACATTGCCAGAGGAAACGGTGCCAACTGCCCCGCTAGGATCGGTCCATTCGGATCTGGAGAGTATCTAAGAACCGACTCAAGGGGTTTTGTGAGTTCCTGGGAAATAGCGTTGTATCCCAGGTAGGCATGCGGTGATGCGGACTGGTGGAAGGTGGTGAGGCGGCTGGACAAGCCGACGAACGTCTCCTCGCTGGACACCGACAATCGGACGGGATAGGTGTGGTCGAGGTATCCCACGCACGAGGCAGCATCTGGGAAGCTCGCATCGCGCTCCACGGCCGCGAAGAGAACATCGCTGGCACCGGAATGGCAGTGTAAGACATAGGCCCAGAGGGTTTCAAAAATGAGTTTACGTGGGAGCCCAGAGGCATGCTCAATCTGCGATAGCCCTGGGTGGGAATTGTCATCAAGATGGAGGCGAAGAGCCTGACGGTCTTGAGACACAGTCACATCCGATAGTCCTGTCTCCCAGGGAAGAGCGACAGCTGGCACGGCACCACTGAGCTGAGCATTCCAGAACGCAATGCTGCTGGTAGTGTCTTTTGTCTCTTTGAGGAAACGTTGGTACGCCGCCAGCGGAGTGTGTTCCGGCAAGGGTAACCCGCAATACAGCAGGACGAAGTTACGCTTGATAATCTCCAGCGAAGTACCGTCGACAGCTGCACGCCGTGCACGGAGTGTCAAGCGATAGCTGCCGGTGCTGGGGTCGCGACAGACGATCAGCTGTGCCAGATCATCATCCGCTGGAACATCCGCCAATGATGAGTTGGAGGAAGAGGCACTACTCCCAATCGTCTTAGTACCCCACTGGATTTCCGGAGTACGATACACCACCCGCTGATACGTCTGCCCCGATCGGGGATCCGAACGGAAGACCGTACGGAGGCCACAGTCTGTAGTTATGTGTTAGGTATTTTAAGTTTTCACGTTCGAGTGAAGAAAAGTGGAAACTCACGGTGGGAGCAGATCTGCGTCCAGCAGGACTGAATTCGCTTCACATCGGGGGCGGACTGCCGAGGCAGGATCAGGCTTATCTTACACCAGGGCATTTCGTCCGACTCCAGGATCTGGCATTGTGCCGGCGTCGCCGGCCATTCTACCTCTAGGTCATTTCCATGGAGCAAGCTCTCAATGTCGCCCAAGTGCTGGTCGTACAGAACTTCTGCATGGCTGAAAGGATCAGAGGACAGAATATCCATGGTGTTTAACTGGATGAGGCTCATGATGACGATGTCGATAGTGACGTTGGTCTTAGTGTGCGGAAGAATGAATCAGGAGATTGTTTCTCGAATGATGAATGCTTTTTTTTTTTGAGCTCTGTTTCGAGCGTTGATAGCTTGACGACTGGGTGTCTCCGTACCCGTGCTTTATAGTCTTTGTTGATTTTGGTTGAAGCCATCCGGAACATCGCCTACCCTCGTATCCAGGGAGTTTTCCGTGCCATGCTTTGCGCTATGTCCTCCTCCCTCGGTTGGGGCGATTCAACTTCAGTGATCCAAGCTTATGTCATGGTGTTGCGGATCCCGGGCCTAGGGTCAACGCACTGACTTGGTGTAGTTCGTATGCACGACCCGGAACCCGTGTCTTGCGCCATGTCGGTCGGGCATGCACAGGAGGCGGAACAGGACTAACAAACGACATGGAAGCATCCGGTCTAGATGTCGTCCACGTGTCGGGCCCACCACAGGAGCACGGCTGCGTGCTTAATTTCGCATGATGATTGGGTCTGGACAGACTCACGATGGGCTTCTCCGAATCGAGGATGCCAAGTGCCAAGGATGGCGTGGGAATGAGAGTAAGAGGGGGTGGTGGGGATGGGTGAAAATGAGAGACGGAGACAGAGAGAGAGGGAGGGAGAGAGAGAGGGAGAGAGAAGAGGGAGAGCGGAGGGAGAGCGCCGGAGCGGAAACACTGCGGGGCCACTGACCCGGAAAACCCTACCCTATCCTACCTAAACAACTGTCAACGACCAACACCGGCAACAAGAGATCACCACCGGAAAGGATCCCTTCTGCTAGCTAGCTCATTTCTGGCTTCCGTGTCTATCATGCCAGTCAATCATGACAGAGGTTACGTTATAAAAGTCCCCGAGAGGCCCATCCCATCAACCAGCAATCACCAGCTCCGATCACCACAGTCAAGACATTGAAACTCAACCCAAACGCCCATTTCCTCTTTCTTCACAATAGATCTCATCGGCGTCGACTCTTGCCATCATGACTTCCTGGAGTAACCGCGATATAACCAACAATCACCTCTTGCCATACGTGGACTCCGCCACGGCTCCGGAGGAGGTCGGCGCAGCCCTGAAAACACTTCCCTTCGAGCGCAACATCTTCAAGGTAGATTCTCAAATCTGTCCATGATCTTCTGAAACGATAGGGCAATGCACTAACAGCCGATCTCCAGCTGGTCGCCAATGCGCCCACCTTTTTCCCAACCTTCATGAAACTTTTGACCTGTGCCTGGTCGCCCCAGCGCAGCTTGCGCTCGAAGGACTGGCAACTGGTCGTCTTGCGCACCGCGTCCCTGCTCGATGCTCCATACGAGTGGGACGTCAATGAGCCCGTGGCCCGGGTCTTCGGGTACACCGACGCACACCTGGCGGGCCTCCGCTCCGGGGACTTGAGCTCGACGGAGCTCTTCTCTGATCGCCAGCGACTGATCAGTGCGGTGGTGGAGGATCTTTGTCTGCGCAATCGGGTGAACCAGGACACGGTGCTCAAAGCCAAGCAGGTCCTTGGGGATGAGGCTTTGATGGACCTGTTTTACACTCAGGCGATCTACGCGTTTCTCGCCCGCACCATGAACAGCTGCTTGATTGACTTTGATGCGCCGATTCCGGGACTGGAGGATATGCTCCGGCAGTACAACGCAGCGATTATCGAACGCGAAAGTGCCTATACGGATTAGATCTGTGGAATTGATCACCGAGGCTTTTGCCCTTGAGTTGTATATAGATTTCGTACCTCTTCAAGAATACCATATGTTTATCCCCTGGTACACATCCACATGGGAAAATCCAGTATGTCGTGGGACGGTTGCGATCGCAAGTCAAGCCTTTCAAGCGTCCCAAAATACATCGGTCGCCTCGTTGCAAACCGAAAACACGACTTTTCCTATTCGGTCAAAGCCGAAGTCAATACTGATGACCAGAATCTGCAAGATGGTGGGGAATCTGGAGAACCTCCGTGACTCGAGTTCGTGTCTATTTGAAATTGTTGTCTATACTCGAGTTCACCGTGTCGCAGGCCAAGAACGTTGTACGCTAGTTTAGCTAGTGCCCGCTGAACAATAGCCATTCAGGGTTAAGCGCAGTGGGTTCGGCCTAGCGATTTGAAACCTGCCGACCTTTTAGTCGCATTCGTGAGTTGTTCGGGTTGAACCACCGCTGCACGTGATATTCCGTCCCGAGGTCTTTCTGGAAGAAATGACCATGACCCAGGATCAGAAAGATTCGAGAAACTGGTAGATATAGGTTCCGGGAGACTTCGACCTTTGTAGTACTGCTAAGATTCTTTTGATGGTCATCCTATGTCACCTGGACCGACGTTATCATAAGTTTCCTGTACATCCCTTATCTCGGTAGTAGATATATATATATATCTCACGCTCTATATATCTATACCTCTCCGTCAATCCACAGGTCGAACTGCTTACAGCCAACATCGACAACAAGATTTCGGATGGAGCCTGACTGAAAGGAGTATTGAATCAAAAGAACTCCCATTGAGTTGGACTCTCCAATCAATCGTGGTGATCCCTGAGAATTATTCCGATCTCAGAACAAGGTCACGTGTCATTCCGGAACTTCGCAGGCAGTTAGCATCCTCCCGTTCCAAAGAGCGCCCTTGTACGCGTCCGAGCCTACGAAAATCTGCCATACTGGTAAGGAAAAATAAAAGGCATTGCCACGACATCATGAGAGAACTTGTCATTGACGCGTAAGAATACAGAGAACACTCAGAATTGCACCACGTGCTTGGTGCACCCGACGGCCGGTCCGACCTTCCCACCGACTTTCGCCAACACCGACTGGACTTTACTCTCCAGATTTCCACCGTCGCCGTCCTCCGCCCAGTCCACGCGATTGACCGATGGCGCTGTGATCTTCCCTTCTTCGAAGAGGGTGGTGAACCACGAAAGAAGGTCGATCTGTGCCTCCTCTGTGTACCGACCGAGCGCTTGGGACAGTCGGAAGTTCTTGAACGTGATTTGTTTCCAGAAGATCAGCTCCTGGCTCAGCACTACTTGGCCACCCGCGCCTCCCAGCGACCCGTAATTGATGAAGGTAGCCCCGGGGGCGAGCATGGCGGCGAGTCGTTGACCAGATTGTCCGAAGACCGCATCCAATGCGAGGGTAATACGCTTCCCGGCTGCGATCGCGGCCGGGCCTTCGTTGGCAAGTTGAGACTCGGTGACTACCACACGAGCGCCCTGATCGAGAAGGGACTGTCGCGTGGCCTCGATATCATCTCGGTCTCGGATCACACAGATACTCGGACAGCCCTTGAGCAGGGCAAACTGTACCACCATCCGCGCAATCCAACCCGTCGCGGCATTCAGAACGACCCAATCCCCCGGACGCAGGGAGGGACAGCTTTCCAACAGCAGATATGCCGTCGAGCAACCCGTTTTCAGCAGACTAGCGGTAGTTGGTTCCAGACTCTTCGACACTTTCAGCACGGCCGCTGCCGGAACCACGGCTTCCGTGCGCCAGGTCCCCAAGCCGTGGGCGCGGGGGATAACGTGGTCCCCGGGCTTCAACACGTCAACGTCCGTGCCGACGCGCTCGATGCGAGCCACGCCATCGTACCCGGGGATGGGTTCGTTGTTATAGCGATGGTGTGGTTGGACGGGATACCGGCCGGCAATCACCAACAGATCCTGGGGGTTCACCGGCGCAGCTAGGAATTTCAGCAGAACCGAGTCCGCGGGAATCGGGGCGTCGCCTACAGCATCGTGACGGTAAATGCGGATGACACTGGCGGGTTCTGTCGACTGGCGCTGGAACGTGACCGTTTGGGCGGACATGATGTCAGACCGGGCAGGATTGACGAAGGACTTCAGCCGGGGGGAATGAGGCGACTGAGAGATGCGATATTCCAACCACGAGCGACCCCGGGCATCGTTGTTATACTTACCATTGCGATCGCATCTGGTGATGAACTTGATGAAGGTATATACCACTGATCGTCGTTTTCGAGGCTGGATTTCTAAGCATTTCCGGGACCCACAGGGAATCCGGACGAACAGAAGCCTTGAGCCCCTTTGACTCCACACTATTTCCGCCGGAGATCCTCAAGCTTGGCGCAAATCCATCCCGAGATAGGGCCAACAGCTGATGAATTGCCCTTGACCTGGTCAAGTTTCCGGGGGCCTTCCGGTCGTGGGCACCGACCGACCTGGCCAGCGCAATCAAACAGCTCCGTCTCGGCAGCATGTCCGCATGCTGGACAGGGAGCATCGGCGGAAAGACTAATCGACTGGGGCATCATGCTGATAAATAGTTACGGGTGTCCCTGGCCATGGGACTGATCACACTCACATCAGCCACCATTATTAGTACCAAGGCAAAAAGCCAATACCACCAAACAAAAGTTTCGAGGATCAGCTTTCATATTCCAACTCATTGACACTTCGTCAATACTGGTCATCACGGTAATGAAGACTTCAATTGAGTCTTCGCGCTCTCCATCCTCTGAGCCGCCCTCGGAGACCCCGGTCGAAAAGCCACCGTCCCCAAGAGACGTGCACGGCGTTAAAGTAGGATATCGCATCGTCGATGCTTATTGATCCCTCGCTAACCCCAATTCTACAGTGGGCCCTAGTGGTCATTGCGCTGCTGTCGTCCTTGTTCTTGTACGCGCTCGACAATACCGTGGTGGCGAATGTTCAGCCTAAAGTCGTTGAAACCTTTGGCCATGTCAGTCTGGTTCCTTGGCTGGGTGTCTCCTTTGCTCTGGCATCGGCGGCTACGACCTTAATCTGGTCCAAGGCCTATGGCACCTTCTCCGCCAAGAAGCTTTACATTGGTAGCACGGTCGTGTTCATGGGCGCGTCGGCTCTCTGTGGTGGCGCTCCAGATATCAACAGCTTCATCGTCGGTCGTGCCATCGCGGGTGCCGGTGGCTGTGGAATGTACATGGGTCTGTTGACCTTGATGTCGGTGACCACAGACAACATTGAACGCCCGAAGTATCTCAGTCTGACCGGTTTCATTTGGGGTATCGGCACAGTGCTGGGTCCAGTGGTTGGCGGTGCCCTTGGCGACAGCAAGGCGACCTGGCGTTGGGCATTCTACCTGAACCTGCTGGTCGGAGCGGTCGTGGCTCCGATCTACTTCCTCCTCTTGCCTGACTTCAGGCCCCAGAAAGATGTCCCCATCCTCAAGCGGTTTGGCCAGATCGACTACATTGGCGCACTGCTTTCCATCGGTACCCTTCTATGCGCGATCATGGCCATGAACTTCGGTGGCGTCTTGTGGAGCTGGAGCAGCGCGAACAGCATCGGTCTTTTTGTGGGCGCCGGTGTCCTGTTGATTTTGTTTGTGATGCAACAAATCTTCAACCTGGGAACCAGCTTCGAGAACCGCATGTTCCCTATGCATTTCTGGAAGAGCCGTACCTTGATAGTTCTCTTCTTCACTATGAGTGAGTATCCCCCCCATTTACTATACAAGAATGGCGCAAAATCTAAGTGCGGTACAGTGTTGGCGACATTCGGTAGCTTCATCGGCATCTACTACTTACCCATCTACTACCAATTCACCCGCGGAAGCACAGCCATTCAGACCTCCGTCCATCTACTGCCCTTCATTCTGTTCCTGGTCGCCTTCAACCTGATCAACGGTCAGTACATGGGCAAGACCGGCTACTACTACCCCTGGTACATTTTCGGAGCTGCTCTCGAGCTAGTCGGTGGTGTCCTCATGTGTAAGTCCTTCTTCGCACACACTCCGCATCCATCACGAAACACACCCTAACAAGCCTTGCTCCAAAACAGACACCGTGGACGAACACACCTCCGATGCCAAAATCTATGGCTACACCATCATCTTGGGCACCGGCGTGGGGTGCTTTTGCCAGGCTGGCTTCGCAATCGCACAGATGAAGGTCAAGCCTGAGGAGATCCCCTTCTGCGTGGGCTTCATGACGGTCGGACAGATGATGGGGATCGTTTTCGGCACGGGTATCTCCGGCGCCCTGTTCGTGAACTTCGCGCAGCAGGCCCTGCAGCAGATCTTCCCCCTGGCCAATGAGGACGAGATCTCGAATGCAATCTCGGGCGTGGGGAGCCAGCTCCTCCGCTCTGCGAGTTCCGAAGATTATGCCGCGGCGATTCATGGTATTACCAGGGCGATCCAACTGGCCTACGTGCCCATCATCGCTGCGGGGGCCATTTGCTTGGTCTGTAGCTTGTTGATGAAGCACGAGAAGGTTTTTGTTACTGGCAGCTTCGCTGGCTAATTTGGTGGCTGGAGCCGTGGAACAAGATCTTAAAAATGCCGGAATGACAGTACCGTATGAGAGGAGGATTGGATAGCAGAGATGGAGAGCCGGAAGATGATATTGAATACGGATTTATGCAGAGTTGTGTTGTCAGCTTGATCACGCACCTACTCATGAACCAAGCAGGCCCGTGCTAGATTGAGGGGGCCGCTACCGAAAATAATGACATTTCGATTTTACTGTACACTGCAATATACTCCCAAATCAAACAATCAATGATTCGAAGATGCATTACTGGCACTCAAAAAACTAGCAAATCAATTGAAGGCTACTGGCCTACCTAGGAATCTGCCCTAACACCCTACATCGGACGTCTAGCTTGACGAAGCAGTATCAAAATCCAGCAGGGCTTTGCGACCATCAATCCAAAATTCTATCTGTGACATCGAGGAGCTCTTGCAATGTCTTATCTGACTTAACATCAATCAGATTTCGAGCATGGTAACATGTGGACATGTTGTATACATCTAATGACTAGCAGAAATTGCAATGGATCCATAGCCAGCTCCTCTCCAGGCTAGGGAGTAGGAAGATAAAGAAAGACAGAGACGAAGAAGACACTAACAATGCCCGGGAAAGGCTTGACGCTATAGAGATGGAACTCCATGCTGTCATTGATCTGTTATCTATGTTCGCAAAATGACACAAGAATGGCTTTTTTTCTCTCCTCTACAAGGCCGAACGATCACTACCAGCACTGAAATTGGTCGCCTAGGGATGAACGCTGGAGGCCCACATTAAAGGTTGTGGTATGCTCTAAAACCGAAAGATAGACGGCTCCTCAGAATAAGTAAGCTTGCTGGGTACAACAAACATGAATGCTGGCGGAGCTTACCCAGGAGTCTAGTTGTGCCCACCAGGCCGAAGTATCGGAGCTATCCGGGAAACCGAAACTATCATATAATTTGAATGAGTCGTTCACAAGATGAGAGGCAGACAGGTCGGCGGGCAGTGGTTCAAACACCATGACATTCGGCTTCAGGGAGACTGCGGGAACCGGAGCGGGATGAAAGCTAGGCGAAAGAAAGCTGCTTTCTCTGGAAACGCTTTTATGGCTGTCATCTTCCGCTTCCATTTGAGCGCCTGGTCGGTGACTGGAGACGACTTGTCGATGGACCTCCTGGCGTAGTTCCTCTAGAATAATACCATAGCGACGGTTGGGACTGCTCCGGGAGGTGGCCTTCCCGAGGTGCTGTTGGCAGGTCTCTGCGAGGCTGAACAGGTATTGCAGCTGACTGCTGTTTTCCACCTTCCGGCTCGATGTGTCGCTCGTCGACGACGCGAGATGCTGTTTGATGATGTGGATGTACACCACCGTAATGGCACAGAAACACACGTAATGGGTAAACCAAAACCCATGAATGAGAGCTTTCCGGCTGGCGAGTCCGTTGATGACGGTCATAACTTCCTCGGCGGCCTCGATGCATTTGTGCACATAGGTGGCGACGCTCGATTGGGGGATATCCTCGCAGTCATTTAAGAGAAATAGCCGTGTGGTATGAATGATTGCGTGGGAGTAGGCGAGATGCTGAATCTGTGACCGCCAGCGATCCATCAATGGAGCTGCAGCCTCTTTCCATCGTTCTAATTCCAGGGTTAACAGGATGGCCGCCTTGAAAGGAGACCCACCGGGCGGATTGGGAGTGTACAGTTTCCTTGAAATGTCTGCCAACACCCGTGAGAGCCTGCGAATGGTTAGCTGGAATTTGGCTATCTCAAAAAAATGCTTCAAGTCAGAGACAGACCGGTAATGGAGTACCGATACAACCATCAGATCGTCGGGTACGCCAGAGCGCATACTCGGCTCATTGATCAGCAAGTCTTGATCTGTCGCCTCGTCCGGAAGGTCTTGATCAAAGTCCTCATCGTGTAGCAACCGCGGTCGGCCGAACATCACACTCAGATACTTGTCCAGTGTGTACACGCTCCAAAAGGTTCTCTTCCGAAGTTCTTGCTCCAAATATGTGCCCTTGCCCTCCTTGACCATCGTGGACGGCCATTTGCGATGTATGTTAAGGGCGGTCAAGAACTGAACGGTGGTGCCGAACGCGAACCAGCACTCACTAGCTCGGGACGACGCCAGTAAGTAAAGACTTTGGTTCAGTCTGGCTTGTACTGTCTCCAGCTGTGGCGCGCCCGACTCAATGGACGACATCCGCTTGGAGAGGGCAAACCAGCGTTCGCTTCAACATGTAATCAGCGAATGGACGAGGCAAATGCACTAACTGCGGGCTTACCTTTGCTCATCATAATCTACATTGGACTCGGGAGCCCGCCTCTCATAAAGTGTACCAATCGCAAGAACACTGTACACAATACAGCAGCGTCCTACCATTAGGTCTGTGGGCAGGTTTGTCCCCGAAATGTTGCTCTGGTAGATCTGACGGAGCCATTGCTCGACCTGACCACGATGCAAGAACCGGTAGGTCACAACGGCATATTCAAAGTACGTCGCAACCATCTCCAGAGCCCTCTCCAACGGAGGAAGGGTGAAGTCCAGCGTGTAGAGGCTGGAATACGGCTTGTCTCCAAATTTGGTGACCGATGGGCTGTCCGAGAGCTCGCCATGGAACCCGTCCGAGACACTCATGGCACCGGGGGACAGTGTCTTGTCCTGGTTGAGGCGCTGACATACCCGGTTGATAAATGAGGTTCCCGACGCCAGGTCTAGGTAGCCTTCCTGGAACTCCGCCGTCAGGAGATTGGCATTTCTCGGAGGAGCATGATGGGCAGCCTCATGCTGTCCAGGGCGTTGAATCGATGTCTGGAAGTTCAAATCACGTTTGAAGTGCTGTTGTTCGTCCGGCTGGTCAGCGAAGGTCAGCTCCAGTGGTGGCGGCGGTGGCGGGCCAAGTCCCCTGGAATATGTCGTTTCGTATTCGCAGAGCAACGACAGTCGCTGGCAACGCGCACATGGAAGAGTCCCGCTGCAGCGAGTCTTTTTCTCTTTGCAAATATCGCACGCTCTGGTGGCCTTGAGTCGCTGGCAGCTCTCTCGCTTGACGGAACCAGATGGCTTTCTCTTGCCTTTACTGGTGGTGGGGGGCTCTTCATCCTCCCCGTAACTTGGATCCACTGGAGGCGTCCGTTGCGGCTGGTTTGTGGGGGTGGATCGGTTCATCTGCACTTTGATGGACTTGCGGTCATATAGATATGGGTTTTTTTTTGGCGTTCAATTGCGACTCCTGAGTGTCTTTCCCAGTTCCAACGTAAGAAATCAGGGTGAACCCAACGGGTCGAAAAGTTGATTGTTGTCCCTCATGGCTCGAAAACACGGCAGGGGGGATCGAGTAGTCCTGCATACACGGCATTGCGATTGTCACCAAAGCACCGGCGATGGCAAATACGAGACACCGGCTAATCAAGGGAGCAATTATGCATTGGCGGGTCCCCGTCTGCAGAAATCAGACCCTGACGGCGGGCTTTCACGTCCAGGGCCGATCTTAGACCGAGACGATTTAGGGCTTGGCCAATCCAAGCTCTGGGCCCGTGGTCGTCCCACCAACTAATCTTAGACGGTAATTTAGGGCCTCGACGGAGAACACTAAAGGCCCACCGATGTAACGGTACCATGAGATGCCCAACTGGCCATCAAGACTTGAAGATATCGTCCCGGGGTCCATCGCATCCCATAAACCAACCCGGATCAGTGTAGAGTCTAGACAAGTGACCAGTGGAACCGCGATGAATGGTATATGCTCTGAGGATGTGATTTTAAAGACGCCTACACTTGTCAGATTTTAGCGGAAACCACCGCCATTGAAGGAACGAACGGCTCCTGCCGAGCCGAGGCAATCTAAATCCTGCGCGGATCCACGGTGGCAATGGTAGGCTATGGAGCATTTGAGCGCATTAAATTCATTAAATGCATGCAGTCCGCTCCCCCCCAGGATACGCCGCACCCGTTGTTCTTCAGGAGAGAAGCAGCCACACACCAGGGTTATTGCAGAACATTGATTATATCTCTCTTGCTGCTGTAGTGAAAAGCCTCTCTTCTTTCGAGACTGGTCCCCCACGGAGGGCTGGTGGGGTCAATCTCCTTTAAAACGTAACGCGACGTGCCTCGGAGATATTTGGTCACTCTTGCAGAATTCTATCCACCTAACCTTCGTATTCTGTTTATAGTTGCTGCCGGCTACTGCATGCAAATGATAGCGCCAAGTGCAACGGCTCATATTGACCCAATGGGCCGGGCTAGCCCTCATGGAATTCTTCACGTTGGACCTGCCTCCGTGATGCTTTTTACTCAAAATCTCTTCTAATCACACCATTCACTCGCCAAGACTACAGGTTAAACCTTGTCATCTACTGGACCGTGGCAGATGTCGCGTTCTCATGCCCCTCTTGATGGTCATACAACTTGTTGTGGGTTCATTGTTAGCGACCAGGTCCTCTTCGTGAGACTAGCTAGAGACCATGCGACCTGGACTTGTGCAGGGGTTGATGACGCTGAGAGATGACTGCCGATCTGCATCTGCCGTGAGTCCAGACGCTCGGACGAGGACCCGCTGCCGATACGGCTATACCACACTTCCGGATTTTCATTGCTCTTAGAGCTGCACATTACGACAAAACCACGAGGTTCCCTGGATTGAGAACCCATGTTTTCTTCAAGATCCCCGGTTCTAGCATTGGAGCCGACCATCTACCAATCTCCACACTCCATCTGCGTAGGGATGGTCAGTGAGGTCGAACATATCTGACATTCAACGAATGCATACCCTGAGCGAAGGTCTTCCCAGACGCCATCCGATCAATGCCGCGGATACCAGTTGTAAGTCCTTGAGTCACGTTGTCACAAAAGCATACGATGTGGAATTTCTCCCTTGACACTGGGAAATATTTACAAACCCAGCAACCACCTCTTTGGATTCCGTATCCGCTACAATTGTTAATACCCACGGTGCATAGTAACTGGACGGGAAGAGCTATACTTCTGTTGTGCGATAAACCTTTCAGCAGCTGGATTCCAACCAAGACAATTATCCAGGCGTAGCTCCGTGAAGCGTCGTCGGCTTGGCGATCCACAGCTTGCAACGAGCCTGACTGGAGGAGCTGGGCGTCGCTGGATATCTGTCACATTGATCCCACTGTCTTCTAATGCCATGACATCGCCAGACCTGCCTGATATTGGTGGTATATTCTCTAGATATCTCAACGGTAGTATCCAAGTATTCTGACGCTGGTCGTGTATTTCTCGTGTGTGCTGGCTCCGATGTTGATTTGGCCGATCTCCAACTCCAACCCCGGGTGGTGTCGCCAATACTCTTAGAACCCACACTGACAGGCATAGAGCAATGGCTGCTGTAGCCAGGGTCTTCACCATTGTGGCTGATGCTTCAGCCGGGAAAATGCCTTGGTACCTCTGTATGTTTTTAGGTTTTGTCGTGAGGCCACGATAGAATTTTAGAGAACATCCTTGATAGTATCTTTGTTATAGCGGGTTGTGGCTGTTGGCTATAGCATCAGGAGCCGTAACTCCTGGTTTTACCCCCAGAAAAGGGGGAGGAGAGAAAGAGATTGCACTGAGAAAGGATGAGGAACGGGGCAAACGGGAAGGTGGCAGTGAACATGTATACACGATGACACAAAGAAAGCATAGCAAAGTTCTAGTAATAGACGCCCCGCCGTCTGGTGAACTGAAGCGCTTATTGGATCAACATTGCCCCAATGCTAAATGGGTTGACATTCTCCACAGATAACTGGGCGTTGACCCAAAAGCGTACTATCACAATGGTTGTATTATTTCCTAAACGATCATCCTTGTACCCTTGCGAGAAAGCCGCCTAAATATCGATTAATGCATCCTTCCAATAGCTTCATTGCTGCATGGTACCGACTGTGCTGTGCTATTTACATCACATTTACGTGATAGGAGAATGTCTCCGGTAGACAACTAGATAAACCTCTTTATATAGAGCCGACAGTCAGTCGCTAGAAAAGGTAGTTCCAGGATAAGCTTCTCCTATCAATATTTCCACTATATTTGAATGGAGATCTGTATGTCAATGCTGACTCATTCCATCTTAACAGACCCGAAGGCTCTACTCTATAGAAGTCAAATCTGGGGCTATGTGGGTATCGTTTGCGCCATGCCGACTTCTGCCAGCTTCTTGACGCGCATGACAGAGGGTAATTATTTTATTACATGGCGACTCTATCTCCCAGGGTCTTCTATGAAGGTGCGCAATGTCGATTGCACCTTTATTTTCAGGCCTTGATTACTAGGGAGTACCGATTATAGCCCATTCGATCTATGTATATAAACAATAACACCACTGGAAAGTTGATAGGTTCAACAACTCCTAGTACGTCAGGTAAAAAAGTGCCGTACACGTGGGCAATGTGTGGCATTTCCATATGCCGACCCGCCGTACGTCAAATAGCCTGCATCCGGAGTTCCAGACTGCGCCTTGATAGCCGTCTGGTCGCCGAAGGCAAAGGCTGTCTGCATGCCCATTAACATGTGCTGAAGGATATGGCAATGTACCATCCATACGCCGGCATTCGTAACCCGGATACGCCATGCCCTCCAGCCAGATGGCTGGAGAGCAGTCGTTGTCTTTCTGTATGCATAGAGGACAGTTGTGTCCCGAGTTGCCGGATGGGTATCCTTCAGACGGCGCTCATTTTCCGTTAGGTTGTATAGCCCATCCCCGCCACCGATGTCATAGTAATGTCGGCCGTGTGCGTGGAACGGGTGGTTCTCAACACCACCGGAATTAACAGCACCTTGATTCTGCCAGACAATCTCTAAAACCTCACCCATCTTGGCAGGGAAGAGACGGGTTTGGTTGTCAAACCCATAGCCACTGGCAATTGCCCGCTTGTACGAGGCGTCAAGGTCTAGTTTGCCTTCATAGATATCGACTAGATATGGTGACTTGGGATATGTCTCCACCCAGTCGTACCCGTTCTGAAGCCAAATGGTACGGTCACTGACGTTTTGGTGAACATTGATAATGATGCGCCGGGTTACTTCCTCAACAGTTGGGAAGTTCGGATCCGGATAGTATGGCTCTAATGTGTAGTCCAGCCAGCCATAAGTGATATTAGCCACCGGGAGTGGAGAAGTGACAGGGACAGTAATGAGATCGGTCGTGGTAGTGGATGGGTACTCCAAAACTGCATAGGTTGTAAGGACAGTTGGCCGGCCCATGGTGGTGAGTTGGAAATAGAACTGTCGGGACTTTGTCTGTTGTAGCTCGGCCTCGGTTTTTGCCTTTAGCAGCACGCTAAAGCGCTGGCCGCTAGATATCTGTAAGTAACTTGTATTGACAGGCTTGGTATAGTGGCCGTCCGCTTCGATAATCTCAAGCACATCATGGCTCTCTATTGACAATGAAACAAATGACAACACAGTTGCCCCAATAAATCGTAGACGATAGGTCTTTCCAGGCTCGACACTGATAGCGGCCAGCTTGCATGACCCAGTAGCATTACTAGCCAGTCGGCCTTGGCCGTTCACCAGGACCGCGCCGGTCTCTCCACTCCATGTGAAGTTAGTAGAGGTGAGGCCGTCCTCAATCTCTTCATCTGTCTTAGCGAAGAAGTCTGATAGAGCGATAACACGCTCTTCGTCGTACTGGTATGGGGATGGTTGGGCCGATTCTACAATAAGTGCACCCCAGGCAGTGAGGGCCTGGAAGCCAACGTGGGAATGGTAGAAATACGTGCCAGCATAGCCGACCTCAGGGCGAACTTCATAGTCAAAGAAGTGGCCAGGGGGTATAGGCCATTGACTAGCCATGGGAGTACCGTCGGAGAAGGGTGCAGTAAAGGCAGAAAGGCCATGCCAATGCTGTTGTCAATGTGAGTTTATAGGCATCTGTCGCGAAGAGGGAGCCAGTTCCGTACCATTGTGACATTTCGATCCTCCATATCGTTGTAGACACGGATCCAGTTCACCTTACCCTCCTGGATCTGTAGCTGGGGGCCTGGAAGCGACCCATTTACCAAGACTGAGTATCGGTCCATGCATGCCTGGTTGAAATTCTGAGCCGTCACCCGAAGGATATGGTCTGGCTGAAAGGAGTCGTCATGAAGAACGAGATGGCCCTGAGTTGCTGTCACCAACCCTAGGACCAGGCAGAGTGTATGCAAGATACGTCGCATATTTGCACATAGCAGCCCCATTATCAGAATTGGAGGAGAGAGATCTATCCATGAACAAAGCGAGAAAGGCGCGAGGAGGAAAAAGATTTTCCTATTTATTAAGACTCACGATATCAAGGCGGCTGTGCCCATCATGCCATGTGGGTCTAGCGGTTATTTTTATGGAGGGCTGATCAAATTATTATCAATGCTATGGGGAATGCTAACAGAATGCACAGTTATGACTGGGGCCTCTCTAACTAAGGCTTCCTACATACGAGGCGGAGCCCACTTGGATCGACATAAGACGTCGCTGGTTGGCTCCTTTGGGGGCTGGGGGTTCGCTGGCGATTATCCCTAGATCTGCTGCAGTGAGCTCTTGGCACGCATTCAGCGTCCCTGCATTGTCAAGAGTATTGGTAATACGATAAGAACCACACACTCGCACGTTCATCTATCCTGGTTGTGTGTATGAGCCAAACCTGTATATTACTCGAGATCGTGTCCATGAAAATTGTTTCTTTATTGCTGCCTCACCTTCAGTAACTCGATGGTCATTACTGTATTGCACTACAACATATCGTAGAAAGAAAATTTCAATATGGCTCCCTTAATGATCATTAATGGTTCTGTCAGTACATATAGAAACTCAAAAATGCTTATATTTGCTTCAGATACGAAGTTGCTCTCTACGAAGCATGCGTTTATCTGTAAAGTCGCTATGCGATTTATGCTGAGAGGTAATCAAGGTCAGAATAACTATGCAGAATGGGCTATTGTTTCTTTGACCCTGGTAACGTGGGCAGCGAATTGAGGATGTTCAGCCCTTTCGATCTTCCAAATAATCAAGGAATCATCTGCAGATCGCGCAAATATAGCATGGCATAGATAGGTCTGTATTATGGACTAAAAAACAGAATTATAATCATGTGTAGATCGTATAAGGAAACAGCAGAGCTTCTATGACGAAAGGTAATCAAGCCGACGTTATATCCGGAATGGGAGCATCCACCACCCTCGCCTGGGAACTTGCGATGTATTTCACTGCTACTGCCTTGGTCTCTGTAATTTCCATTTCGGACTCTTCAGTCGGATAGAATGAGATATTTCCACCCTCGCCTATCACACCAGCGCGATCTAAGTGACAACGTCCGCGTACATAAGGGTCGAGATCCCAGTAATTGACTCTCATTTGTTCAATAATAGCGTTTCTGCGCTCTTTGGCAGCAGCAATCTTCACTGAGTTGTCCTCTTGGGCGACTTCTATCCACTCGGCAGTCGCTTTCAGTAGGTCATCGCCAATCTTCTCACGCTCCGAAAGGAGGGTGTCCCGGGTAACAGTATCTTCCATTCTCTCATTCTCGCCTTCGACCGGCTCAATGAACTGATACTCATATTGGTCCTTTCCACCTAGCTCCTTCACAAGTTGCTCAGGAGCTATATGTCTCTCGAGGTCTGCAGCAGTGTAGGTGAAGTCGACCTTAGATACTATCACAGGATCCATCCACCCCTTGATAATCTTCCAAATCCCTTTTGCACGACTCAGTTAACGTTCCTCGGTAGAATGAGGACACAAAACTACTCACCTGAAAAGATCCATGGCGCATTATGGATCAACATGGCCCCAAGGGACTCGGGATAGTTGGCCTGGAAGCAGTCAATCAAAAACTTCACGGGCGCATATTCCTAAGCAGGAAACCATTGTGAGCCGAGTCTTATGCATAATCAATAAGGGGCCAGATCACTCACCATATTAGAGAGTGAAAAGCCAGTCATATCAAATATAATATTCTGTCATATAGCGTTAGTGCTATCCTCTTGAGATTGGACGACTGCACCGAAGGGTTTGTCCCTGGTAAACAGGAAGAGCAACGAGGTACGTACCACTGATTCGACGGGGGGGACCAGGACTAGCCGTGCGGACTCGATGACATGCAGGATGTAGCGTTTGATCACTTCTTCGCTCTGTGCTTTCGGGTTGTGCAGTCGTGCCTTCACGATTCCGATCGGGCGACCGGCACGGTCTGTTCCATGAATGTAGCATTTGCCCATGCGCATCTGCGCCAGGAATGTACTGCCAGCCTTCGCCTTCTCTGGATTCGACTTATCCTGTGCCTCTTTCAACGCTCGTAGTTCGCTGTTGGAAACGACCAGCTCATCCACATGCTGCTCTTTGACGCGCCATACCAAGGCTTCAAGCATCATGGCCAAAGCCTTGCTGACATCCCACTTACGAGCCCGCATAAAACGGAGGAGCAAGCCATCGGGGTGATCTTGCTTGGCGGTCTTTAACAAACTGTGGCGGATCTCATTGATCGAGGCCCGATTCAAGCAGTCGCGGATGGACTTTAGCTCGCTGCTGTTGATTCCGAGACTCAATAGGATCTGATCTAGGTCCTTTGGAAGGTTTGAATTGGTGGTGTTGGACACGGTCTTCGAAAGAGACGAGCTCCGACGGTGGACAGGCCGAGGTTGTTTCTCTTGGGTCTCCAAAGTCACATCTTGGAATTCTGGCTGGCGGATATCATTCAAGGTTAGAATGATGGACCAGAGTTGGCGCAATTTGGCTTCCTGGTCTGACGAAAGATTGCCTACGTATCCTGGAGCGTTGGTGGCAGCCATGGTGTCAAGACAATAAGAACAGAGGCACGCCGCGAGAGAGCTCAGGTACAATACAGGGAATCACCCACTGGTCAAAGTGAAGCCCGTCGTGAAGCAGGGCTACTTTGCCTTTATTAAGCCTCGTTGATCAGCCGCGGCATATGAAAGCCACCCCCGCAACCCTGATCGACAAAACCTCGGATCTCGATTGCGGAGGTCGGAGCCAAGCGCTAAACATTTGATTTCCCCTCTATTTAAACATCGTATTCTCGCTCATTGGCGGACGATATGAAACCTTGATGTCTAGTGCAGGAATATCAGCCACACCCTCGCACTGCTTTCCCAAGGAGATGTCGATTCGAAGTGGATGAAGACCCCAAGACTGTCGATTTGCGGTGCGGACTGGATAGTTGTAGGTGTAACTTACAGTAGCCTATTAGTCCTATGGCATATGGTTATATATTGTGTAGCAGCAGCACTACGATGCCCTCGGTATGTCGTCCGACGTCGCTGGGACACACGGACTTTGTGTAATCAGAGCCGCGGTAAGCGTGAAGGTTATCCTTGGTGTTGATACTCAGTTCGCAGATCCCTAATTGACAACGGTAGGGAGACCACGGCAGAAATGATGATGCCATAGTGTGGCTTTCCGCTGTTTCTTCCTGCCGCAAGTCCACTGGGCTGCGTGTCTAGTACTAAATCGTAAACTGGGTAGAGCAAAAAGATATGAAGCCAACAACCGCAATGACCGACGTCGCTTGGAAACTCGTAAAATTGCGAAGGGAGAATGGATTTCACTAAATCTAGTACCTGGTTCCACCAACGGACAGTGTAATATTCATTACCTAAAGGTATGACAACATTGTAGACACTCAAGTCGCTGAATTTCCCGCACGATAGATCCTCCTATCTCCCTTAATTAAAATTAACATTCAACGTACGCCCTCACTTCTCTACAGCAGATATCATAGGAAGCGCAATGTCTATAAATGCACCTGTACCAATGGCATAAAGGAGCGCCATAGTTGCCAAAACACGGAATAGAAGTCCTAACAGTCGCTGGACCTCACTATTTACCAGCGCCCAAATCCGATTCGTGGTTTCAAAGCTGTCATTTCCATTGGGGAACGGAACTCCCTTGGGGGCATCTTTTGATAGAAACTTGCATAATGGTTCCCATCCGTCCCGGACCTGGTACTCCAGTAAGTTCTCCCTCGGCACCATATTGCGCACCATTTGGTAATGGGTCTCATAAACAGAAACACCGTGGAGCTGGAAGTCGCCCCGGAAGTAGTCGGTGAAAGCACGGATGAACATCTTGCGAGTGAATCGATTTGGACTGCGAGTGAGGATGGCGAAAGTGTCTACGACCGATGACCAGGGATGGAAAACGTTATTGAGAAGAGTGGCTTGGACAGATCTGTGCTTCTATTAGCGCCCAATATGCACCTACATCAGTCAGCGTCGCTATTCTCACCTGTGCCATTCTTCAGCGTTCCGATTTGTTAGAATTACTTTCGCCTCAGGGTATGCTTCGATGAGCTCTTTGGCAAACACTGCGGCGGGGATATCGGTAACCGCCTGCGGTTTATGAGCCTACACATTATCGCATGGAAATGGCGCGAGCGTTACATACTTGGCAATGGCCGAGAAGCTGGTCCCATTCTGTTCTGCCAAAGGGTTTTCCTATCCCATCCCACTTGGCCGCCATTGCATCCAGCCACATCTCACAGTCTCGGGGATTCTCAGTGGCAGCGGTATAACCATGATATACATCCGAATAGCCTAGGTTCACCAGGGCCTTCTTAATCGCTATGATGGTCAGGCCGCGCAGATTCTAGGAGTGTATGATGCCAACCTACAATCTGTCCCGGTCCTGCTTAACCCAAGCACCAGCACTTTCATTGGGACGGTCCGACGGCATTTCCTGCGGTCAATATTGGTCGGAAATCTGGCCTGCATACTGTTCGATGCCGAGTATTTTTCGGATTAAACAGAGCCCTTGACAAGCCACCTGCTCAGATGACTGGAAAGTATCGAAATATATCGACACAGGAGTACCAACTCACAGTGCTGTCAACACCGACAATTTTGTCGCTTGACGCAATGATTTTGGTGTGCATATCTGTATCTCACAAGGTGGCGTCCTACTTGAGGAAAATGAAAATGTTTTGGGAAGCAAGGAGGGCGTCAAAATATGATGGATCGACTCGTGTTCCTGACCTGTGCGATTCGGTTCTTGCTTCCATCCCTGGACTCCCACACAACGGATCTCTCGCTGGAGGATCCATCATAAATTATATTGACCCTGCCTCGCTCGATCTCGGGCATGCACCCAGTCTGTTACTGGTCGCTATCCAAACGCAGGCGAAGATATCATAAATTACCGCCGGTTCAGGTGCTGTGAATGGTGTCGAACCTTATTAAATTGCCGCAAGTGCCAGGGGCTATGGTTTATGTCGAAACCCCCAAGCATCAGCATGGAGAGCGAGCGTCTCTGAGGAAAGATCGGTGCGGAGCAAACACTAAATGGTGTGCTAGGAGCTGCAGTAGAAGGATTTCGGTACGGTCGCGCTGACCTTGTCCAGTTCCGGGACTTTCTTCTGTATCAGATTCATCTGGTATTGATCCAAGTGGGGATGATAGTCACAGACTTGTCTAAGACCGGGGACGCAGTGGAATGTACTAAGTTCGCCGCGCTCGTCTTCTAGGCACGAGCCCCTTTTGTCCGTTACCCCTAGGTCTGTCTGTCTCTTTTCCCCCTGAGAACTAATCTTTGCTCAAATTGTCTTACTAGGTATTCATGCTATAGTCTGGGGCGATGGAGACAATAGCAATTAGCAAAAGATGCTTCGATATGTCACCACGGTCGATCGGTTAACGATGGCCCTGGGCGCTGTCGCGGCCGCTGTGGCCGGAGCAGCACTGGCTACTGTTCCTGTAAGTCTGGTCCTTCATTGCAGCATAGGAACTTGCTGAATTTGCAACGTAACAGGTTGTCATTGGAGCCTTCACCCAGCATTTCAGCGACTTTCTAAAGCACAAAACGTCCTCCGATGACTTGGCGCATGATACCAGCCATCTAGCCGTGTATTTCATCTATCTTGGTATAACCTCAACTGCTCCACCTCCAACGACATTCAACTGACCTCTGAGAGGAATCGTTTCGTTCGTTGGGCTATCACTTAGTACTTTGGGGTTTGCTCGGGTTGCGGAGTCCAGTACCTACCGTCTACGGAGAGCGTATCTGTCTGCGCTCCTCAGGCAGGATGCTGCATATTTCGAGTCTATGGGTCCGGGGGAGGTGACTACGCGCATCACGAATGATATTAGTCTCATACTCGATACCTTATCTCACAAAGTCAGCATCCTATTGACAGGTCTGTTTGCGTTTGTGGCGGCGCTGATAATTGCGCTATCTCGCAATTGGCGTCTCGGTCTAGTATTGATCTGCATGCCTATTGGAATGGTCGTAATCACGGGGACACTGGGAGCCTACATGAGAAAAATGCAGCAACAAAGTGGCAGTGTGTATGTGAAATCGGCGGACTTTGCTGAGGACGTATTCGCATGCGCCCGCAGCATGATCGCAGATGGCGCGCAGGGGCGGTTGTCCAAGCGATACGAACAGATGCTGATACCAGCATTAGGAGCTGATCTCCGAAGCAAAGTAGCCATGGCAATGATGATAGCTCTCACGATGACGGTGATTCTCTGGGGGTATGGACTTGCGGTAGGTGACTCTACCATTGTTGTGTGGATGGCAACTCACCATATCATTCACAGTTCTGGCAGGGAAATCGCTTCTTACAAAAAGGAGAATCCAGCCTGTCAGATATCGTGACTGTTTTGCTGACATGCACTATGGCTGGGGTTCTGCTGGCCCAGACTGCACCATTTGCGGTCTCAGTCGTGCAAGCCAAGGCGATTTCCAGCAAGATCTATGCTACGATCGATCGTGTCTCTCCCCTTGATGCTTCAACAAATTCCGGAGTGATACCCTCCTCATTCAACGGAGATATTGAATTCCAGAGCGTCAGGTTTGCATACCCTGGTCGACAGAGTGAGGCCGTTCTGGACGGACTTAGCTTGCAGATTGAAGCTGGGACGTCAATGGCAATTGTTGGTCCCTCGGGCGCTGGCAAATCAACACTGCTGGCTCTCATCCAAAGATGGTATGATCCATTAGAAGGGAATGTATTCATTGGGGGGCACAGTATGAATCAACTGAATCTTCAGTGGATGCGATCTCAAATTGGGTTCGTTGCACAAGAGCCATTCTTATTCAATACCTCAATCCATGAGAACATTGCATACGGTCTAGGTGCAGAGGCTGATCACGTAAGTTTGTAAGACTAATTTGGTATATGAAATATATTCTAACAATTACGCAGCTCGACCAGGACACAATTGTGGACAAGGTACAGGAGGCAGCCAAACTAGCAAATATTCATGCTTTCGTTCTGAGTCTCCCTGGGGGGTACTCCACCAGGGTCGGTCAAGCTGGAGGTCTTCTTTCAGGTGGCCAACGCCAAAGGATTGCTATTGCGCGAGCGGTTATCTCCAATCCTCCAATCTTGCTGCTTGATGAGGCGACCTCAGCACTGGATACCCAAAACGAACAAGCGGTTCAAGAGGCTTTGCGGGGGGTTTCGAAGGAGCGAACCATGGTAATCATTGCACATCGGTTGTCAACCATCCAAAGCGCCAACAAAATTGCGCTCCTGGAACAAGGAAGAATCATCGAGGAGGGAACCCACGATGAGCTGATATCGCGGGGCAAGAAGTACGCAAGTCTTGTTCGAGCCCAGGAAATTGCACAAGCCCGTCCGCCATTACGACCGAGACAAGGCAACTGGAGGGAGAAAGGGTCTGCCCAAAAGCCAGAGACTGCTGCACGTCTGACAGACGCCATGGAGAGTTCGGCAGAGAGGTCTACCTGGGGACTTGTGAAGATAGTCTGGCACCTTAATAAGCCTGAGCGAGTATTCATGCTCGTTGGGATACTTGCGAGTGCGTTTGCCGGTGCAGGGTACCCCCTGCAAGCGATACTCTTCGGAAACGCAGTAGTCTCCAATATATCCCCAAGTCTAGCAACTGACGGCCATGATCCCACATTCTGGGCCCTGATGTATGTTGTCCTCGGAATTTGCCAATTCTTCTTTTACACGGTCCAGGGAATCTGTTTTGCCATCACTAGCGCCCGACTGGTCTACCGAACACGCACCAATGCGTTTGTTTCTCTTGTCAACCAAGACATGTCCTTCTTCAATCGAGTAGAGAACTCATCTGGCACTCTAACCGCCTTCCTTGCGACCGAAGCAAGCAAGTTAGCGGGTGTCAGTGGGACCACCTTTGGGGCAATCCTCAACAGTGTCATGACACTCGTAGCCGCTGTAGCCGTTGCCTGCTCATTCGGGTGGAAGCTGGGGCTAGTAGCCGCATCTACCATTCCAATTCTGCTCACCTGTGGGTTCTTACGGTTCTGGGTCATATCATGGGCCGAGTCTCACACGAAGCGAGCCACCGATGCAGCAGGCGCAGCATGTGAGGCTGTTTCGGCAACCACCACGATAGCCTCTCTTGGTATTGCAGATCTGATTGTCGATCGATACTGTGAGAAGCTTCAAGCCGAGCAACCTCGAACATTGCGGTTCAACCTTGTATCAAGCATCATGTACGCAGCCAGTCAGTCTCTAGTCTTCTGGGTCACTGGCTTTCTCTTCTGGTACGGTGGAGTAAAGCTGGTCGCGTCTGGCGAGTATAGCGTCCAGCAATTCTTTATCTGTTTCACGGCCATTGTCTGGAGCTCCCAGGCGGCCGGAATGGTCTTCTCATATGCGCCAGATATTGCAGGGGCCCGGAGTGCGGCCGTTCAGCTGGCTGACCTTCTTTTCACCCGACCCGCAATCGACGTGGGCCTCCAGCACGGTGAAGTTCCAGGGGAAACCTCAACAGGTGTGATCCTGTCATCGGTGGAATTCGAGTTTCCCTCTCCCCGTGGCCCTTCCACAGTTCTACGAAACATTAACCTGATGGCCGAACACGGTCAGCTTACTGCCATTGTCGGCCCCAGCGGGAGTGGAAAAAGCACAATCCTCAACCTGATCGAACGATTCTACGACCCCACCCGCGGCACAGTTCTAGTGGGTGGAATGGATGTCCGTGGGTATAATCTAGCCGACCTCAGACGTACAATGTCGTTTGTCGGACAAGGCGAGTGGATGGTTGGCGGCACCATACGGGACTGCTTGCTGAGCAACGAGGAGAATGTGTCCGAGGATGAAATCATGGCCGCTTGTAAAAGCGCGAATATCCATGACTTTATTGTCAGTGGCTGGGGTCCCTTATAGCACTGGATACAATACGTGAAAGTAGCTAATTCGTGTCCAGATCTCCCTTCCCAACGGCCTTGATACCCCGGTGGGTGGCAAAGGCAGTCGCGTGTCCGGAGGGCAGAGACAGAGAATCGCCATTGCTAGGGCACTGCTCCGGAAGCCTAAGATTCTGTATGTACTTGTCCATCAACATTTGCAGATGCAAGTCTACTGACTATTTTCAAGGCTCCTGGACGAGGCAACATCTGCACTGGATACAATTTCCGAGAAGCATGTCCAAAAGGCTCTCACTGCTACCGGAGGAGAGCGGACAACGATTGCAGTCGCGCACCGTCTGGCCTCCATCACTCACGCGAATTGCATCTACGTGATGGATCAGGGAGAGATTGTCGATTGCGGCTCTCATGAGGAGTTGGTCGCTCGACAGGGGTTGTACTGGCAGTTATTTACATTGCAAGGCCTTGAAAGTATATAATCCTCATGTAAGCGATCTTGAAGGTTGAAGAATACACGCCGGGTTTTCCATGGGTTGTGTAGGAATATCATATTGAGCTGATCAGCCTAGCTAGTGCTAGATGGTGAATTAGATCTGAGTCTTAATGTGGCACACAAAGCCGTTCGGTGTCAAAAAGAGACAGCGAGTATATAGTTGCCTGGGAGGAACCGCATGATTCAGAGTATTCAACCTGGTAACCTTCAACTACGGGCTAGTGCGGGCATACTTGACGACATCTGGAAACGGACGCATCGGGGATTTTCCTCTATGCATTAATAGGAGAATAGCCCGCGGATCTGTCGATAACGCAGGGCCCTTAATTTATGTCGGCCTCTTTAGGGGCGAGCTCGGTGTCAACTACAATGGCACGGAGTGGCTTAGTTCGTGTAGTCAATCCCGTTCGAGTTTAATGACTGCCAATCAATCGTCAAGCTCGAACATATTCCCTCATCCGCTCATGGCATCAGACCATAGTTTTGGAGATTTCGCGACAATGTACCCAAATCATCATTCTGTCCGACTTCCCTGGTTTCCCCCGCATGCGTCTCGCCTTTAGCTTCATACATAAATGCAAACTCGACAAGAAATGATGCCAAAGTTACAATGCTGTGACACAAAATGAGAACAAGTTTCCGTAAAACGATCTTGAAGATACTCACAATGTAATAAAGCTGAAGGCTTCAGCGGCGTACTTTCTGCTGCAAACGGTTTCCCCGTTCCAGAGGATCACACGACAGCCGACATGGTTAAAATCGCGAGCCAAGAGAATAAAGGCCGTAAGCCAGCTACAGGGGAGACTTTAGTGTACAGGATGTGAGATGGAGTCTGGGGGTGATCTGCGACGCACAGGTACGAGAATGCCAAGTCAAAAGTCAACACTGGAATGAAATTGCCTTTGCGACGCCTGGTCAGACAGCTTATCGTTAAGGTGATTCCGTATACTGCAGGTGTCAGAACCGCCTGGTATATTGTTGTTAGATGAACGGCCTAGCCGGGGGTAGATGAGGTTGACTTGCGATGACCAGGGAGTATATCACGGTAGTAGTTTTGGTGTGCTGGACTGCCCAAGCCGTAATCCCGAGCACAATAATTGCACTGGCACATTGAATGACATGGATACAAAGGGAGAGGACGCTCAGAGCGTCACTTGTTCGCGCGCTACTTGTCATCGTGAATGTCCACCGAATATATGGCCTGAGAGCGCAAAGGAACTACTGTCCATGTTTACAGATTGAACACGGAGTTTAAATATGTCGGCAATTCGGGTTTCCTGGGTCCTGATGTCACCAGTCGAACGATTTCAGTTTTGACTTTTGCCACCCAACTCATATGTTGTCGGGGATAATTGCCATCCACGGGGCTACTTCATGGTGTTTTGTCCCTGGTGCCAGTGGTATGTCATGGCCAAGAGAGATACGGGGACCTGTAGGTATACTTTGGATCTCTGTCAACTCCTTGCCTGCTTTGGGAAAGCTATTAAGTAACACTGGCCTCATGATGACAGTCTAGACCATATTAATTTGGGACTCCACTATGGCTGTAGCCAAACGTCCAGTAACAAAACTTCGGCCCAGCTGGGAAAATGTTAGCGATTGCGAAGACGTCAACGGTGACTAGCCTTATAGACCTCCTCGGGGCTGTTCATGAATCATAGCTATTAGCGCCTCAACCCTAGGGCACAGAGTTAGTCTAGCCCTACGACGATTTCCACCCTCTGTTTAGTCATGGAGGCGTGTTCCTGCGTCTACCAAAACACTCGACACCGCGGGAGAAAAGGGCAAGGGTCAACAAAGCACTAAGCACCTCGCCCACACCACGACCGCGGTTCACTGTGATGCCCTCCACGACAGTGCATTTGCCAGTGATGTTGGCCAGGAAACCATGACTACAAATGATCCTGTTGAGGCAACCTCTACCCTGCACGTTGTTGAAGCGATCGACGACAGGGGTTCTGATTGACCACTGGCGGACAAAGCTGTTGCTCGCCAGTTGCAGGACGACGTTGAAAGTGTCTATATATGTAATAATCCAGGGCTGTCACACTCCGATCCGGACCTCACTCCGGTTCGAACAGGAATTGGCAGCGCTGTCCATCATTGTATAGCATCGCGTCTCTTGGTGAGCTTTCTCCCGCCTGAGTGTTTACCCGCCCAGCCCTGATTTCTGTGGTCGGAATTTCCTTTTTCTTTTTTAAATCCTGTGAGAGTACTCACTGATCAAGGCTGAAACAAAAAGCAAAAAAGCAAAAAAAAAAGTTAGGCGCGTCAATGCTGTTGCCATGTAAACAAGCCAAAGAGAGAATGAAGCCAGGAAAGAAGAAACAGCGTTGCAAGGTACTTCCACCCACTGTAAGGCTCCCAGATTTTGGATCCGGCCAAGATCCTCAGCAGATCTAGTTCACTTACTACTCCCAAGGGCTTAATTTTTCCCTTGGCCCATTCACTCCGGGGTGAGGAAAGCTGCGTCATCGGTTTTTTAGCCGGTGGAGAAGTGTGGGCTACCCTTAATGATTGGTACCGGCATCCGATGTCCGATCTCGCTTAGATCGTCGGTGCAATTTCAATGCCCCTAGGCGCGATTCTCAGACACTCGGTGTTTGGCTAGAAGCTTGAATGTAGCCAAGCTTACGTGCCGTCTACAGGCTATTGCCAGTTTTCCACCGGACATGGCGAGAGTCCTAGGACAAGCTCGACATGTAGCTGACGCCCCCGTCTCCAGTTAGGATCCATCATTTTCGGGGAGGCGACAGTGTGGCATCAAAAGTGCTGCAAATGGAGACTTCAGCACACTCCTGATTCATTAAACTGGTGGTCCTTCGCTTAGGGCACCCAGGAGACTCTGTGATTCATTCACTCAATCCTTTTCTCTACAGGCAGGGTAGGGATTTGGTTAAATAGGCTGATAAGTCCTACTAGGATAGAAAGGTCCAGCTATTTTTCTTCAGAAGGGTTGTTTTTGTCTCGTCTATTCAGCGAAACTTCATTGATTGAAGTATCCTTCCATTCTTTTACATACTTACGGCGACTTCATTGACTGAAGTCATTTGCCCTGCACTCCTTCATTATCTATTCTGGTTGACTGAACATGTCTCTCTCAAAAGTAGCAAGTGTGCTGCTGGCCTCAGTTTCGCTGGTCGCGGGTCACGGTTATGTCTCGAGCATTGAGGTCGATGGTACCACTTATGGTGGCTACCTGGTCGACACTTACTACTACGAGTCCGACCCCCCCGAACTGATCGCCTGGTCCACCAATGCAACCGATGACGGCTATGTCGCGCCTACTGCGTACGACAGCTCCGACATCATCTGCCACCGTGGCTCTGCGCCTGCTGCGCTCTCCGCTCCGGTGGCTCCGGGTGGAACGGTCAAAATGACCTGGAACACCTGGCCCGACGATCACCATGGCCCGGTCATCACCTACCTGGCCAAATGTAGTGGCTCGTGCTCTGACGTGGACAAGACTTCGCTGGAGTTCTTCAAGGTCGACGCGGGAGGCTTGATCGATGACACGGACATCCCCGGTACATGGGCTTCGGATCAACTGATTGACGACAGCTATAGCCGCAGCATCACCATCCCCACGGATATTGAGGCGGGCTACTATGTCCTTCGTCACGAGATTATTGCTCTCCATGGCGCTGAAGATCTGGACGGCGCTCAAAACTATCCTCAGTGTATCAACTTGCAAGTCACCGGCAGTGGGACTGCAGCACCGAGTGGTACCCTAGGTACGGCCCTGTATAAGGACACGGACCCTGGTATCTATGTCGATATCTGGCAAAGTCTCAGCTCCTATACCATTCCTGGCCCCTCTCTCTATACCGCGGGAAGCACGGCTACTGCAACTGCGGCTGCAGCTGCGACCACGACCACTTCAACCACTGCCGCTGCCATCACCACCCCGCCCACTGAGGTCACGGTCGAGACGAGCGCCGCCGTGGAACCATCTATTCTATCCCAGACGACTCAGATCGCTTCTTCGATGACCACGACCACGACGGTGGCTGATAACGTGGCTAGCACGGCCTCTTCAGCCTCTTCTACTACCCCGGGTGTCCTCAGTGGTTCTTGCAGTGACGAGGGTGCCTGGTACTGCAACGGTGGCACAGCTTTCCAGCGCTGCGTGAACGGAGAGTGGGATGCATCGCAAAACGTGGCAGCTGGCACCGCGTGCACGGCTGGTATTTCCGACACTCTGACTATTTCTGCTGCCAAGGTACGCCGCGATACCCGGTTCCTTCGCCATCGTCGGGCCCATGGTCATCGCCAGTAGATTGAGCGCCGGGATATGCCAACACGATGCGTTCCAGGTCGAGATGTGCGGGGATTGGCAGAATTTGTACAGTGATCCAGGTATCTGATGCTGTATTAGACATCCTCGCTATTTTCTGCTCCCCCTGCTACACTTAACTACCATCATGGCAAATTGAGTGCCATTAGTAGAGCTCATCTCCTGTGTCTATTTAGGTGGACTCCTTAAAAACAATACTTGATTGTGTTGCCCTAAAAATTTAAATAACGTCGGATCTTAACTATTATACTATGGCCATTCAGCAGACGGAATATATATTGAGCAATATAGGGGCATTGCACAAAGCAAACCTACCCAAGTTTCTAGAACTCAATATCTCAATTCTCGGAGTCTTTTATGATCACCACGCTTGCTTCGGCGTAGCATATAAATTTGTCGTAGGCAGTTGCGAGTATTATCCAGAGACAGACCCACACGATAATACAATTAACCAACCAGGGAGACTCGGAATTAATGCTTTAGTTTGACTACGCATCTCGACGACAATATATTCCTGGAAGATATACTAGTTGAATGTGGGTCGAAAATCAACCCGCGTGTTCACTTCCTTTGCAATTGATCTAGGGCACCACGTGGTCATGGGCAACCCTGGTTTCTGCAACTTCAATGATTATCCGCAGCCAGGCCCAAGTGGGCCATGGCAGCACCAGAGCGCGAATAGTAGCATGCGGATTGGCCGTGTGAAGAGTGGGGGATCAGCTCCACATCCCACTGCTGAATGACGAATTGATGAAAGACGTGATTGTATGCGGAATTACGGCACTCCTGGACTTCTTAATAACGGGTCCACCCACTTTGACAGCCCACACTTTGCCCGCTTTTTCACCTCCTGTCACATTGTTCTCAAAATGGCGAGCCATTCGATCCCCGAAACCCCACGTGTGAAGCTGAACGACAATGTGTCTATCCCAGTTGTAAGATGTTCCGCAGCCTGGGGGGCTTCTGGTGAACTAATCGATGCCAACAGCTTGCCTACGGCACCGGTACAGCCTGGTACAAACAGGGTAGGGACGATTCAGTCAACCGCGAATTAGTCGAAGCGATCAAGACCGCAATCCGACTGGGATACCGCCACCTGGATGGCGCCGAAGTCTACGGCACCGAAGCCGAGTTGGGTGTAGCAATTAAGGAGAGCGGAATTCCACGCGAAGAACTCTTCGTGACAACTAAGGTGATTACAAACATTGCGGATATCCCAAGTGCCATCGACCAGAGTTTGCGCAAGCTTCAACTCGCGTACGTGGACTTGTAAGTGCAGGGATGACGAGATCTCAAATAAAATGGATTGTATGCCTAACGGAATGCAATAGATACCTCATCCATTCACCGTTCTTCGCAAAAGATGACGGGGAGCTGCAGCAAGCATGGGCAGCCATGGAGAAGGTCCAGGAAGCTGGAAAGGCCAAAGCGATCGGTGTATCCAACTATCACCAGTCACATCTGGAGACCACACTTAAAACCGCGAAGATTGCACCCGTCATCAACCAGATCGAGCACCACCCCTATTTGCAGCAAGAAGAGCTGGTCCGCTTCCAGCAGGACAAGGGGATCAAGACAGCGAGCTACAGTCCCTTGACGCCCATTTTGCGTGCACCAGGAGGACCAGTGGATCCAAAGGTGGCGGAACTCGCTGCGAAGTACAAGGTTACGGAAGGAGAAATTCTACTCAGATGGTCCATCGACCGCGGAGATGTGGCAGTCACCACAAGTAGCAAGGAATCTCGACTACAGGAGTTTCTCCATGTTCTCACCTTTCAGCTGACCCCAGAAGAGGTGAGAGAGATCTCACAGCTCGGCCAGGGGCACCACTACCGGGTCTTTTGGCGAAAGCAGAATGGCGAGGAGTAATACTAGGCAATATTTCGGTGCATTATGATCTTACTACGATAGATAAATACATTGAAAATCACTCTCTCGGCTAGAGAATGTGCTCTGCAGGGTTAGGAACATCAGTAGCAGCACCGGTATTCTCTTAGAGGAATGATATGTTCATACGAATCGGGTCTAGACGAGACTCACCTCGGCAATACGGACGCTGCTCCACATTCCACCGTCTTGATCAATGCGGGGTTTGGATGAACCCCACGTACGGCGACCACCCTCGGTCCCGGGTCTATGTATCTGGATGATGCCCTTTCCTCAACTACATCTGCATTTTCACCATGACTATCACACACAGGGGCCGCCATTCGACAGCCAATAGGAAACACTTTTGGAACGAATCCTCGGCACTTGCTCAGCCAGGTGTGGTCTATTACTACCGACGCTGGATGATGTTTTACCCCCCGAGTTGTCTCATGAGGAGAGAACATTCTCTTTCACGAAGCCCACGGGGCCTGCATAAAATGCACTAATATCCTCCATCTGGCACAAAATATTGTAGTGCAAGGCACGAGCCCCATGTAGTAGTCCTAGCTTGCGACAGGGTTTCTGGTAGATCGTGTAACTCTCTGGAGCCTTACCCTCGATAGTCAGCGCTACTAGACACCTGTGTCTCCCCTGCTCTCCACCCATTCCTCTTCAACCAGCTTAACCTCCTTGCTTTGCACATTCTGAGCACCAGTGATATGCGCCCCGATTCCACTACATTGATATTTCTTGAACTGTCGCGTTGGGACTTCCGCCTGGAACATATCGTCCAGTTCTTCGAGGGAACGGCCCCGGGTCTCTGGCACCGTCAAAAATACCCAGATTAACGCAACCACGGAAAAGCTACCATAGATGAAAGTCACCGACCCTCCTAGCCGCGCCTGTACATATGGATTGACAAAATTGATCGGGACCGATGTCAGGAAGCTACCCATCGAGGCGAGGAATAGCGTGCGCTCGCGCAACTGGCCCGTCCATACTTCACCCGCCACAACCCAACAGCCGGGGCCCCAGGTGAAGCCATACATGCAGTACCAAAGAATCAAGAGTGCAATGGATGCCGTTGCTGCAGGTGATGACCCGTGGCTTGTATCTCCGGCGGCGATTGCGATCCCAGTTCCAAACATTGTGCCACCGAGGAGGATTGCCCCGATGCACAACGAGTATCGACGACCGATCTTGTCAAAGCTGAAGAACGTGATGATATGGACAGCAAAACTGCAGCCGGTCACCATCAGGTTGGTACGTAAGGGATCAGGGAATTTCAGCTGCTCCAGGAAGGTGACGATAAAGTTCTGAATGAAGGAAACGCCCTGGGCTTGCTGCAGCACCTGGACCCCAATAGCAATTATCGTCCGTCTCCGATTGGAGCCTTTAAAACAGTCCCAGATGGACGTTGCTTTGTGTAACTCTTGCTGCTCCTCGGCCTGGGCCTTGAGAAGTTCTACCTCATATGGAATCGTGTCTGGGTAATTCGATAGCGATCTCAGGACCTGTTCCGCTTCTTCAAAACGGCCACGGTAAATGAGGTAGCGAGGCGACTCGGGGATAAATGCATAGAATGCAATATATCCAATAGGCACTAGCAACTATGACAACCCTAGCGAAGTTAGATATCACGTCGTACCAACTCAAAATCAACAGGGATGCATCCTACAGATACTGCCATTTATCTGTTCTGGAACGCGATAGGTAGACCACAAGAGAAGCCAGGAAAACGCCCAGGGAGTTGAAAAAACTATACAGTCCAAGAAAGGCACCTATATATACGTCAGACGGTACTTTCACGATTATATCTCTTGTCGCCATACCTCGAATACGTGGTGGGGAGCACTCCGACAAGTACAGTGGTACACAGTTCGATGCCAAACCAATCCCCGAGTAGACAATGATTCGGCCAACGACAAGTTGCCAGAAGGATGTCACCGCGGATGCCTCGAGGGTGATGCCGATTAACATCAGCAGCGACAGGACCAAGAACGAATTACGCCGGCCCAGCTTGGATGCGACCACTGGGGCCATGATGCAGCCAAGAATGATTCCGGCCGAGCCTGTACCTGTGCCGACCGATGTCTTCTGGGATGGAATCACGAAATGCCCCAGGGCGTCATCATATTCTCCATATTTCTTCTGGAACTGGGAAAGACCCAATGCGCCTCCCCACCACCCGTTGTCAAATCCAAACCCCAGGGCTCCCAGGGACGACACCCCGCCGATGAGCGCAAGCCTCCAGTTGAGGTCTTGATACAGCGGCTGGGCCTTCAGCTGTTCCAACATATGTGAGAGCATAGGTACTGAGTAAAAGTGGGACGAAGATGGGGTGAGAGATGGGGTAATCAAGGCTAATGGAACATGATATACGACTCTATAGGGCCATTCCTTTCCCCGCATAATCCCCAGACATCTACAAATTTGGAAGTTTGAAGCACTGGCTGTGCCCCCACGAAATCCCTGAAATGATGTCGGATGAAGCCGACCTTTCTGGGGTCCTTGCGGACATAGAAAGCAATTGTAGCCAATATGGGTGGCTGCGTTTATGTACTTAACTTTCCGTCGCAGCGTTATCGCTCACTTTAACCCGCATCGCTCTTTCCAAGGCATTTCTTCCTATTGCTTTCATTCATTACTAGTGGATAATACTCGTCATGGCCCGTCATACCAAGACGATCGTGCAATCGGCCATCCTCAAGTCTGCCGCAAACCTCACCGCACAGCTCTTCCGCTACTCAACCAATCCCACAGCTCAGCCGCTAGACTGGAAGGCTGTCGTTGAATTCGCTATCTTCGGCCTGATCCAGGCCCAAGTGAACTGCCATTGGCAGGAGTTCCTAGAAGATGTATTTCCGTCGTACTCGGCCGCAGAAAAGACAACTGCCCTACAGAAGACCATCCAGTGGCGGAATATTGCCTACAAGATAATTCTGGATCAGACAATCGGGCTCTTCATAATGAATACGATCTTTTTGGTTTGCACCAATTTCACCCGATTCACCAGTGCGTCTGTGCTGCTAGCCGAAGTCAACCGGAAGGTCTGGCCCTTGATCGTCAATGCTTGGAAAGTCTGGCCTGCTTGCTCTTTGTGCAACTTCCTTTGGGTTCCTGTGGAGTCCCGCGTCCTTGTTGCCTCTTGTGTGGGATTCGGCTGGAATATCTTTCTAACTTTCTTCACGATGGTCAAATAGAAGGTGTTGGGATGGTTGTGATCTCGCAAACTGAGAGAGATATATATCTGCTTGAATGGTGTGGTGGGGATCACTTGGTGCTGTTTCTGGGCAATGGGTAGTTAGTATGAAAAGCTGGTGATGTACACAAATATCTCCATTTCATGTAGAGGTCAATAACACGGCGTGAGTTGCGATGTGATGTTTCTCGTATTCTACAAGTAGCCTTAACCATCCGCATAGTATGTTGATTGACGGGATAAAGGCGCCACCCACGCTAAACTGATTTAGTATATAAACTAATACGAACATAGTAAAGCAGGGTCCACATCAAATAAGGAAGTTTGAAGCACTCGGCTGGCTCTCAACTGTGCGTTCTAAGAAGGCAATCCCAACCACCACCATCGTCATTCATAAATTCTTGGCGCAGCGCCTCGCAACAGAGATGCCAAATCTATACTACTGTTCCTCATTGTTCACAGGACGACATGGCGTGGTTCCATAAGGTATCTTCATTATTACTTGTGGCGGGCCTGTGTGTTCAACCGTCGTGGCAATCGCAATGTACAAGTTCGACGGTCGATAAGCCGCGGGTTTTAGTGCTCAGCGACATCGACAACGAGCCGGACGATGCGCAGTCCTTGGTCCGCCTGATGGTGTACTCCAATGAACTACGCCTGGAAGGTCTCGTGGCGACGACCAGTATCTGGCTGAACGATACGACCCGACCGGATCTCATGCACGATATCGTGGATGCCTTTGAAATATCAGTGCCGTATCTCCGCCACCATGCATCGGGATGGCCCGACGCCAGCGAGATGCACAGTCTAATCGCGTCCGGACTGCCCGTGTACGGTATGGATGGCGTTGGCGAGGGGAAGGATAGTAGTGGTTCAACACTGTTGATCAATGCGGTTGACAAGTCCGAAGAGCCCCTCTGGGTCCTCATATGGGGTGGTGCGTCGGTTCTGGCGCAGGCCTTGTGGCACGTCAATGCCACCCGATCGCCAGCGGATCTCGATCGTTTCGTGGCCAAATTACGTGTGTATTCGATTTCCGACCAGGACAACACAGGAACCTGGATGCGGCGCAACTGGCCCAGCCTGTTCTACATTGCCAGTGTGCACCACTTCAATCGCTATGCCGTGGCTGGATGGGGCGGCATTTCGGGTGACGACTACTATCATTTCCCCAATAAGGCTAATAAGGAAGTCATCTCATCCGCCTGGGTCCAGCAAAACATTCAGGCTGTTGGTCCCTTAGGTACCAAATATCCGGATGCGGATTTCATCCTCGAGGGCGACACCCCTTCCTTGCTGCACATTCTCCCGAACGGCCTCACCGACCCGGAACATCCAGAGTGGGGATCATGGGGTGGTCGGTATGGGCCTGTCACCTTTGGAGAAGGCCATTTTGCCGACAGCGTTGACACCATCGTGGATGATTCGGGGCGAACAATGATGGGATCCCATGTCACCGTCTGGAGATGGCGCGAGGCGTTTCAGCGAGACTTTGCCGCTCGCATGAAGTGGACGATCGCATCCAGGTTCTCTGACGCGAACCACGCCCCGGTTGTCACGGTCGACGGGGACAGGACTCGTCGCGTTATCCAGATCCCGGTGGAGCCAGGCCAGGAGGTCGTGCTGGACGCAACGGACTCCTGCGATCCCGACGGAGACAGCCTGACCTTCAAGTGGTGGCAGTACTTGGAACCTTCTTCCAACAACAACAATCCCCGGAGAGATGTCGCTGAGCTTTCCCTGAGTTCTACGGATTCCCCCCGAATCACTGTCACAATCCCCCCGAGCCAGGTGATACGACGAGAAGACCGCAACACCCACCCGGAAAGCGACAAGCACTTGCACCTCATTTTACAGGTTTCTGACGGGGACGTGGTGTCCTATCGTCGAATCATCTTTACGGTGCCAGGCTCGGGATCAGCTCGGGACAAACAGAAGAGTCACGACGAACTGTAGATATCTAACCGTGTATATCACCATTGACTTACATGGTCTTTCAGGCTTAGACATCCTAGTTAAAATAGCAAGTATTATTCACGTCTATACTAAATGTAACTACTGCTGAGCAGTACTGTTTTGAACAGGCTAGCCTGGTTAGAATCCACATGCATCTACCAGGGTTCATACTACTAGTACCACAATCAGCTAATGTAAATCGAAACTCTTCATTCCTTGACGAGAATGGCCGAGAACGCTTCAAATCGGTGACTCGGTGATTGTCCGATGCCAGCCTTCGGCCCCGCAATCAATCGATTACTCATGGTGGGGATTTCCTCGGCTGTCGAGACGAGTTCCTAGGGACCGGAGAGATGCATTCAAGCCTTTGAGTTCCTGCATGCATGCTCGATCGTGTACGTCTGTTCTAAAATGGCAGCAAACTCTTCCCCTGTCTACATCTTAGGGCTTGGAAGTATCGGATGTTTTGTCGCCCATTCTCTTCACTCTCTAGCTGATAACCCCCCCATTACACTCCTGCTTCATCGAGAGTCTCTGTACAGCGAATTCACCTCCACGGGACAGAAAATAAGCCTGCAGGTCGGGGATGACGGAGATCCAGACGATCAATCCGGCTTTAATGTTGAGGTCTTAGGGAGCGATGTCACACCCACATCGCCAATCCCTTGCCTGATTGTCACAGTCAAATCGTCAATGACAGTAGACGCCATCAAACCTGTCAAAGAAAGGCTCGGGCGAGATTCTGTTATCTGCCTATTCCAGAATGGCATGGGCCAAGTTGAAGCATTGAATGAGCAGCTATTTCCCGACCCAGCCACACGCCCAACGTATATGTTCGGAATCGTTCGGCATGGCGTCTACCTGAAAGCGGCCTTCCAAGCTGTATTGGCTGGTCGCAATGGCTGCGTCTCCCTCGGCTTTGTAGACGCCGATGCCTCAGATGTATCCCGGCCGAGGAATCGGTTTCTTATCGACACCCTGCTCCGATCAACAGCTCTCAATTGCCAGGAATTGGAATGGACATGCCTTTTGCGCGATCAGCTTTTCAAGCTGGCAGCAAATTGCATCCTCAATCCTCTCACGGCGCTGCTCGATGTTCGCAATGGCGTTATTGCCGAGATGGCTCAGGTCAGACCGTTAATAAACCGCCTCCTGGAGGAGATATCAACGGTGTTTGGCCGGCTGCCAGAACTCCAGAATCTTGCTACCGATGATCCCTCATGCTTCTCCCCCGTGTCCTTGGAGGCCGTCGTCATGGACACGATCAGAAAGACAGCGGGAAACTCCAGCAGCATGCGGGAGGATATCCGTCAAGGGAGACCGACGGAAATCGAGTTTATTAATGGCTGGATAATCAAGCGTGGCAGGGAACTGGGGGTGGATTGTGTGGCCAATTCATCTCTAACTGAACTGATCCGGTCTAAGAGTAGTCTATCTCGTTAAGTATGAAAAGCTACAGATTCATATATTACCGATTGGTGAGGCAGGAGTGCTGAACCATGGTCAGATATGCACAATGACACTGCGCCTTACTCCGTAGAGAACTAAGATTCCTCTGGGGGACTGGGGACTCGCCCAAGTGTGGCGTTTACATCTGAGCAGGTAAAGTCTCCGGTCGTCATTCGCCTACAATCCACTCCACTGTTACTGCCATCAGACCGTAGGTAGCACATATGAAAGGCTACGTCGTTTGATCAAGATTGATAGAATATAATCCATTTGCCCTGCATCTGAGATGAAATTCACCGGTAGAGTACATAGGCGGTCCCATCATTCTCCATCCTCCGCCGCCTCATCAGTTACACAATCCACCCTAGCCGTAGTAGGGGTTCTTGACCTCGGACAAGTCACCAGGGTCCTTGCAGCACTGGCCGTTGATATTCTGGCCTATTGAATGGAGCTGTCAGTCGGTATTCGCACATGGATTCAGGACAAGACTGTTACGACGAGCATACCATTGGAATCGTAGAGGCAGTTGTCCGCACCAAAGTAGATATCACCATAGTCACTGGGCCAAGAAGCCTCCAAGGAGCAGCCAGGTTTAATGTATTCCTTGGTGGAGGTGCCGTCGAACCCAGCATAGATGGTAATAGGGGAGCTAACGGTAACGGAGCTGCGGACAGCGGCGTCGTCAACGGTAATGTAACCCTTGTTGACATGCTTTGGAGGATTAGACAACAGTTACGAGACAACCAAGGGAAAAGGATATACCAGGGTAGTAGCCTGAGAGAGGGCAGCAAGGCCCAAGGCAGCGAGGCAGAGAATGTTAACCATTGTGACTGATTGATAAAGAGATGCTGGTACAGGAAGATGAGATTATTGGCGATGAGGAATAATTGCTTGATGATTCTGTCTGGATTCCCGAGGGAGATGGTCACTTATATAGCTTTCTCCGAGCTATTTTGCCAGACCTCCTTATTCATGCTCGTAGTTACATTGCGCTTCATCTCAGCATAGTTCATCATACCTGAATTTGGCCCCCAAGGAGTTGATTTCATTCTCGACACGTTGCATGATGATTTGAATATTGGGCCATAGCTGTGGAGTAGGTCCTCTTCCAAGACCATAATAGCACGATGTGTACTCGCTTTCTCGTCTCCAACTAGCCAGTTTCGTACAATCAGAAGCCTCTCTGGCTGTATAGCACTGGGATCCACTCATCTCAACTACCATCACACGCCTGAGTTTCCCCGGTGGTATGAGGGTGTTTCCACCAGCGCAAACTTGGCGGCAGCTCACCACCGTTGGGCGGAGGATACTGAATCCCCGGTCAGTTGGAGATGTCCCCACACTGAATTGGCACCGCCTACTACGCTCCATTAGTGCCAGCGAGAAGTTCGTTAGCACAAGTACCAGCTGAAGATGAAGGTATTCGATTGAATCACAGTTGCCTTCACTCATTCGTACTCAATCCTCGCTCGGGCGTGTTAAAGAACACTACTCTTGTTCACCGGCTACCGCGAAACCCATTGTGCTATATGACAAGCGCTAGTGGGAGTGAAGATCAATGGATTCAGTCATTGCGGGGGAATACAGCCGAGTGGCCTCTCGAAACAACCGAGTAGATCGCCATGTGAATCTTGGTTCAACCAAGTTCGACCGAGTTGCCAATTCTAGGAGTTCCTGCGATGGACATTGTGCCAACTCAGTCGTTTAGGCAAACCCACTTTACAGAGTACTATACGGGCTTAACCGACCTAACTGCCTTCCTCATATAGACTACGGCACTGGGTCAATCTATTTGAATTTGAACGGTCGCTACTAGGGAGAACTGATCTGTTTACTCTCGGTTCCACCGACCGGTGATGGATTTGGGTCTAACCTAACCTATCCAGTCTAGTCATATAAGTTCCGATGAAAGACTCCAAAAGGAGACCTGCCTCTCGTTGGAGAACTCCACTCTTGCTCCACAACTGTGCATGAGTACTGTCGGCACTGTCGAAGTCAATGGTCGGTAGCTGCCGATTCCCGTTCGCCAAGTGTATCGGGAGTGACCCGAACCATCGCCAGGACGTAAGTCGTCGTCGTCGTTAATTGGTACGATGACACATGGATTCACAGTCGATCTGGTTAGTCATTTTTCGTGGAATAATAAAGGTGAGTTGTCGACATGCTTCGGCCGGTGAGTGTGAGTATACATATATCCCCCCATATCTTGCGCAAACTTCATTAATTGTGTCCTGAAGTACTCGATTGATCGCAGTCATCGCTGTACAAGCACGAGCATCTACGTTATTCCAAAGATGAAAAATAGAAAAAAATATGGCTTCTGCTTCATTACTGCTACACTGTGCCAACATGCTCGATCCTTAATTTTGTAGATATAGTATTCCATCCAATATTCTGGATATTCTCAAACATCAAGCAGATTTGAAACAGATCAAATAGACCGGGTCTCGCGACTTGTACTGTGTTTGTATAATTCTATTAGATAGTTACATCATGTTTGAAAGTTATCTTAACAAGCGGTATAAGTTTCAAATGACTACTGTATATAGATGGTTAAGCAAGAGGAATACTAGCTCAGATATCCATAAAATATCCGGCCAAGGATATATTATGGAATTAATATCTATTAACCTGCAATTTGCGGATATAGTATGCCCCCCAACATCTGACGGAGAGGATATGTCCTGGTCGCGATATCGTCTTGACAACACAGCATCGACAACTATTCCTTTGACTTCCCACGAACCTACAGAACATAGGCAATGACCCGGTTGATTCTATTAATAACTAACGCCAACACTCCTCCAGCTCTGGAAATACTAGTAGATCAGCAAGATCAGCATTAAGGACCGTCATTTCCCGTATGATCAGCGCTAGAAGCCGCACTACCTTTGTCACGAAGGGTTTGCGGGGCGAGCAGATCATTTCCACCTGAAAGTCAATTAATTAGTTGCTTTGCGTTCTTTATCAAAGATTCAAAGATGGATACGCCCGGTCTGTTGAATGTGCCCGATGTACCGATTACATCCAACGCCCGAGTGCCCAGGTTCTGTGCAAGGCGTTCGATCAGGATCGTAGCGCAAACTACAACCTCCTACCACGCGGAAAGCTTGCTTGATATCACTGGTTAGAGTACAAAGGGTGCCTGACAATGGTGGAGAAAGCGAATGGGTCAATGGATGCAGAATATCCGATTTTCCGTGTCACCGCAAAGGCTTTACCCGCTATCTGTGTTCCCTCCCAAAGCTTGGATAGCCGTACCAGATGGCCATGTGGGAAAAAAAAAATACAACTGTGACTATGAAATCGAAGACTTCTGAGCTCTACCAGTGGTTACGTGATATGCGATCACACATACTTGAACCGTCCAAGCCTCGCCTGATCGGAATCCTGAGACGTGACGCAAGTATACCATGCATCTACCAAGCCACCTTTTTTACCTGCCTTGGTGGAGATTACGAGTTGGACCTGGATCCACACAGCCTTTGTCGCAAGTTGACCCTTCTCGTACTTTCAACCCTTGTCCTGATGCCTGGGATCATAGTTCTGCCTTCACCCGAAGCAACGTTTCAGGTTTGGTGAGCGTCTGGAAGAGCCCGTCATCACGAAGATAAAAGGCCAGGAAAACCGCTCGTCACTCGGTCAATTCTTTTTTCTCAAGCTCATTCTTCTCGACCGGTGGTATCTACCTTCACAAGCCTCCATTCTGATTCAAAATGCAGTTGCTCACTACTCTGTTGATCTCGACTTTTGTGATCTCTGCTTCAGCAGTCGCAGTCGATACACCTCCCCCTTTCATCCAGCAGAGACCCCCTACTCCTCCTCCCAACTCCATTTGTCACTGTCAGGACCCACGCGGTTCGAATGTTAACTCCAAGACGGAGTACTGTTGTATGAAATACAGTGCAGCCTCAGGGACGGCCAAAACCGGCCAGGCTGTGTGTCAACATTTCAAGAACAAGGCGGCTAAGAACGGGTTTATGGAATGTTGCCAGCCATCGCCAGGCACGCTTGCTGACATCCGCTTTACGAACGGGAAACCTGCCCTCGATGACTTTGCGGTCTGCACATGACTGTAGACTATCCCGAAGCTAGAAAAGAGGTACGACAAGCTATATCCATTGTGACTTGAATGCGATACTCATACCATATCTAGAGCGACTATGGCATTTCTCCAAGTGCCGTTGGGATATCAGATCATGGCATCCTGGTCTGGACAGTGGAATGGGGTCTGGGACGTTGGTCTGAAAAGGTCGGGCTGTGTTACGGGACCAATGCTTTCAGGATATATGTTCATGGTTGAGGCTATGTTCAGATAATGGAATATCTAGCATGGATATGTTACCTTCAATATCAGGGTTGGCAGTCGTAGAAAAGCTCTGCCTGATGTTGTGTATTCAATAAACTATCCGCTGCTATCTGTATCAGCATCCAACCTAGTTTGATACGATCAGTCTCAATAGACAGCAGATAGATGAACGGTCGCTCTGATATACTATATACTCAGTGTTATTAAGATATGTGCTACAATGGAATTGGCTGTTAAAAGCAGGCTAACCTATAGTTTTCTCTCGTGTTGTCGATGGCACGTCCACGGAGCACGGAGCCCTAGGACACTGACCACCAGTGGGAATGTTCCTTACCATTCATTTCACCATGCGTTATAACCACGGCAGGCGATGCGCAAGGATAATTGGCTGTTCCACTGTCTCGACTAAGAAAGGTTTCTTTGATCTTATTCAGCCACCTCTTATCGTATTCTTTGTAGTCGTGGTCTTGGCTTTGCGTGGCGCAGGGACTGTCGGCTTACGGCTGACCATGGTCCTGTACTCAATACTTATTGCCGTTCTCTTCCGAAGTGACAAAAGACTCCGTAGTAAAGGTAAAGTTTCACGTTCAACACGCTATGACAAGCCTGTACCTGATACTATACTGTTTCATTTTGCTCCTTGCACCCACATGTGTCCTGGGCCTACGAGAGGATAGTCCGTTTGCTACCGACACATATGACCTTCCGAACAATGTATCCGCAGAATACTTCGAGGCCGAATCTCTCCTGTCTGTACCACCCTTGATTCAGAGATCGGCTCAGGGCCAACGGGTGCAGTGCGGCGCTGGCTTAGGTTACTGTCAGAGTATGTGAAAACGCATCTCCTCATACTGCGTTCCAAAAGTTTGCGGATCCGTTTCTTCATGCTGATTGCTACCCACAGACATCGGAGGCTGCTGTCCGATGGACACTCACTGTTGTCAATATGGGTTCTGCCTGCGACCAGGGTACACATGCTGTCCTAAGCAGCCTTGCCCACCCAACACGGTCTGCTGTGCTGGAGAATGCCACCCGAAAGGCGGCCAATGTTGTGACAACGGTCGCTACTGTAGTGCTGGGAGCCACTGTGGAACGAGTCAGTGGCAGATCACCATATGCTACCGGGATCTCACCGATGAAGAAATGAGGAATATTTCGGAGACTTTCTCGAATAAGAACGGTGTCCCGCGACAGCCATCATGGCAAGGCGGCTCACTCAGCATTATTTGTGTGATCTTCCTCTTTCTGTATAGGCTACTAGAGTGGTAGCCACACTGGTTGCTAAAATCAGCGACTAAACCTCTCCATCAGCTAACGAGTTTACTGCCTGTGTCTGGAAATGGGGTTACAATCGAAAATTGCCAGATGTTGGAATAGGAATTTAGGACCCATGATATATTTGAAGAAAGCCGAAACACTCAAAAACAAATAAACAATTATTTGCGTGGGAAGATTCCAGACCCTTTCTACCTTATCTCAAGTAGACAGTCTTTTTTCCCGATACACCGTTAATATAGTTGAAAGGCGATCGTGGCCATACAGCAACCTCGGTCAGAACTGACTCTACCTCTGGGACCACCACCAGAGACTGTTTTGATATATAGCGTCATCCTCATTGCCAACCAGGAAACCCCATTTCTTCAAGAACCAGGGGGAGACCTCCCAGCTGCGCGCATCCCAAGGGGTCCCATTTCCACGGCCATGTAAAGACGTCGCCGTTGAGCCCCAACACCGCATGCTATCATGCGCCAGATCAAAACACAGCTCATCCTCGCTGAACGCCGGGGTCCCGGATGAGATTGCTGTCAATGCTTTGGCACGAAAGGAGGGAAATGGTACAATGTCAAGATAGGGATGATGGGGAAACTTCAGTTGTTCTGGGATGGGCTGGAGATCTGCAGCCAAAGTATGGTAGGAAATGGGCTGGTACCGAGAACAAAAGGGCGATTCCGAATCATCGTCTACAAAATCGCCCAAAGATAGCCCTAACTGCTTGGCATTTTCGAGAAAGGCAGACGTACTTGAGAAGCTCGTGAGTTTGATTGTTCTCAGATCGCTGCATTTTGGTTCGATCTGCGATAGTCTTCTTGCCGTACTAATGCCTACGGCTTCGATACTCCACCGAGGAGGTCCTTTCATCTGTGATAGCAGACGAACTCCCGAGTACAAGACCAATCCAATGTTAAAAGGCACTGTGAGCTCGGATTTAACCAACTGGAGCCAGCAAAAAAAACATGTTTGATTGGCGAGATCAAACAAATGGTTATCAAGGGCTCCGCCCATCGAAATAATACCATATTTCAGGATGGAAGCAATCCCGAGTTGTTCCGCGTCGAGAATTTTCGCAACATTCTCTAGATCAGAAACGCTAGCGAAATAGCCTAATAGCTCTCGGTATAAAAAGTATGGCTTAGCACTTCGGTGATGATGTATACCGCAAGGCGAGCTGAACGGTGTGAGCTTCTGGCGTGTATCACGCGATCCAATTCCATATTCTCACATTGCAGGGGGGCTGCTAACATGGCAGAGGGGTCCAGAGACTGTTGAAGCCGCTCGCCCAAGCTGGCCCTCACTCTGTTTCACGACCTCGAGGCCTGCTTCTTGTCGTGCCTTTTGTCGCTGACCTTGGTTCCCGTCGGTTAATTGACTCGTCGCAGGTAACGGATACTCGTACTTACGACTTCGCCGCTTAGCCCGTGCATTTTGCTCTCGTCTGCGCTCGCGCATCCATGGATATGGATACTTTGTATCGTCCGACATTAGGGGCAGGCAAGAAGGATATTGTTGGAGTTAATAGCGTCGAGATCTTGCCAGGTGGTGTTCAGGTACAAGAGCAGACGTCTTGCGTCTGGTGGAAATAAGCCGGATATAATCGGCGTTAAGCATGGATGCCTTAGTAACAAGGTTTACTATCTCCCCTACCAAGGCGTTCATTAAGATAAATTATAGGGCCAGCAAAAGTAAACACTACAGAAAAGTCACCCCATCACAAGTACGAACGGATCTGCTCCTCATTCCACTGCCAGAATTTCTCACATAATCCCACCTCAAAAAGGTCCTTGCGACCTGCTACCACCTTTCCCGGGGGGACAACTATAGCACATGTTAAACCTGTTCGATCTGCTGTGGGAATTTGGTCGGGCTTTGGGACATACTCCATTTTCCATACTTAACAGACTCGATCTCAGGCTGAAGACCGGCATAAAGCTCGGTATAAGCACCCACTTCCGGTGGTTGGGCGATTAGCTTCTACAGGAGCATTAGCGGTGATATTGCTGGTCTGTGGGTTGGACTTACGACAGCAGCGACCTGCCAACAGGGCATTGTCCTCTGTAGGTCAGTCATTGCAGTGCCCGGATCAAGAGTCTACTTGGAATCAGTAAGGGTTCATGACACGATATTGCTCTAAAGACCCACAATACTGCCGACACCGTCCTTTTCGGAGCGCCGCGCAAACTCCACGGCTAGTAGGATATTGGCTGCTTTGCTTCTTGCATATTTTGTCCAAGCTCCCTCGTCCTGGCGGTAGTCTATATTCGAAAAGTCAATCGCCGGGGTCGGGGCCATCCTGACCGCCGAAGAGGATAACCATACAACGCGCACTGAGTTCCGAGGAGAGTCAGCTGCAGCCCTGACAAGAGCTGGATAGAGCAGCTTCGTAAAAAGAAATGGCCCGATCACATTCGTGCCGAGCTGCAGCTCATAACCCTGAGCGGTTGTGGATCCCTGTGGAGGGATCATCACGCCGGCATTATTCCAGAGAACGTGGAGCTTGGATTCCTTCGTCAAGAATTCTTCGGCTGACTTTTTGATTGTTGATAAATCGCTGAGGTCGAGCTGTAAAAAGACCATTTGCCCTTTAGAGTCGGGAAAACGCTTCATGATATCGTTGATTACGTTTTCCCCTCTGGAGGCGTTGCGGGCAGCAAGATATACTTTACCCCCATGTTGATAGAGAATGGATGCTAAGTGCAGGCCGTATCCTGAGGTAGCACCAGTGACAAGGAAAGTCTAATTTCCACGCTATTTCAGTATATGGATGTTATTCAAAATGTCCTTCGCATACCTTGCCACTTTGGTCACTAAGATTTGCCTCAGTCAAGGGAGGTTCTGATGAGGAAAACAAGCCCATTGTTGATTGAGAGCAAGGATGAAGAACCAGGAAATTGGGAAGTGTCTGAACTTCCTCCACCGAAGAGAGAGGGAGATGCGGAACTTAATATAGCCCACGATTGCAACGGATTCACGTACCTCTCCCACTTTACGCCATCCTCATCTATACAAGGACAGTCCAGATGTCAGCATTAAAGTTGAGACTTTTTAATTGGACAAACCTGGTGGGGCGAAGGTCAACATTTAAGTTTCAATATCTCGTTCTGGAAGTTCCACTGAAGATCATTCGATCCAGTTTACCTCCGTGCATCCAGCACGACTGATGTTATGCACACAAGCTCTACCTTCGCCTCAATATGCACTATAGTAGCCTAGGTTCGATGAAAGTAGTGTCTCATCGGCAATTGAAACCGATATGAGAGCAATCCTTAAGCAAGCCTGTTCTAACTTTAGGAAAGAAAAGTATCGAGTGACGGAATTCCATAAGACACAAGGCAGCAGAGCACCTAATCATGTCATTAAACATTGAAGCTGAAGGAAAATCCATTAGTTATTGTAACTGTGCTTCCTCGGCTAACGGAGTAGTAACCGCAGAAAGCTTCTGTGATAGCAACTGTCAATCCATGTCTCACGAAATTGCCACCGTCTGTTGAGATATATAGTTCTCTACTGGCATTGCTAATTGATGGGTGCAGTATGGTCCAGGCTAAATCTTAAGGCGTTGTTAGACTGTGAATGTAATAAGGAACATGCAAGCATCAGGAGACGGAAACTGGCGGGTGTAAAGGGTCAGCTGATGATGCCGTGCCCTCTCCTTACATACCCGACGAAGATACCAGGTTCGATTTCAGTCTTCAGGTACGCCAAGAAAAGATGGCAATTCGATTCACAGACTTGTCCTGATGCTTACTACAAGGGAAGGCGGTGAGTCTCACCGACTACCACCACGAATGACGTCAGTGGATAAAAGAACCCTGGCAAGTGCTCCGTAATCAGACTCTCCACTCAATATCGCAGAGAGCAGATGTCGACGTATGTGATCTACCCATTCCAGGAATCCTGGCTTGCTCCTATACGTCATCGCGGACTAGCATCACCCAGAGGGTCCAGAATATGTGTGGCTTCAATCAGCGAGTATATAAACTTGCGCGATTCAGCCCTCAAAATGGCCTACGCGCCGAGGAGCTGTTTGTCAACATAACATGAATCACAAACCTCCTCACGTTTCTCCACGTCACCATCCCGACACCGCGTTAAGATATTGCTAGGTGACATATATAGTCTTCCTTTACTTCGGCGTGGTTGAACAGCAGGGGATGTACTATCTCCCCTTTGTAGCATCTGCCACAAAACAGAAAATTAAACAGGCCTGTTAGCACAATTCAAACGACATTGGAAGGGTATTTTACGCATTCTGTCACTGCGTCAATTAGAGAACGCCTAGATATCCCCCCAAAAAAATGCATTCCCGTGAAAGTTCAGGGGGAGGTTGGGAAGGGGGCCCTCGAAAGTACGCCTACAGTCGCGAGGGAGCTCGGGAACGAGAGATGCATCTGTAACCAAACCTTGCCTTCCGTCGCAATCTTCGCGTGAAATACGTCTAACACAATGATACAGCTATCTTCCCTATTGGGGCTTTTCAGATTCCGAGAAGCATGCTCAACAGTCTATCGGAACCCACCCGAACGTGTCACGCGACAATGTCTTGACGGTCTTTGCGCAACTCGCTGCACTACGAATGGGAGCTCAAAGAGCCCTGATATCGCTTTTTGATAAAAGCATGCAACACGTTGTTGCGGAAGCAACTCCAGGACTTAGCTTGCGCGGCACTGAGAGGTGCGAGCGAACGGAAGCCTTATGGCTGGGCGTTCGTCGCCTGCCACGCCAGAAGATCGCAATGTGCTACCATGCAGTGAGATCATTTGTCGAAGACGAAAAGGACATTTTTGTTGCGACGGACCTTGCTGAAGATGAGCGATTCAAGCACCACCCATCGGTAACTGCTTATCCGCACAACAGATTTTACGTGTCAGTGCCCATCCAGTCCCCGGATGCATATGTCATTGGGAGTGTGGCAGTGCTGGACGACCGGCCGAGAGATGGAGTCCGTGATGAGCAAGTACATTTTTTGAAAGAACTCTCGGCAACGGTTATGGATCACTTGCTGTCTCAACGCGCGATGCGAGAGGAGTATCGCGAGGAGAAGATGGTCCGGGCACTGGGCTTGTTTGTCCGAGGCAAGTCAGATCTGAACGAGTGGTTCTATAGTCGAAATTCCCCGGACAAAAAATACGGCTCAAAGATGGCACATGTCAACAGGCGGTTGGAGCAACTGCAGGTCTCTGTGTCAAGCCCCGATGAGGACGAAAAGCAACAGGAGTGGATGGACAAGGATGGGGAAGCCACAACAGGTAAAGCCAAAGAAAACAAAAATCACAAATATAGATCGCCTGTCCGAAAATTTGGGAACCAACAGGACAGTAAAAAGGAGGATGAGGACGAGGTAGATAACAAAAAGAGCAAAAAGCAGCGCCCCAGGCTTTCACCTACCACTAGCCAACTTCAAGAGACACTTGCGCCGTCTAGTGTCCGGTCGGTGGTCAATCGCGCCGCTTCTTTGATATATCAGGCACTGGATGTCGAAGGGGCAATGTTCATTGATGCAAGCGTGTATGCTCGTCGACAAACTATGGGTTCTACCGAGACTACCCATGATACACCAGAAGCATACAGCATTGGAAACCAAGTAGACGAGGACCAAGTCCCTTCTGCCTCATGCCCAGAGTCTGGGTTTCCAGGCCCAGCCGATGACGAGAAAGAGGCCAGAAGTCTGGTCCTTGGCCACTTCACCTCGTCGACATCTGACCAAGCCGAGAATCTGAAAAACAGTCACTATGTCTCTCTCTCTGGCGCTTTTGTGAGTCATCTTATTGACCAGTACCCCAAGGGGAAGATCTTCCACATTGAAGAAGATGGCTCCATCGCGCTAAGTTATGAGGGACTAGCCGATGAGATGGACTATTCAGAAAATGGTGGACGTGGCGCACAGACTACAGAGGCCCAGAAGAAAGACGTACAGCAGGAGACAATGGATATCAAGCAACTTATGAAGGTTTTACCGGACGCAAGATGCATTGCCATTTTTCCTGTCTGGGACTTTCAGCGAAGCCGCTGGTTTACAGTCAATTTGGTCTGGACGGACGATCCAGGCAGAGTGTTGTCTGAGCCAAAAGATCTAACTTACATGGCGGCATTCAGTAACACGGTCATGGCTGAGGTGTCGCGCTTGGACTTGGAGGCAGCCGACCGAGCCAAGGGCGATTTCATTTCCTCTATATCTCATGAATTGCGGTCGCCTTTGCACGGATTACTCGGAACTGTAGAGCTGCTCCAAGATATGGTGAACTCCTACGCGCAGCGGTCGTTGACCGAGACCATATACAGTTGCGGGAGGACATTATTAGACACGTTAAACCATCTTCTTGATTATGCTAAGATTAATACTCTCACCCGACCGCGGCTGTCGGATATGGCTGGTCGACAAGGAGGAACAGACGTGTCCAAACCCCAATCAGCGGCGCCTGGCTTTCTCCAGGATGAAGACCTGGGCGTGCTGGCACAGGAAGTTATCGAGGGCCTTCTTGCAGGAGCAGAGTATCAGCGTCGCGGGCCAAACGGCAACAATGGGGTAGCTATGAAGAATAATGTCAATACCCCAGAGTCTCGACTGATGACTATTGTGGATATTGAGTGGCAGGACAGTTGGCAGTTCAGTGTTTATGCTGGAGCTTGGCGCAGGGTGGTGATGAATCTATTTGGCAACGCTCTCAAGTACACGCGTACAGGATACATTCGACTACTGATGAAGAAGGACACGTTGATTACGGACGGCAAGGGCCCTAGAGCAGCAGTTCACATCACAATCAGTGATTCTGGGCGCGGCATGTCTGAAGACTTCCTTAAAAATCATCTATACAGTGCCTTTCTCCAAGAGGATACCACGTCACCTGGTCTAGGGGTTGGTCTTCACTTAGTCCACCAAATCGTGAAGTCTTTGAATGGACAAATCAAATTTACAAGTGAAGTCGGTCGGGGGACAAGTGTAGACGTCGTTCTTCCTGTGACACCACCAGAACGATCGACCTCCGTCCAATCCTCCGACTATACCGGTTTGAGAGACAGGCTAAACGGCATGACGGTCTCATTATTCACAAGGAGCTCTCAAATGGGCGACCTAGGATTCGATCAGCAAACATTTGAAGATGTGCTGTCAAGTCTGGGACGGATGGTGTCAGGATGGTTTGGTTTAAAGGTATTGAGTCACGATGAACTTACATATGAACGACCGGATTTCGCTATTATTACTGAGCATGAATACCACAAGTATTATCGACAAGGCTCCAACGAGCCGGCACCGGATAGCTCGGAAATCAAACCGTCGCTTCCGTTGATTGTTCTCAGTGCACGAACCAGTAGCTGGAAAGCTCTGGGAGAGACTGTGGATGATTCTGTTATCTTTCTTACACAGCCGTGAGTGTTTCAGACCATACTGCTAGGGTCCCGTATTGACCACTTCGTCTAGTGTGAGTCCCAAGACTCTCTCAACAGCATTCGAGCATTGTCTGGGCTTGTCAGGTCGCTCTGAGGAGTCAACGCCAAAAAGAGACGACTGCCCTCACAGACCTGCCAGGCAGATCTCCCAGGGATCTAACCAAGGACCGGAAGTCCAAGCCAATAACAGTAAACCTGAGCATCTACAACAGACTGATGTTGACGGCGATGATACGGCCACTAGTGATGGCAAACAAGAATCGTCCAACAGCGAAGGAGAAGCTCAAGTGAACTCCATGTCAGGCAACATTCTTCTCGTAGAGGATAACCAAGTCAATCTTAAGGTGTGACACTTCCTGGTGGGAGATTAACTGGTTCTAACGGTCCGGCTTAGATTATTGAAATGTGTGTCAAGAGTGCTGGGTTCAAGTACCAGACTGCATCCAATGGTCGGGACGCCTTAGAGAAGTTTAAGGCCGATCGATATGACGTTGTAGTGATGGGTTGGTCGCAACCTTTGCTGTAGGATTATGATAAAGCAGGATAAGGCTAACTAAGTGACAGATATCTCCATGCCCGTCATGGATGGCCTGACAGCCACCCGCGAGATGCGACATTTTGAACGCACGAAAAAGTTGCCACCTGCCACTATAATCATACTAACTGCTGTTCTGTCCGCCTCTATGCAGCATGAAACCATGATCAGTGGGGCCAATATGTTTCTCACAAAGCCTACGCCGCTGAAGCAATTGAAGGAAATACTGCGGAAGCTATCTGAAGGGAAGGATGTATCTGACGAAATGAGCTCATGATGTGAGGAAAAGTGTGCTGATAAATGTGTGTACATAATAATTGCAATCAAGTTTATAGAAAGGGCGCAACAGAGGTATAGAGGGATGAATAACAGTGGCTACGGTCAGCAATGTCTCCTGCTTCACTATCACCGACGACTTGATATGTAGCGACTCGCACATATAAGAGAGCTTATTTTTTGATGTGTAAATCCCAGTATATTGTAATCTGGAGTTTGAGATCTATTCTAAGTTCAAAGAGAGTCATCGTAATGTCAATATCCGTCGTAGCCGTGAAAGTGCAAGGCCTGCCTCGCCGTCTAAATTCGCCGTGCCTTCTCTGGTCAAGAATGGTTAGTCCAACCACCAATGAGGCACCAAGTGCTCTCCTTAGCCCAAGGTGACCGTGATGCCTGCGCTAGCAGAGCAACTGTTGGTGTCGGTATCATCGGGCTGCTGATACGAATCGGCGCAGTCGGTGTCTCCCGCTGAGCAGGATGCAGATGAGCAGCTCGAATCATTCGGGGTGGCCGAGAAGCCAGCGGTGATGAACTCCGAGCCGGAGTCCAGGTTGATAGAGGAGAGATCCCAGTACACGGTGTCACCATCCGCGGTGTACTCGAATTGCAGGACACTGGTCTCACTGTCGGTGGTTGCCATCTTGATGGAAATCCCGCCGGTAGACTCGGTCTTCCAGGCCTCGGAATATGTGGCCCCTGAGGAAATTGTCTGCGCTTCACTGGAGGTGTCAGAGGTGGACCAGAGGTATACGGTGCTGCCGAGGTTATTCACGATCTGGACGCTGCCACTTCCACTGGTGCTGGCGCTGGCGCTGGCGCTGGCACTGGCACTAGAGCTGGCGGCGACGGAAGTGGTGGTCGGAATAATGCTGGTAGGACTACCTCTGGGGTAGTGATGAGGAAGTGCAAAAGCAGTCATTGCAAAGACCGCCGAAAGAAGGACTTTAGAGAGCATCATCACGGATCGTGAATGAGGACTGACAAGGAGTGTCGTGGAAAGAAAGAGGGTAGTCAGATTTGGCTCTAATGAGTGGCCGGCAAACGTGGATTTGAGAATGAATGTCGGAGGGTCAACCTCAACGTCAAGTCTAATCAAAGAAAAGAATGGAAAGAACAGTAAGGATTGTGTGTGTAATGTGAGAACGCAGGTGCAGACGGCTGCAGGCTGGGGGTGTGTAGCTCTATATATGCCTCATGGTGGAGCCGGCAAAGATGGAGAACATTGGCCACCACCCCAATCAATACAAGCCACTGCTCCGTTCGATGCATGGCCCAGTCATGTGTCATGTCAGAAACGGATACCCATTTCCACGCGAACTGTGGGGCACAAGTCTCGAACGTTCAGGGCAGGTGTTCCATTGGCCCAGGCCAACCTAGGGCTTAGATGCTTAGGCAGAAGCTTACACCAATACTGCAAGTGTCCCTGGATGTTCCAGCCTTCAAGGCCAATCTAGAAACAGCCTCTAGATGGGCAAGGTGGGTCTCCCACATGGTGGTTCTGGACCGACTGGTCGGTGGCACTTTTGCGCGGGTGATCCATGGCGTAGAACGAGAGTGATCGAATGCTGTAAGAAACTCACTATTGCTCTAGCAGTATGCGGAAGAGATGCTCAATATAAAGTAGGAAGCGCTATACAGAAACAAAGAAGCCGCTAGGGTTGAGCGTAAGCATGACGTATCGCACGATCTGCGACGTCGAAGCAGTGGCGACGCACTTGATTGGTCGGGACACTTGCCGGACTCTTTCACAAGAGGACTTAATACTGCTAAAATAATACTCAATAATGCTAGGAATACCTCTATAGATCATGCATTTCCTGGTCCTAATTCCCAGTTGGAGGGAGTCACAGGTCACGACAAATGAACCGGTACCACGTGAAGACGAACGCAATCCAACCCTAACACACCCACATCTTCTAGCATCAGAAGTTCCATGCAGAGAGCCTGGTAGGTACGTATCGGTACTACTGTTGCCTGGTCTACATTCGTCATAAACCAGGTCAATGTCCTTGGTAATGCCATAGGAAAGCTTTCAAGCTGGTCTTGCGCTAGCCCTGTCCATGATACAGGCTCCCCCACTATGGACAAACTAGAGATGTAGTATGAACCGATGCCAAATGAAAAGGATGACGAACATATAAGTACCCCGTTCCAAAGGCAAATATCTGCTGAAGAAGGGGGGATTCATTGTACAACTTCCAATAGTTAATCCAACTATAGCTTCGGCCTCCCACTTCCAGAAAAGTGATACACAACATCACTAAACTTGGTTTCCGGAAAGACATAGAGCCATTGTAGCTCTTCCTCCTCATTATTCGTAACCGAGTGTTCCATGTCACCCGGGATAAACACTGCACACCCCTTTTCAACCTTGTGGTGCACTCCATCGATAGTCACTACTCCCCGACCACGAAGAATGTAGTATATCTCGGCCTGAGCATGGTGATGGCTGCATAGGTACCCAGAGTATCCTGGACAGACAGCGATCCCTGCAGAGAGGTTGTTCGTTGGGGTCTTCGGCTGAGTGAAAAGCGTGCGCCACGACACCTCGCCTCGCGAAGGGTCTTCGAATGACTCAGATGCAAGATTAGAGATCGTACTTGGTGCAAGCACGATCGGTTTAGCTTTCAGCATTGGAGAAGCTGCGATTATCTCAGCAAATACGAGCGGGTTAATGACCATAATAAAACATACTAGGACGAGAAAATGCCTATCTTTCTTTAAAGGGGGAGTATAACGTCGGTAGATATGTTATAACGAAAATTTGGAAAGCATCTCCATAGGCCTGCAATCTTCTGTTCCTCGGTCGACCTCCAAACCGTTCGGATGAAGGGAATTTAATCGTGGAGTGAGGAGAGATACTGGGCCCAAGCACAGAACTATGGGATTTGTTGCCTCTTTCGGGAATAGCTTTGCAGTGTATCACATCGAGCGATATATCGCATAATAGAATATTGAATTGGGGTATTGAGTCTAGAATAATGCGTTACGTACTACATACATGGAGCTACCCAAACGCCGACCTTGTCCAGCAGTTAACCACTCATATACTCCTTTTCTTGCGATTCTACCGCCTCTCGCAAGACCACACAGATCTTCCGCAATTCCGCCTCGGTAACAGTAAAAGGAGGAGCCAGGAGGATGTGATCGCCTCGCATGCCATCGACAGTCCCCGCACCAGGATAGACGGCTACTCCTCGTTCGAACGCGGCTTGTTGGACCCGCAAGCCGAACTTAACCGTGGGATCAAATGTCGCCTGGGTTGCTCTGTCCTGCACGAACTCCACGGCCCAGAAGAGGCCTCGTCCGCGAATATCGCCAACTGAGGGGCAGTGCGCCAATTCCGTCCTCAGTTGCTGTTCTAGAATCTGTCCCAGGGCGGCGCAGCGTTCCACCAGACTCTCTCGCCGAACGATCTTCTGAACCGCCAAGGCGGCGGCGCAAGAAACGGGGTGGGCCTGGTAAGTGTGTCCATGGTTGAAAGCGTTGCTCCCTTTACGGAGCACATCAATTACCTTCTTGTGGGCCAAGACTCCTGCGATGGGTGCATATCCTCCCCCTAGTCCCTTAGCGATGGTCATGATGTCGGGCACGACCTTTTCCTGTTCAAAAGCGAAAAAGGTCCCCGAGCGCCCCACGCCGCACATAATCTCATCAAGAATCAGTAGAATGCCGTATTGATCGCACAGGGCCCGGACGCCGGTAAAGTATCCGGCAGGTGCTGTGACGCAACCCGCGGTCGCGCCAACGATCGGCTCGGCTACAAAGGCAATAATCTTCTCGGGACCGATGCGGAGGAATTCTTCGTCAAGCTCACGCAACAGTCGGGCCGTGAATTCTGTCTCTGTCTCTCCCGCTTGCTGGTGCCGGTATGCGTACGCGGGAGACACGTGAGAGGTATGAGGGTACATAAATCCAGTAAAGGGAACCTTGCGAGCAAGGTTTGACGAAATTGACATGGCAGCAATGGTATTGCCGTGATAGCTCTGCTGCCGAGAGACAAAGTGGAGTCGTGCCGGCTCGTTTTTCTCATAATGATACTGTCGCGCCAGCTTCAAAGCCGACTCGATCGCCTCGCTGCCACTGCCGACAAAGAATGCCTTCTCCAGTCCGTAGGGGTTTCCGCTTAGAAGAAAGTCGGCCAGCTCCTCCGCCGACGAGGTGGTGTAGGACTGCGTATGGATGTAGCTGACATTCTGCATCTGCTTCATAATTGCTTGGTGAACTTCTTCTCGCCCGTGACCGATTAAGGCCACGGCAGCACCCGCACAAGCATCGAGAAGAGTCCGACCATCGGAAAGATGTAGCGTCAGCCCTTTCGCCTTCTCTACCATGACAGGGTGTTCTATGAGAGAACGATGGAGAAGGTGGCCTTCACCATTTGGTTTCACAGCTGGCAAGGGTTGTCTATTTGGTCTTGAATCGATGCTATCGTCCACTCTAGAAGGTGCCATTTTGGTCAGGTTGAATGGTTCGGCGTGAGTTCGGAGTATCTCGGAGTCTATTTGCTGCTCTGCGATGAGGCCAGCTATTGGCAGCGTAAGAAAGGCTTGGAGCCAGAGAATCACTTTCACCTGTAATGAGTCCCAGTACGATGGACGTAGCCACGATTAACCCAGAATATATATACGGGGGATATATAGGATTCTCGGGCGTTGCCTCCTTTCAGAACCGAGAGCCGAAATCCGCTCGGCTTTCGCAGCAACAGTTCAGGCTGGTAAACAAGATCAAACGATCCTTCTCATGATCTAAAAACCAATACATCTAAAAATTCGAGTAGGGCATTGTGGGACGGATCGCCCCGAGCCAGCGTCCAGATCTATCTGCTCTCCATGTCGCAGCTATTGCTGAGGGAACCCGTGTGGATCTTGTCTTGCCATCTCTTTTCTAACTTTCAAATTTTCTTTCTTCGCTCCGGGCAACTGCAGGGATAGTACACAATATCTCATCAAACACTTCGTAGCAGTCAAGAGGGTTGTATCCTCCGTATGCTATCGGCCTTAGCTGAAGGTTTTTCCTGCCTCTGTGAGCAAGTTATGATCAACGTGTGGGCTTCGCGGTCCGAGGCAAGAAGGCCAGGTCGGTAAAGAAGTTGTGTTAAAGCGCAGCGCATAATAATAATAAAATAATTATTATTCATAGGGTGGGGTGGAAGTGAGTCAATTCTGGATCATCGGATTTGAAGCAGCATCGGCTTTGCTGATACCAGACCAAGACAAACAGACCTTCGGATTTGAACACTCGGTTTCGGACTGTACAAGCGGATTGATCGACATCCCTCCGGTTCAAACAATTCTCACGACAATTAGTCTCGTGCTAATAATCCTACTGTGGATTTCTTCAGGTAATGTCGGCTTTTTTCGCTTGTATAAGAACACGTTAGACGCACAAAATGCTTGCAATTCGGGAAGCCTCCCTGAGAAGGTAGAGATTCGCGACCAACAATATTGGCATCGTATGAGCATACAAGGCAGGACAAAACGCAGTCTGGAGAAACACATGTGTTATCAGTCATGGAGGAACATGGCAAAGGCTCTTCAGCGCCCCCCACAAAAATAGAGGCTCCATTCCCTATCACTGCGGAAAGTGAGCCCTCGCAACCCGATCATGATGTTATGGACGGTTGGAGAGGGTGGGTAGTTGTGGGAGCTGCTTCTTGTTCTCTGTTTGTCTATCTCGGCATCATTTACTCCTGGGGGGTTCTGCAAGTTCAGCTACTTGAATCGGCCTCCTCTTCCTTGACGACGTTGACGTTCGTCGGCTCTCTGGCCACATCCTTTATGGTGTCAAGCAGTATCCCGGTAGGACTCATGATCCGAAGGTGGGGATATCAACGAACTGCTCTAGCCGGCGCGGTTCTTATGGGTCTAGGGGAATTCCTGGCGAGCTGGGTAACTGAGTACGTTGGTGCATTGTTTGTGACACATGGGATCATCTTTGGCGTCGGAGGAGGCCTAACGATTCTGGTATGTTGTTCATCACTATATTCCTTATTTGGCACCCTTCCTTCCAGCATGTATCCATTTGCCGCAATCAGTCATACTGGGTCATCGTTTATCTCACAAATTGAACCAGACTTGTTCGACTGCCCCAATGCAATGGTTCGAGAAGCACCGCGGACTAGCTGTGGGAATCGTCTTCGGGGGTGGAAGTCTAGGCTCTGCCATCATGAGTATTGCGACCAACATGATGGTGAAGCAACTGCCACTGGAATGGATAGTCCGTGTTCTAGCGTTTCTGCTGTGGGGTGTCTGTGCTCCAGCTGCATGCCTCATCCGACAGCCATCTCACGCAAAGAATTCAGTCCCCCGCCCGCAATGGTAAGAACTGCCCATTCTATACCCGAACAATCGGAAGATTCTCATACTCTGAGCCACCCAGGTATCGTTTCCGCGAAAAGGAATTCCTTATCTTATTTGTCGGTACCGGGCTGGCTTGTTTCCCCCTTTTTGTTCCTCCATACTTTATCCCTATCTTCGCGCGATCGGTTACGCATTCTCAGAATATCGCAGTCATCATGCTGGCCATTTGGAATGTCGCCTCCACCGTGGGACGGGTAGTGGCCGGCTTCTTGTCAGATTCGGTTTTGGGCCCGATCAACAGTCTTATCCTCTCGCTCACATTGGCCGGCATCAGTGCTCTCGCCATCTGGCCTTTCTCTAGTACAACGGGCGTGCTATCCGTCTTCATCGTGCTAAATGGATTCGGGTGTGGAGCCTTTTTCAGTCTAGTTCCCAGCACTATAGGCGCGATGTTTGGTGGGAAGAACACACTTGGGATACTCCCAATCATCTAGGCAGGATGGTTCGTGGGCTTCTTTTTCGTAAGCCGATGACACACTTCCCCTTTCTTTATGCCATGATATCGTACTAATCCTCCATAGGGGTCACCGATTGCATCGGGGATTTATTCGCTCTCCGGAAAAGCGGACAACATCGAGTCATATCGGCCAGCCGCATACTATGCAGGTGCTATGTCCATCGTTGGCCTTTTATTCACAATCGTTCTACGTTCAATGTATTCAACACACCTGCTTGTGAAAGTATGATGCTGCAACTTAATCGCAGAGATGTCATCCTGACATCAGTGCAAGATCGATGTCCTCCAGCGTAGGCCACCACTGCGACCATGCGCCCTGTTCATGAGAATAAGTGCTAACCTCCGTAAGCAGATGAGTGAGCGGTGCGCTAATATTGTCCAACTCAGAGTTAGGGGCCACCCGTTGCGCGGGCTGAGTATAAGTCACTCCTGGGCTTGCTCCCTCGGCCCCTTCAATTTCTTGTATATGTTGATTCGATCGGTCAACGACTCGAAATTCGTGGATGGACTGGTGAAGATGGTCGAAGTCCTGTCGAGACTTTCCCAAATATCTTCCCCTGTCAGCAGAAGCGCGTTCGTATAAGAGTGAGGCATGTTTGAGAGTAGACACCTAATGAAATGTTAGAATTTAGCCATGCAAAATATAGAAGTTCGATAGCAAAGACGCACCCAAGCCTCTCCCAGCTTCCACACGTGCCGAAACTCTTCCAAGTAAGACAGACAGAAATTCATCAGCTGTTCAGCCTGGGGACTTCGACCAAGGTTCATGCGGGGAAATCGGTAGATGTAGAGGTTCATATACGACGCGGAAAAAGCACAGAAACCCACAAACGGCGTCATCAGATGGGCTCCACATTCTGATGCTTCGTGTAAAAGCCTGGCAATGTGTTCCGCCGCCGAGAACAGCTCTAGTGCGCTCGATTCCCACCAGCCGACGGGCGCTTCCGCTTCGAGCAGAGGCTGGTCCACCGGTCCTCTTGGGCCCGACTCTGCAGTGGGTATAAATGGAAAATATTCACGGTGGAGCATAAGAGTGCTATATGCAAATACGCATTAGCCTTCCCGTGTCGAATCGAGAAAATAAAATGACCAACCTTAGATAATAGAGAAGATTGATATATGTGAATGACTCGCCATATCCCAATGTCATATGGATCGCCACACTGTTGCTGGGATAGTGAAGGCGATCATGTTGGCCAGCCCTCCACCTTTCCAGTTGGGCCTTAGTTCTAGACCACGGAGACCCTGGGACCCAAGGGCAATTCTCTGGGGCACACATCCCCGGCGCTCGACGTCCGTCGTTAAAGATAAAAGTCATTACCTGTGCCCAGATATCAAAGCCAGAGACTAAAATCTCGTAGCATTGGGTTATATCCAAAAGGCCCGACGGCAGACGTTCAGACCAGGTGAGGTTATGCCCCGTGTGCCCGGGATAAAGGCTTACGTTGGTTCCAAAGGCAAATTCCACGGTGCTCAAAGGCCGTGAGACTTTCAGCTTCTCCATCTCGGACATGGGAAGCATGGGTGGGTTGTAAGTACCCGAGCTGATCATGCGATCCATGATAAAGCAGGCCCAAATCGTTCTATTCTCTATCCCCGGAGCAACTGTATCTTTGGCTGTACCCGGACTGATGTCAGGGTCGAGAGGGTACGGGGCAGTGCGTCGACTTTGGATGGATTGCATGATTCGGATCGCGATACCTAGCATATGCGCTCAGCCTTGTAATTCTTCCATGCGGGCGCTTTGGTCAGGACGTACCGCAGTAGACCCAAGCCTTATCGAAGTCTCGGCATCCCCACTCGTAGAGTGCCATCATCAGGAGGGCCTGAACAACCTGTATGTCAGGTGGCTGGAGAATGAGTTCTGAGAGACTCTGCCGGATGTAGTATTCATAATGTTTACTGGGTAGCAAACTCATTGCCCAAGCTGGGTTAAGTAGCGATAGTTGTGTTCTCGTTACAAGAAGGGTAACGCCGAGCAGAACCTTCGTCTCCTGCGAGCACTCCGACTGAAATGCCTGCATGAGTGTTGGGAGATGAAGAATTCCCAGCTCGGGGAACTTGTTCGTAAAAACGTTCAAAGACTTGAGGATCACACTGGTCGGAAGACTACCAAGATGTCCATCGACCTGTGAGATGTCCACCTCCCCACTGGAAGATTCCGGTGTTAAATGCGACCTATTACGTCCTTGATCTGACGAGGCTGGCTGTAGCCTTGTTTGTTCCTCATGGTCATCCTTTGCATCCTCATTCCTACGGCGTACCTGGCCTCGCCTCCGGGAACCCTTGGAGGCTACCTGTCTCGGTCTGGTAAGAACGCAACCGGGAATCTCCGATTTCTGACACTTTTGACATGGCGGACTACCAGTATTGACACATTTGATTTTGGATTTTCTGCGCCGTCGGATATATGGATGAGCCCCGGGTTGGCCTTTAGTTTACCGAGGGTGATGTTGATGTACACTTACCGGCAAAATGTGCACGAAAGACTCGAGCGCATACTTCCCTCTGTTAGTCTCTGTCGCCAGTGATACACTACTCTTGACTGCCAAGACTCCCGATCAATGAGACGGTTAGAGGAAGGGGGATGAGTTTCGGATTTGAAGACAGTCGTTGAGAAGAGTCGGGAGAAAAGTTCAATCCCGATGCCAAAGCCGAGGCAAGGTCACATGACCAGTCCTGTATGCTCTCGGTATGAACATGGAGTTCAGGAATTAGTGTCAAAGATGAAAATTAAAAATAAACACATAGCTGGACAGGTACTACATAAATTCAGTATGTAAGGAAACACATTGGTCTATACTCTGTCAGGTAGCTGAGAGTTAGAGAGCATGAAAATCAGGACAGCGAGGTCAGAAAACAAATAGAGGCTAGAGATAACAGACAAGATTCAGCCCAAAGACACATTAGACATTCACTACGCTTATCATGTTTCTTGGGATTAGCACCACATAGTGGTATTAGTGAAATGAGCAACCTAGGGTGTCATCACAACATGGCCAGCAGTGAGAGTAGTTCTCCCCAACCCTACTACAGCAATAGTGCAAGGGCTGAAAAGCCACGGAGTCCGAGAGGGTCAGGCAAAATGAGAATAAGCGCCACGGTGGGCGTTATTGGACAACATAAAGTCTACATTTGGAATCATTCTTTGTTCGCCAGTACGGCCATCTAAGATGTCCGCGCCGGATAAACGGGGGGGCTTAAAAGGTACGCAACCGGCACCCAATGGTTAGTAATGGTCAGATAGCAAATGTGCAGCAGTGGCGGCCAGGCAACGGTAGTAAGTAACCGTGTAGTCAGTAGTTCACTGTCGGTGGTGGTCAGTGCCGTCCATGTGGACAACAACATGGCGGAAATTGTAACGAGAAGCAGGCAGATGCTTTGCAAAATGCCGTTTTGCCACAGGTCTTGGTAGAGCATTTTGAAAAACGAGGACTTCGTGATGCGATTCCAGGAATTTTCCTTGCTTCCAGTGACAAATGATCCTTTGGGGGCGCTTGAAATAAAATGAAATCGTATGACGGCAGATAAGTGTGCTGCAAAGCGAGAGAATCAGTTGGGTCAGTCGCGAGGTTTCCATACTATATCAATCACAGACAAAGAGTAGGTAAAGTGGGACTTCTTACCGCCAGCTAACCAACTATTCTCCAGCTGTGAAAACGGGGAACCTCGGATTCCCGCATGGACAGTCTGGAGCCACCCGTACGCCCACATTGTAGTGACATGAAGCAAGCCCAGAATCACCTGGGCTCTGATCAGGAAGGACGAAGAAGAGGGGATGAGTGACCGGGCCATTAAAAGCCAGGGTACAGCACCAAATCCAATGACGTGGCTTACCAATCCCAGGGTGATGGCCAACCCCCCGCATGCAATGCTCCACTGAAGGTGCCGTGGCATGGAGCTGTTAGTCGGTGGCCGTAATGCAAACAGTTGCTGGGAATGTCCAATATGCCATCTATTTCTCTGGGCAATGTGCCCTTCGAGGGATGTGGGAACAAGCCCGAATTGCAGCGGCTCTTGTACTTGGACCGTGCGATATCCCATGCCCCGTAATATCAGGGAAAGCTGCCAATCTTCCGAAAAGGAAAAGGTAGGATACCCACCAACATCCACGATTGCGTTTCGCCGGAACACCGCCCCTGATCCTGCATCAATAGCACGCCCACAGCGGTCTAGTTCGGCGTTCTGACAGGTGTAAAAATGAAGGCGAGATTGCGAGAGGGGGTCCCCAGCAGGAAGGTTGTCAAAATATTGCCGTGTGGTGACCAACGCTGTCTCAGGGTTGAGAAGCAAGTGAGGAAGTGTTGCTCTGAGGAACTCCGGCTTTGGGATGGAATCCGCGTCCAAAATAGCACAAAACTCCGGCGGAGCATCCTTCTGAACAGTGAATAGTGCAAAGTTCAAGTTTCCGGCTTTGGCAAATACCCGGCCTGACTGCCTTCCGCGTGTGTGGTAGAAGAGAAAAGGCCATTTCGAGTGCAACTCCGAGATAGCATCACGCAGCTGGGTTGAGGCGCCATCGTCAAGTAGAAGTACTCTCAACTGAGACTCTGGGTAGTCCATAGTGCAGGCAGCGCGAACGGTGTCCAAGATCACACTGACTGGCTCACCGCAGCAGGGGATCAAGACATCGACTCGTGGCAAGTTTTGATTGCCCCGGAGCCGTAGCCTTTTTCGCGGCCCGCGTTCAGGATCCCCACCGGCTGTAACGGTGAGGTGCTGATCTTGATAAGACAAGCCTGGTCGTCGGTTAGCGTTACAGGGCTCCATAATCCGACGTAAAGTAAGGCATAGCTTGAACTTACGACCAAATATAACTTCGACTGCCAACATTAACCACATCTGCCAGGATTGCTGAGCCTCCAGCAGAATCATAAGTAAGCGGACAGGATAATAGACGTTCGAGGTCCATATTGCCGCTCGGGCTGCATGGTAGAGATACTTGCGGTATCGCCGTCCCGACCATATGCGCGAGTCAGGTGGAAGTTCTTCGATCTCGCCGACATATTCAGTAATCATCTCTTGCTAGCACGATGCCAAGAAGTAGGTCCTTCGTCTATTTCAAAGTCGATCAAGGTCTTCCTCCTTGTGTTGATGCCTCAGCAATTGAAGTCGTGTCCCTGGCTTTGTTCTGTTCTTTGTCTAAACACCGCGCATGATGCACATAAGTCTCTTTCCCAGTCTGTGAGACGAACTGGAATAGGGGTAAACACACAACCTAGACGAGAAAACTAAATCAGAAGCTGCGCCTGGGGAAACGTCGGTGTGTGGCTTGGTCTTTGTTCTAGAATTTGCCATGAACGACCCACTAATTCCCCGTTTGGGGAGATTCTAGATCACCAGGAGGCGCCAACCCTAATTATGTTTAAAAGGGGGCGTTCAAGGAGCGCCGCTCATTGAACGCTGCCTTTCCGTCAACATCCGGCATGGGAATACGTAGTAGAATTATGCTAAGCATTGACCCAGTATTGACAGGAGTAAACTGAAAGAACGAGACCTGTTCTCCCCACAGTCCTCGGGGTGGAGTTCCGCTCACTTCGTCTCATCATAAAGGGATAACTGGTGTATTGGAATGAGACATGCTTTGGCTGGTAAATCTGTCCGTGCCATATCGGCCAAGTGATTGGCCGCTATTCGTGGAATTTGGCAGAGGAAAGTCCAATGAGCAAGCCACCATACCTTTCACAGACGACGCATCTCACTGTGAAGCTGAGATTATCGAAGTAGTAGCTCCTTCGAGTTACTCGAATCATCGTACTCCGTATAGCTGAAACGATGCCAGTTCCAAAGTTTCCAACAACGGTAACGGCGGAGAAACATCATACCTCCTGAATACCCAATACGTCTGCCGGAAGTGCAACCCGGGGGTCTTTTAAGCGACATTCACAAGTCCAAAAATAGATATCGGAAACGAATGTGTTGACACCACGGCTAGCATCTGCACTAGGCTTATTTAGGTGTGGTGGCTATTCCCCGCCGGAATCGGAAGAAATATACGCCGTCTCTTCATCTTGCTCCAAGAATATGACCTCAGTATCGTATTCATAGTATAGCGGCAATCTGTGACTCGTTCTCTTTATTCTTAACATGTAAACGTGGTCAGATCTGAAAATTATGGGTGCTTCACTTTAAGCGTGGAGTATATGGTATGCCTGGCAGAACTCGCAAGATTGCTGAAATATATATTTCCATGAATGAGGTATACCATCACATTGGAGTTACTTGATACATCTAGATTCACAATTCCCATATTTTGAGGACTATTCTGCCTTTCTATGGCAGTCAAAGCAGCTCTCTGGTACAATTTCTCAAGGTCAGATCGTACTCAATGTTTTATGCAAAAACGTAGTACCAAATCTCACATGACAATGTGACAGTTGACAGACAGGGTAATTTGATTGAAACCAAATGGCAAGTCGTAAAATACCCTAAACCATTTTGGGAAGACGTCTGCCGTTTCCAGTTCCATTGTATTTAGCCTTCCTTTTACGGCAAGAGCTATGCTACATGCAGTCTAGCGTGCCAATTAGCCTTCCTGAACAGGCACGTTGACTGATTGTGGAATCTACTGGAGTACAACCGTGCTATCGTTACCGCAGTCGGCCTGCAAGAGCAATAGAAGCCGTAGAATGAAATTATTAATCCAATTTGATCAGTGGTCAATAGTCTGGGGAAGGATCGATGCCGCCATCTGGGTGCTCTGCGGGTATTTAGAGGACTTTCTCGTGAAGCAAAACCACTTTCGCGCCGCCGAATATATCCGACGAGTCGCATAGTAACCTCGCAAACCCCAGGTAGTCATCTATGCAACCTGTGCGTACTTCTCCAATGCGAGATGAAGCCTTCCCCACCGTGCCTCATGCCATTTCCGCAGGTCTTCCCATTCAGGAAGCGATGCTTTGGCAAACTGCAGCCAACCACCGACAATGAAATCTGCATACGATACAGTATTGCCCTCCAGAAACGGACCCTCCGTATAATTGTAGATCTTGGCCAACTCGGCAAGCGCTGACTTGAATCCTTCTAGGATAATCTGTCTGGCCTCCCCCGTGACCGTCAGATCGTCCCAGCTTTCTACCCCGGCTCTGGCCGCAAAGGTGGCATGGGATACCTCAGCCGTCTCCGGATTCAAAGGCATGCCGTGGAAGAAGAGAATCACAAAGCGCGAGAAAAGCGCATCCACGTGAGCGTTGAACGAGGCATGTAGACCCAAGCTCGAGCGGGGAAATAGCTGCGGTGCATCGGGGTATGCTTTCTCCAGGTAGAGCGCGATGTCGAACGAGTCTCCCACCCTTTCCCCGGTGGAAGGATCTTCGATTATAGGCAGAGTGTAGAACGGACTGCCATTGCTGAATGTGCGGCTGGGCGGTACGCCGAGCGCTTTGCGCGTTGATGCTACCTCAGGAAGATCCACCCATTCAGTCCGGTATGATACGCGTTTAAAATTCAGCGAGTATCTTAGAGATGATATTGGTTGGTCTCTTTCTTGCATGGCAAATTTGCTGTCAAGCGAATATGCTGAAAACTTACCGTGCTTTCCACGGATTGGAAGCGAAGCACCTCACTGGCGGACCAGATGCGATATCATACAGGATAATTGGTTGAGAAGAGCTCATGATTGATGTGGCAAAGGTTATGAAATAATTAACAGTCAAAGGAATGGACACTCGGGTCTTAAAACAATTTTGTCGATCTGGTTGAGAACTCCAATGACCGACGCTCGTCTCCAATTCAATGTCCCACAATCTTCACGTCACATTGTCCAGAGTATCCCTTGCTTTCTCAGTCCACTCGTAAATATGGTGGGGGACAGCTAATGTCAATTTTGCAGCAAGACCCTGCCCTTCTTGCTTTTATCTTTATTTTTTATCTTTATTTTTTGTTTCCCCCTTTGCTTCCACTGACAAAGCACCAGATTCGAGTGTAACCATTCATTGCTTCGGTTACAGGCATCGAATGGATTCTAACAGCCAATGCTTGAGATGTATCGAATAGAGATCATAGAGAAAATACTAATAATGTGTCTCACAGCATGCATGACAAGTGATACAAGCGATAGGCGATGGAAACCAACAATGCAGCTGTGGAGAGAGGTATGTTCTGAATTGGTTTAGAAGGTGGTTCACACTGTGGGATCCTTAAGAGCAGTCTCTCCAGAGGCTGTCTTATCGAACTAGCTCTTGTGCATGATAATCACAAGGAACAGTTGTTCAAGCGGAATCTGGCTTGAGAAAAGGGTTTGGAATGTGGGTGACCGGGCTAACGTCTTTTAGTATAGCATGGTATGGGACTGGGGCCAATAATAACTAACGCCTGGCAATGAGTCATCATTAGTACAAAGTATGTTATGCAGAGGATTTCTTAAGGTACATAATTCACTGGACAGATGTAGATATCAACAGGTTTTTGATCTCCTTTACTAGATCATTCGCATCACCTTCCCAGATCACAGGACACTGATTAGATACATGAATATATATCACTAGTTTTCCATTGTAACTAGCACTGGGAACCCCCGTAGTCCATCCCTGCTCGCCAGTGGGTCGCTCCTCTGTTGACAGTGGCCCAGGCGTTTGACTCTCCTACCAAGTATACCGACCTCATCCGTTATCGATTTTTTGAGCATTGGCTCCCATTTATCGGATCGTTCTGCGAGGGTACTCTTGTAAGTGAATTATGCTGCCTCGGCGTGAGAATAAAATACTGGGGATGAAAAGTGAGAAGGAGGCATCTGAGTATGTCTGGCTTTATTAGCGTAGAGGAGAAAAGCATCTTATCTCTTTGATTCTTTGAATTTCTTTGATACAGACCTGAAGCTCCGATTAGGGGTAATAATGGTATTTATTAAGCTGTGGTCACTGCTGAAGGTATTCTCCTTCCCAGCGTGAGTGTTTGCTGCTGGCCTGCTGCATAAGAGCACATGCCCGAGCAGCGTGAGGCGGCGCACTGGCCCCCGGTAAAGTTGCTGGGTTCTGGTCGATGATAATTCACTTTACTTACCGTATACATTGAGGATATACTTAAATAGGGCATTGGTTGTCAGGAAACTATATGTCTCCTTTGCGGGGTGAATAGAAAATTAAAGATAGTCTTTGGGAGTTCTCCTGCAATTTATACTCGGCATATACATATACCGATTACCGAGTTCTATAATTCATAACTTATATCTATAATATACACTAATTCTGTATTCTACATCAAACTGCTAGGATCCCTGAACCCTAGCATAAACCGCTCCGCTCATCTTGGGCAGTGGCCCTTGATCCGCTGGTCTGTCCCTAGTATTCTAGTATTTAATGAGCAGCTTTTAACTATGAGGCAGGCCGCCTGAGCTTGCTGAGCGAACAAACTTCATATTTTGTCATGTGTATTCGTAGATCAAACCAGGTAAACTCCGCGCCCTCTAAGTCGTAGATGCTAATAACGCTATAAAAGTACATGCAATTCCCATTCCATGTCATAGACCCGAATCCGGTTCAAGTTCATCAAGATACCAGCAGAAAGCGAAGCAGACCGCCGAACCACCGCATACAAGGCCTTAGAGATTCCCAATGTCCCACCAGGCGGAAAACCCATCAATATTCCCCATGCCGGACTCGGGTTCCTGATAGTCCATATTGTCCATGTCCGGAAACTGGCCCGTCCAGAGCCACGGCGTATTCATCATGAGACTGTCAGCCGGTGCGACCAACTTGTCGGCGAGCGCGAGACTGTCTGGAGTCGATTGCATAGAGGACATGTTGGCCAGGCTCGGTTGCATATGGGCGGCCTGTCCACCATCCGCCGTATTGACATGGACTTCAGGGGACATGGCCACAATGACCTCCAGCGTACAGGAGCTTTCCCCCGCGTCGTCTCGCGAAATGGCGGGGATCAACGTGGGATGTAATAAGCCACCAGACATCTCCTGTGGCTCCGGCACACAGTTGATTTGGAGAAGGTCCCACATCAACGGGATACTCAGGTGGATCTTGGACGGCATCCACTCGTAGTTCACATTTTCCGAGCCGCATGCAATTCGCGTCATCTTGTCCAGAGTTTGGTCCTGAAAGGTAGTTAGCAGTGGATGTGGAGCGCTCAACGCAGGGTACCTACTAAGGCTTTGCAGGCTGCAGAGAAAGGAACGAAAGTTTTCAGAAAGGTCCGACATTTATCGAAGTCGATTATCGATTTCTGTTTGAGTCGTGGATCCGCTGCGCAACAATAATAAAGATGTACTGTCGCTGCAATCGCGGCGGCGTGCCCGAAAAAGGGATCAACTAGGCGCATTTTCCTTTCGGAGACCATATCGATCATACGGACAAGCCAGGTCGCATGCAACACAACCAGCTCTGAAGAGCGCCTCCAAAAGGCGTTGGGGATGGAGAGGTTCGGGTTCGACTGTGATGCTACGATGTAGAGGAAAGGGTGGTTCAGCACGGTCAAAATGCAATGATACGTAAACTGCGCTTTCAACCAGGGTGTCCAGTACCCCCGGTTCATGCGCAGCTCCTCTGCCTTCCGCTCATAGAATTTGACCGAGTCGTATCGGTGGCACTGAGAGAGCTTGTTCTCCACCTCCGTCAGGTCTGAGAGTATCATCGTATACATTGAATCATGGCGCCAGGGCTCCTTGAGTCGATTTTGTGCGCAGTCGGACACATAGGTGCGAACCCTGCTCCAAACCCATCCGAAATGAACCGCCAGGCTCCAAATGCCTATGTCCTCGGGCGTGGAGCAACCAATATCATCCCGCGGCAGCTTGGGCGGCTTTGATTCGAACTCCTTGCAATATCCCCGGTCTCCACCGTGGGGAGCACAAAACGGACGCAGGTTCTCGGCTGGGAGGCTGAGAAACCCATTTTGTTGGCCGTATGTCTGTTCCAGTGATTGGAGACTCCAGAACAAGCGTTTCTTTCGTTCAGTCAAAGGACTCTCAGGAGGATATCCGGAGTCTATGTCCATCATCGCGGACCGGCAAAGCTGAAAAGCGAGGCCAAGATGGAACCGACCGAGGTGCACGTCCCCGTCTACATTCTGTTAGTATGCGCATCGTTCAACACAGTCCCCTCTGGACGATCAAACGGACCTATGAATGAAGAATATGAAAGTAGGCATAGACTTTCGATGGTTTCGAGGTCCACTGAGCCATTTGCCACGCGGAGCATGATCAATGTTCGCGCGGTATTTCCATAACGCTGCGACTGCGACGGCTCACGCGAAAAGCGCGCAGTCAGCGCTAGGACGCTATAGATAAGCTCGTCCGAAAGACTACCCTTGTCTTCGAGGTCTTCATAATCGAAGCACCAGATCGGCTGCCGATGACAGTAGTGAAAATACAGTTCCAGGGATTTGCTGACTGCGGCGGAAGAGGGATGGGGATTTGAGTCCTCATTGTTGCCGAATCCAAAAGGAAAAGAACCCGACCCGGGAGAGAAGCGCTCAAAAGCTGGTTCGCCAGAGGATGGGTTGCTGTTCTTTGAGTAGGGTGCTTCTGGTATATCTTCGAGCTCCTCGCGTTTTTGGTCTTGACGGGCCGCCTTGACCGGTCTAGAAAGAAGGGTCAGAAGAACATTCGGACGCAGCGGGATATAGTATACTCTCTACCTGGAGCCACCTAGGATGAGATTTACCTTCTCTTCCAAGGACGCCAGCCGGTCTTCCTATGATATATGTGAATCCATGTCCAATCAGTAGATGATGGGAGTTATTTGTTACATACAGATTGTCCACCCCGCGATGCCCTCCGGGCCGATGTATAGAGACACGGCTGATTTAAGCGGACGCAGTTTGAACAAGATGGTCTTTCTGCGGGACAACGAGTTTTCTTCCTCCTGTAGACATATGTCGTTGGCGTCTACAAGGCAACACATCGACGAACGGGCGGGGATAGGGAAGCGACTTACCTGCAATTCAGGCAGGCCTCATGTGAACGCAACCTCCCCCGATTGCTCTCCCGTGGCATCATACTCGCTGCAGACAAAAGGCAAGAGACATGGTTGGAAGAAGTGAGGTACAATGACCATAAGAATAGAGAAAGTTAATCAAAGGATATAGCTCTACGGTGATGTAAGGGGCGATGATAAATACCCCCCACCATGGCCAGCCATGGTGAATTAAGCATGTAGCAGGGAAGGAGGGAGGGAGGGGAAAGGAGAAAAAAAAATTAACATAAAATAATAATCATAATAACAATAGCAATGATCAACCAAATGCAACAGAAGGAAGGAGGATTCCCGAGAAGATGCCGAAGACTCGTACTGGAGTGAAGCTGCAGCTGTGGATAGAAAGGGCAAATGACAGCCTCGTGACCCCGCCCTGGGTTGGCCCTAAAACGACGCCAATCCGTGGATCCAGTCTGAGAATTGCAGGATCTAGATTCCCAGAACTTTGCCTTGAAACGGTTAAAAGTTCCCTGCGAGGGATACTAGCCGCTTCCCCCCACATGCACTATTGTTAGATTGCTCTTGCTTTTATTTTTGTTGATTTTTGTTTTGGTGACTGCCCGCCACCACACGGAGAACAGGCAGAGCAAACATTCCCATAAAATTCCTAATGGGGGCTCGAGAATTGGAGATTACCTAGTAGTGGAATATTTTGCGGAAAGTGAATAAGGAGAAAAAAAAAATAGATCGTTCATCCACAGGCATTGATCACACATGATGCAAGCTAACGAGGTGTCGACCTTTGAGAACCCCACCATTAGGTTCAGCATCGTTATCATGGCAATGCCTATCTAATCAAAAAATTACCTATCTATTGCATTCTGATAACGAGGGACAGCGGAGATCCCCCGGAAAATGCACAGTCACAATCCAGATTGTCCAGCTTGGGCCGTCTTTGATCAACCGCCTACATTGCCTTATCTGGCTCAAAACTTTACAGTTGGAACAGAGTATAACACCGATACTCATGAATGATATCTCCAAAAGTCATAATTCAATAAATGTCTAGATACTATGCGTTATAGTCTCCAATGCAGTAAAACGAACGCCCTTCAGACCGTGATATTCTTGTAAGCAATGACGTCAAGAAGAAAAGAATACTCCTGCAACATGGTGATCCGCTATTCCCATTGCAACCGAATGCAAAAAAAGAAGAAAAAATATGAATAAAAAGGGGAGACGCTGAACAACTAGACATGCAATTTAAAAGACAAGTGTTGCATTAGGTTGGCAGCCTGAACCACCACAGCAACCGCCGGCCGCTGTTGACCCCTTGGCCTGAGCATCTAGCTTGTTGCAGAAGGTCATGTCCTCCTCACTGGTGGTGGCGGTGGTCGGAAGTGTTTGGCGAGTTGGCCAGATCTCACGACCTGCTTCCTGCTCCTTCTTGTAGTGCTCCATAACAAGCTCGCGCACAACTGTCTGGAGGTGGAGGGATCCCTTCTCCATATGAGTACCCAGGTTGCTTTGGATGTTTATGCACAGGTCCTTGTCCTCAGACATGATCCGCTTGTATGTTTGGCTGATCAACTCAAAATCTTCGTCGCTAGAGTTCTTGTTGCGGTAAACCTCATACCGCATCGTGCTTTTGGTGGCAGAGGTCGGCACAAGTCTCTGCATGACGAAAAGGTGGGGGCTATCTAACGGTTAGCGCGGTTGATCATTGAACAGAGAAACTTGTAAGCACTTACGAAACAGTCATAGAAGCGTTGGGAAAGTAATAAGTGCTGGCAATCCGCAAGTCACGGGTAATTTGGTCTGGGGTGGAGGTAGCGACATTGTCGGAAGTATCTGGGTGGTAGCGTTCGGTATAGTCGCCGGCAAGAATCTTCCAGTTGTACTCTCCCTCCAAGTCCCAGGTGTGGTCGAAGTTGTACTCGTCCCAGTTGATGCCACTGAAGTGCCCCTGCAAATCAACCTTGCTGAAATCACTTTCCCACGCAATCTCGGGCTTTTCCTGGGCGTCCAAGTTGACCCATATGAATCCATTATTATCAACATGGACATGGATCTGGAACAGGCCATTCTTGTTCTTGTCAAATCCATCGAGATCCTGATAGCCAGGAGCCTTGGCAAGTTTGCCATTGAGACCATACGACCAGCCGTGGTACTTGCAGGCGAAGATTCTGGCCTTGCCCTCCTGCTCAGTCACCACAGGAAAAGCACGGTGTCGGCAAACGTTGTGGAAAGCATTGAAACCGCCATCTTTGTCGCGGACTAGAATAAAAGGGTACCCCGCAATATTATAGACCAAGTAGTCACCGGTGCTGGGGAGGCGCATCTTGTGGGTGATCAACATCCACTTGCGGGAAAAGATCGCACGGCGCTCTAGCTCCCACATCTCGGGAGAGGTGTACCAGTTGGCAGGCAAAGACTCGTCATTCGGTGGGGTGGCACCTGAGGAGGCGACCTCATCTTGGCCGAAGTAGTTCTTCCAGATAGAGGACATTTTCTTTTGGGGAGCTCTTCTGAGGTTCGAAGTTGGAATTAGACAGATCGGGCTTAATAAGCGAGGACTAGATGCTGGTATTTGCTCCGGAATGATCCATCAAGTGTGCAAATATGGCTTGCTTTTTATAATTCAGCCATGCTTTTATTTCCCTTATCACCTGAACCAGCCTCTATGAAGGCTGCCCCGTGGGGATGGCCCAGACCTGTGGTTCGTACCGGTCACAGGATCGGGACGGAGTATACCAGCCGTGCGCCGGCCGACGGTTCAGAGAGCCGAGATAACTCTGCAGGCGGTCATAAAAAGGAAGCTACAAGATACCTGACGCCCAGACCCAGGCCTGGGGGACGCCACACGGCATTTACCGTTCCTGATGCCGTGTTTATCATTCGGAGAGACCCCCATTGGGTCGATTCTGGCTTGGCACTAACGGGGAGAAAGGTTCCTTTACCCAGAACGGTCATACATTCCAGTTATCAGATGTGCCCTAAAGGCCGCATGAGGGAGAGATGTTCGCTTTTGATGATAACCTCAATGCCATTGTTTATGCTGCATGCCGTTTGTGTTTTACTCTAGGCACTCGTAGGACTTGGCCCCTGGCTTGGATAGGTCATGGATCTTGGTAGAACCCTTCTAATGCATTCTGCACAGCGTGTATATTAAAACACGACCCCGGATTCCGTACATGTTCTGCAGCTGCAGCTCATCCTTTACGCCGAACGATTGCTCGCCCCTTTGCACCATCCAGCCCCAGCAATGTCACCCCTAGAGGACACCATTCATCACCTGCATTCTGGCGACCCAGGACCGATGCCCGAGAAATCCGAGAAAGCGCCATACCAGCACTCAGACCTATCTTCCGAACATGCCACGGATATTCATCACGGTACTATTTTGGGCAATGAGGTCCACGCTGGACTGCAACGTAGACTCGGCAATCGTCAAATCCAGCTTGTCGCCATTGGTGGATCCATTGGAACTGCCATATTCGTGACCATCGGAGACGCACTCCGTAAATCAGGTCCCGGTGGGCTGCTGCTAGCATTTCTGATCTACAATGCCATGCTAGCTATGGTCAACAACTCTATGGCGGAAATGTCGACATACATGCCCGTGAGTGGTGGCTTCATCTACATGGCCGGCAAATGGGTCGACGATGCCCTAGGCTTCATGGTCGGCTGGAACTTTTTCCTTTATGAAGCCATCATGATCCCCTTCGAAATTACAGCGATCAATATGGTGCTGTCCTTTTGGCGTAACGATATCCCCCCTGCGGCTGTCTGCGTTGCTTGTATTGTAATATACGCGTGAGGTTCCCTGGTGCATCCGAGCCATATCCATGCGATCATCCCTTACCCAAGCGGTCTGGTTCACCCGGCCCCTGCGACTACGTGCTAAGACTTGTGTATAGTTGTCTGAATGCCCTGGCTGTCAAAGGCTATGGCGAAGCCGAGTTCTGGCTTTCCGGTGGGAAAGTCATCCTGATATTCATCCTGTTCGCCTTTACTTTTGTCACAATGGTAGGGGGTAACCCACAGCACGATGTCTTTGGGTTCCGTCATTGGCGCCATCCTGGCCCGTTCGCAGAGTATCTCCACACGAACGACCTTGGGCGATTCGAAGGTTTCTTAGCCGCACTATGGGCGGCCTCGTACACTTGTGTCGGCCCGGAGTACATCTCAATGGTAGCTGCCGAAGCAAAGCATCCTCGTATCTACATCAAAAATGCGTTCAAGACTGCTTACTGGCGTTTCGGAGTCTTCTTCGTGGGAAGCGCTCTTTGCTGCGGTATTCTAGTCGCCTATAATGATCCCACTTTGGTCGCAGTGTACTCCGGTGAGTCTGAGGGTGCAGGAACTGCTGCTGCGTCGCCGTACGTAATCGCAATGGGTAACCTAGGTGTCGGTGTATTGCCACATATTGTCAGTGCCCTCCTAGTTACGACTATCTTTTCCGCCGGCAACACGTACACTTATTGCGCCACGAGGAGCCTATACGGCCTCAGTGTTGATGGTAAGGCGCCAAAATTCTTGAGCAAATGTAGCAAGGGAGGGGTGCCAATCCGCTGCGTCGCTGTAGTCATGGCGTTCCCCTTTCTTTCCTTCTTAACATTATCTAGCAGCTCGTCGCAGGTCTTGACCTGGCTCATGAATCTGTTGACGGCAGCCGCCATTATCGATTATATTGTCATGTGTGTCACATATATTTGGTTCTATCGAGCATGCAAAGTTCAGGGTTTCGACCGTTCCAAGCTTCCTTACAAGGGCTGGTTTCAGCCTTGGTGCGCCATTATCGGCCTTCTGTGGATGACGATGATTGTAACCTGTTATGGGTACACAAGCTTCACCCCTTGGAATGTGACGACCTTTTTCACGCATTATACGATGCTTCTATTTGGAATCATCACATTTGCCGGGTGGAAATTGTTCAAACGCACTCGGCTATTGCGCCCGGATGAACTGGATCTTACCTTAGATGCCCCTGATATCACTGCATATGAAGAGGCTGCCAAAATCAACGATCCCCCTATAGGGTTCTGGGCTGAGCTCATCCAACCTTTCAGGCCGAAGTGGAAAACGACTCAAGAGCAGTCAGATCGTACGGTTTGACGCGCTGGCTCGCCTGCAGCTATATAGGTGATGGTAATGGGACATAACGCATGATATGGGAGGGACTGTACTGATGCTGTAGTGCATGCACTGTTTTTGTACATACAATTGGACATTCTGTGAATGTGCCTGTCGGGAAAGGACGTATGTATCTGTTGTACCCCCAGGCCTTGAACGTTGTATGCAGCAATGAATGAGAGGCATTGAGTGAAGAATGACATTGGCTTGTTGAGTCGCATCTGACTATTTGCTGTCAACGCCTGTTGAGGGACACTTCCCTGTCTCGAGAAGGTCCTTCTTATCGACGACCACTGCCATTGATATATGCTTGAGCGTTAAGAACAATGGTGCTCTCTTTCCAACATCCCGTCGGAGCTTAGTGCCTTCGCAGGCAGGTCAGGCTTACGTCCGGTCACATGAGCGGCTCAATGCCCAGAGTGCATCTTTGGCCACCCGGCATATACTAATAACCACCTTAAGAGCAAGGAGCGAGTGGCTTCCTGCTCTGGAACTGGTGCTTCGTTCGGTCCGTCGGTGCCGTATGGGCGCTAATGACGGTTCATAGGTTTAACACAGGCCCCATACCAAAGTCCTAGTTACCCTTCCCGGTTTTTATACTTGTTTGAACGTCAGCCATTGACTCAAGTTAGCAGTTCGAAAGTCATTGATTTGCACACGGTCATACTTCATACGAAATCGTCTTCAGCACTTCATAGGTTGGGAGATTTCCCATCAACAAAGGCAAGTGATGTTTACGAAAGAGCTATATCCTGTGGCAACATCCGTCTGCTTTATCCAAAAAAAAGAATAACGACATAAACATACGCAAAGAGGGATAGAGAAACATCGCACTCCCGAGGATCTGGCCACGGTTAGTTCATTGCCTTGTTACTTGCGATATAACTTACTATTGACACTGGCAGTATGAGACAGATATGGTCGGCCTTACGAATATCTAATGGCCCGGATTGCCGCACACTACGATTCCGCAATAGAAAATGGTTACGTTTCCAGGAACCCCTCCAATAGTGACTTTTAGCTGCACCTTCGGCACCCATCATCGAAGCTTGGAAAGAAATATCATTGCAAGTCATCGCGTTCAATTACTTTGTCGCGCCCGAAACCAACATTCCTTGCCGTTCCCTATACTTCAGCAATATGCGATCGGTGGCGCAAGTTTGTGACTCTCTTCTTGGGAGCCGGTCTAAGGTAATGTTAATTCTCACACGAAACCCCGAAAGTGTATGACAGCTGCATAAATTGCCCTTATTATTAGGAAAGGCTGTATATGATAACCGGCAGTTTCGGCGAGAATAGCTGAGCTGATAGACGGGACCGTCTGTATGCTTCGTTCTCCCACATGAAGTCCTTGGAATTGTTATTGAAATTTCCAAATAGCGGTTCTCAAGCCATCAGCCCCCCAAAGCTGTCTTTCTCATAGACTGGGCTCTGAGCACGGAGACCACAACATCGTCATAATATTGCCGTTTTCTTCCTGACGTTCCCCTTGAAACATTTGAGATAATCCGACCAATCCGGAAGGGGTTTATTGTCTATACTTCGACGCCACTGCGTGAACGGCCTTCTTCACCGATGCCCGGCCCGGTTTGAACTTTGAACCATCTCCACCCCCGCGGCGTCTGGTGCACGGCCGCAGCTTGATAAGAACGCATGATAAGGGACTGTAGATGTGGGCCCGCTAGAAGTCTGGGGGGCGGATTGACTGGCTCGTAAATGGCAGCAAGAGACTGGAAGACAATTCCTAATCAGGGCATCCATTCCCCGTGATGGTCAGCTGATCCTCAGCCACATATTTGATCTTTGCCCTTTTGATATCAGCCTGGCGTTATTCTTCAGGAGATAAAGCGTAATTTCTACCTCTTACACTCTCAAACTCCCTTAATCCATTATTACTACAGAGTACTACACGATTAAGGAGGAGTAACCAGAAAAAGAACTACGATCCATCAACATCTTTGCAACGATGCGTTTTACTTACTCCTTGATCTTGTCGTACTTTTAGATCTATCTTTGATGTACATTCTCATGAATGTCTCAAGCCCTGTACATTACTTCGGTCCTCATCTAGTGAGTGCTCATCATGAATGATGGCGCTTATCGGTTCCATGTATAATTCTTCCTTGAACTAAGCCTTTTTCCACTTTCGCATGGACAGAGTGAGTGTATTCAAGCAATTTAAACTACTTGGGACCCAGACAATCACATTGTACGCTAAGCAAATTGGCTAGCTCCTATCTCAATGAACAGGCATTGGCTGGTTGTATTATTTTACTTATCGAGCGTTCCATGGGGATCATCAATAATATTATTCCTACTATTTAGGAGTTATCTGATGATTATACGGAGGACAGTCTTGGGCACTTCCATTGTACTCCAATGGCAAGATGAGTTAAGCAGCCATGCTTCGGTATTGTCTCGTATCGGAGTGTTTTATTACAGATCGTCGTTTTATTACCTCGGTCTCGAATCTAAACGGACCGAGTACGTACTTCTTCCTAGATGACACCCTCGTACAGTTCAGCTGGCCACCAAAATAAAGAAAAGAGTCCAGGGCGTGTTATAGAGGCAATTTTTAGGTTGATCACAGCAAGACTGAATATTAGCAGTGGAAGCTGAATCGAAACTTGGATCTATAAATTGCCGGCTCATCCACCGCCAAGGATTAAACTATTTAACTAGTCTTTCCAATAGTGGTTGATCTGGGGTTATACCGAAGTTTGTGGCCAATAGAGTACGCCACTGCTAAGGAAAGTGATCTTCTCCTTTCATAAGATACAGAGGTACTATTGTATAATCATTTCAATAGATATTGCAGATCTACTATGTTATTCAGCCAAGTGGTCAATGACTCCGTATAAAGAATCTCCCTATTCGAGTATAAAAAGACTCATCTTCCTTGTCCTAGCTGCCTCTGCAATTGCTTACGCTTCACCTACTTTTAATAAGGCATTCCACAGGATTGAGTTCACCAAGGTGCGTTCTACCTGCTTCCTTCAAAAGTCTCTATTGTCCTCATAACTCTTATAGGTCGTCAAGATGAAGATTCAGCTTTTTTGGTTACTCACAACTACCAGCCTGGCCTTCGCAGGCTCCAACAGAAGAGTTACCTTGCCAGGAATTGAGAGGCGTGGTGAAGCCTATGTTAATTGTATATCATCTTTCATGGAAGATGCTGTATCCAATGTTAAATCTATCCTACCATCCGCGGAACCTTGCATTGCAGAATTCGAGATACAGATTCACAGCTGTCTTGTTGAGTACGCAGATCAACCCCGCGACGATAGAACCAAAGACATGGGGAAGTGCTTCGAGGAGCGGGTAACTATATTTCGGCCTCGGTTCTCATCTCTATTTCACTAATCAGCTTCATCTCTAGGTTCCTGTTCTCGGCAAGTGTATGGAATCCATCCAAATCCCTCTTGATGGTCAGGAGAGTGCTCTCAAAATATTCTCAGAGGCTAGAGCGCATATGTTTAGTGAAGATCCGGAGATCGGCTGCGATGATAAACCCTGAATAGATGGAAACGGTGTTTTAGGAGTATATAATATACAGTAGAGCTGAGGTTTCTTTCTTAGTATATACGAGTTCTGGCTTCCTGCTTCGATGAGCTGACGTAGATATTGGGAAAATTGGACCTTCACATAGAAGACCTGGGTTGCTTGGGAAACGCGTGTTCGCATCATGTCTCAATTCTCAAAGCTGATAATATCATTATAAATGGAGTGTGGATCCTGGAGACGCTTTGAAAAGTGGACGCTGCGCATATATATTTACCTACAAGGAACGAAAACTCTGCGCATGATCATGATAGAACTGGATCGTAGCCCTTCAACATGACTACTGGAACAGCTATAAGCTCAGGTATACCTCCATCCGGGTTAACCTATCGTGTACCCACTGCTGTACCTCGTGGATGTAAATCCCGGCGGACCCAGGCAGAATTGGTGCCTGAGGAGAGAATCCCCTCACGTGGCCGGCAACGGACTATGCCGAAAAAGGAATGGCGCCAACCACCTCGATCGTCATTTTGATCCAAGATCATTACCTTCCACCACGGCCAGAAATCTGTTCCCCGGAATTGAAGACTATGAGTGCTCCGAATGATAACTATACGATACACAAAGTCTCCTTGAAACGTACACGGCAGGCCTGTGGTCCTTGTCGGTAGGTACAATGTCAATTGGCGGAAGGACACACAACCATCCCCATTTCATCAGAGATACATGGAGAAACAAGCTTCGAGGGCAGGAAATAGAATGCTGACGGCTTGGTACCTTGCAGTCGGAAGAAGGCGCGCTGCCCAGGAGAAAAGCCGACATGTTCGCTCTGCGAAAGGCTCGGCCAGCGCTGCTCATACGGGCCGCAGGCTGCCCCGAGTCGTGCTGCCACCACTAGAGCTTCTCCTGCTCATGGGCAGGAACGCGGTTTGGCAGAGCCCGGAGATGTAGGTGATACCATGATTTGATTGATTCTTTGCAATCGCTGGATATCCCCATGGGTTGACGATTTCTTGCGCGATCGACCAGGCCAACCTGTCGAGCTCGCAACGATTCGAGCGCATTGAAGAGAGATTGGATAAGATGGCAAGCATTCTCCAGTACGAACGCTAGTTGTTTCTTGGATTTGCGCCCCTAAATGTTAATGGTTTCTAATTTCCCACCCCACTTTCTCTCAGGGAATGCTTGCTGAAGAACAATCCGTTGACTGGAGTGGCGAGCGGAAATTCACTCCCCTCCCATGGCTATGGCCACCGCAGCATGGGCAATTCCCCCGTAGCCTTGAATTTCCAAAATGCGGAACGTCGTTATTCTGTGGGGTACGTGTCCTGTGTTTCCTCCGCTCCCACGCCAACCTGACGGACTCACACCGATAAGGACCTCGCTGCCACCTGATTTTGTCAAATCTGAGGTAGAGATTTATCTGGCCCATTTCCATGACCAGCCCTATTGTGTTTTCTCCAAGGACTGGCTTTTGAGCCGAGATCTGTCATTACCTCCGGAAGTCGCATTCCCATTAGTGGCTCTTACTTCTCGGATCTCACGCCGCTCGCCGGGGCCTACTGGAAGCGGCGTGCTTCCTACAAAGCACTATGCCAACAAGGCCTGGGATATCTTGTCATACCAGTACAAGAGCGGTAAACTGGGTCTTTCATTTTTACAGGGAACATTTCTTATGGCACAGGTGGACTTCGCCGACGGCCAATCCCATCGAGGGTATTCATCTGTTGCACTGGGGCTCCGGACGATTCAATCTGCCGGCCTCAACAAAGATAAGTATACGTCGTCCCTCACAAACTCAGAAGCGGAAGAAAGAAGACGCATTACCTGGGCCTTTTTTATGCTGGACCGCAGTTATAATGCATCTCGAGACTATTCATTGTGCCTTTCAGACAAACATTTCACCATTCTTTTTCCTACACCGGATACGCCAGCCTCGCTCTCTGGTGAGGAATCACTGGCTCGTGGGACACTACATGACGGGCCCGAGAAGCAAGGAGAAAAGCTTGACCACGGCATTCTAGCCTGTCTTCTTCGGCTTTACTCCATTTGGGGCAAAACCACTGATTATGTCTTTGAGCCCTTCGACAAAGATGCGTTACCCCCCTGGCGATCAGGATCGGCGCTGGCCGGTCTGGAGTCCGACTGGATGCAGTTCGAGACTCATTTTGCCGATACACATCGCTATCGAAGTGTCGACTTCCGACGACGCGCTCGTGAAGAACCGCATTGTCGCTCGTACCTGTGCAGCTGGCTGTGTGTGCAATTTCTCTTCCATTCCGTTCAATGTCTGCTGCACCATCCCTTCGTCAACATGGTTAAGCTCCGCCACATCGACGGAAACATACCCGCCACCTTCCTGCAGAAGTCGTATGAGAGTTCCCTTATTCATTCGAGGTGGATTGCGCGGTTCATCCGAGAAATGGAGGAGGTTGACATCCGGCTGTACGACCCGTTTATCGGTTATCTCTGTGCAATCGCCGCCACCATTCAGCTCGAGAATACGGCCAGCAAAAACCCACACATCGCCCAGCTGGGGAACAGCGATTTTCGAACGTTGGTTGATTATATGACAGACTTGTCGGCGCATTGGGAAAACATGGGTGTCTTAGTATGTTCGGCCCGACTCGATGTGTGATATCTGCTAATGGGGCTGGTGCAGGTCAACCGGGTCAACAAACTGGCCGCGAGACAGAAAAACTACAAGTCGCTATATTATAGCCAGGATACTTTCTCCGGGGAGCTAACCCGCATGCCCACGCCGTCCACTATACCAAGAATGTCAGAGGCGGACGAAGCTCTGATGTGGAATATTCTCGACTTCAGTTCGTCGTTCACCCCTGCTGAGATCGTCCAGCTCGGGGACTTGGTCCCGTCTCCGTACCAGCGGATGGAAACAGTCAGTCCGAATTTCCCAGATCCTTCCCTGGTGGCAACTGGGCAAGGCGCCGGGCAAGGGATAGAATCTCTCAGCGGGCGGGCTCCGGGACCGGTAGGCACCGATCCTATATCAGAATGGCCCTTTGCGGAAAGACCGGGTAATAGTGGATTCGACGCGGCCATCCCCGACCTGCCCGACTGGATGATGTTTGGGGATTACGTCGCGGAGCAACTGTGACGCTCCTGCAGAGGAGGAAACGATGGATACTAACCATGCTCGCGCATGATATCATGATCATGATCAGACATATGAATGACTTATGATGAACTTAACACGATCGGAAAATTAAACAAAAGGAATTGGTTTAAGAAAATATATGCATGCTTCTTGTGAAAACAAAAGCGTATAGATCTAACAGTCTAATGTCGTTGTAGCCAGCACGCGTCCACAACCGAAAATCTCTCGTCGAAAGTAACAAAATTCGTCTCACATGACAGTTTGCTCTTCAGCGGGTATATGTGTTTCCAGAAAAATCAAATCAGCGTCCCTTTAGATCTTACTCTGCCTTGTCGAAGCGGCGGCCAACGCGCCAGCAAATCTCTCCCGTTCCTGAGGAGTCAACTCTCTCCTCTCAGGGCCTCCTCGACTTCCGTCCCCCTTGAATACGTCGCACTGGAAGCGCTCTTTGTACTCGGTGGGGAACTTCCATTTCTGCAACAAGTCTTGCGAGAGCTTCTTTTCGAAGCATCCAACGACGTACTTTCCGATTACGGGCAAGAATTTAAAGGCACTGTGACCAAGGTTAGACCGGTTGTTCTGGTATCAGACGTGCTTTCTAGGTTCTGGGTACTTACTGTCCGCTACCACCCGTGGCGATGAACATGTTCTTGTGCTCTGGGTGATAATCCATGATGAAATCGCCGGTCGGGGTATCATTGTACCAGCATAGCGCTACCCGCTCCCAGCCCTTGGGCTCTAGGTCTGGAAAGAGATCCTTCATACCGAGGTTCAGACGCTCGACGGCCTCATCTGGGATGAAGTTGGCGCGGGCCGATGGCGGGGCAGCCGGGGGCGCAGAAATGCCATCTTGCGAGTGGGTGTAGCCGTAGCTGTGGACGGCGACCTTGAGGATGTTCGTTCCGTCATGGGGAGGGAAGCAGAAGAATCCGGTGGAGAGGTTAAAGTAGACGGGCATGTTCCTCAACCGGATCATCTCCTCGGGGGTGAGCCGCATGTATCCGACGATCTGAGCGGCCGCGACCATGGTGTTCCAGGAGGGAACCAGACTGGCGGTCCAGGCACCAGTTGCTACGATGAACTTGTCACCTGTGATCCGGTTGCCACTGCTCGTGCGGACCGCTTCGATGGTGCCGTCCGCCTTCTTCTCAAAATCGGTCACTTGGCCATCGGGGCCACTGATAAATGATACACCTGCCGCGATACACCGAGCTGCCACGCGAGCGGATGCGAGACCTGCATCTGCCCATCCGCCCGAGTTGTTGAAAAAGGAGTAGAAGCCTGGGTTGCCCAGCGGGCCGGTAAGCTCAGGGAATTCACGCTTGCAATCTTCCACCGTGGGAACGGAGTGCCAGGGCTCGCCCATCTTGGTCAGAATCTCTCTGGTTTTGCGACTGTACTCCTCAGCGGCGGGCTGTATAGGCTGTCCGGGGGTCTCGTTCTGAGTCACCCAAAGACATCCGGATTGATGGAAGGCCTCTTTGTATGCGGGTGTTTTCCATAGGTCGAAAGCCTCCTTGCCCATGCGAGCGTATACCTCATCGCCGTAATCGAATCGAATCACGCGGGAAATGTCGTTACTGGATCCATCGGGAACAGGGGGCATCGCTCGATCGAGGACGGTCACAAGGCGATAACCTTCCTCCTTCAGCCTCAGGGCAGTTCCCAGGCCAAAGATGCCCGCTCCAATAACGACAATGCGTTCATTCTTAGCTGCCATTGCGTGTGCGGATGTTAGGAAATTGCCGTCTGATCACAGTTCCGGATCAGTGTCTGTAGTTTGGACATCAAGAACGAACGTGATTCAATTTCTTTTATACGATGTGGCTCCCGGACTCAGCGTGATATTTCCGTGCATCACGGACCGTGCGCCGAACACAGTGAGGGGCAAGTGCCGGATTTGTCCATGGATCCTAGATCGGATCCCAAGTTAACGAAAGAAGAGCCACAGAAAGCCAAGAAGATTGGCCACTCTGCGGTGGAGAAACACGGTCCGTCCTCCGTATACGGACCGTGCTACTTGACCCCTTCTCTGAGGATGACATCTGCTTGTCCAGTCCAGGCGAAAGAGCCTCAGACCAGTGTCCAATGGCACTGGACTTTTGGTGCATTGTAATCGTAGATCTTCGGGACGGAGTATCTTCAAAGACACCCTGAGAGGCTCGACGAGGGGCACAAGAGACCACGTGGTGCATAACTTGAATTATGCCCTTAGTCATCCATATGGCATAACTAACGAGCATAACTATGAATTGCTGTCAACAGACTGACAGCCAGCTTCAAGTCTCTTCATTTTATGTGCCTCTACTGTGTAAGCACTGCAATGTGCAAACCAGGACTGGCGGCCTCCAGTGTATGATCTCCAAGGCACCCTAGCCCCGTGTCTCTGCAATCGCCAACAAGTGATCCGCGTTGCCTCAACAAACTACATCACAACGCTCGTATACGTCCGGTGGTAGATCGCCCAGCTTCCCGGCCAATCCTCTCCCGAGAAACCCTTCGCAAGGTACAACGCGGGCCAAAGCAAGCTCGACACTATCCTGAGTCCTCAGTATCCCATCAGCCTTCCGAAAACAATCTCTTTATATCGTCCACATTGGTATGGTACGAAGCCACGGAAAGATTCCGTGTGTACCTCCCTGAAGAAAGATACTCGCGATAAAAAATATCGAACTCCACCGCGAGGCGATCTGGATCACGTTGGGCGATACCCCTCAAATGCGCGCATTGCATGACAAATGCGACCACGACAATCCCGTTGGCACGAAGCATAGAAGCGCAAGCGCAGAGGACCTGTGTACGTTCGGATTCCGCAAGGAGGTGATGCATTGGGCCCTGGCAGAGAATTAAGTCATAGGTGGATGTTGTGAAGACGGTTTGTGGACCTCTTTCCTTTGGATACACCTGAATGGTTCGTCACCAGACTCTATGGCGAAGGACTTAGCTAGCTCAAGCTCCGACCGGGAGATATAAACCAGTGTGACTGAATGGCCTTGTCGTGCCAGTTCGACGGATGCAGAGCAGCATCTGGTCAGCACCGGCCGTCTTACGGTAGCTTCACCTTTTCACACACACAACGGGCATGGGATGCATTGGATGGCTTTGAGAAGATTAAGCTTAAAGAACAGCATTGACAAACCGGATTGGCCTGTTCCCCCGCCTAAATCCAAAATCCGCAAGGGTTGATCAGTTCGCCGTCATAGCTGCTCGAGACACTGATCAATCACTCTCAGCGATATGGAGAACTCAAGGTGGTAGTCATTCAATCGATTGTGCTCGAGAGCCGCCTTTTGATTGTACCATAGCGCTACTAATTGTGAATCGGTCATTGTATAGTGTCTCTTGAGCTCGACTTGAATGAGAAAAACGCCGGTGCGTAAGGGTTTGGGTATGTTGAAGGTGTTTTACAAGGAACGTTTGGTCGCCCAGTTACCTGTTCTAAAGGGGCACAAAGTTTGCATGCGACAAGCATGATTTATGTCTCTTTCACCACCATGGGATGGTATTTGAAGCCACTTGCCGTTTGGCTGGGCGCTTCTCGTATTCCTTGCCGGTATCTCCGCAGCACTAAAAGCCTCATACGGCTCGTAGAATGCGTGTCCTGTCGCCCCACGCGACGTGAGAAGTGGTCTGGACCTATCCATCACACGTTACATTATCGACGATGCTTGACAGGGTAATCCAGGACTCGGCAAGGGGCCTTCGTGCATTTACCCTGGAGACAGCTGGACGTCCATCCTTGATGCCAGTGACAAGCATTTGTCAGCCAAATACACAGCTGCAAGTCACGAAGAGGTTAGACCTTGAACGGATTCTACGGGAGGACATGATTATCCAAGTCAGTAAAATATATCTAGCACACCTCGATCACCCCGTTTTCCCTCACCCGTAATGATTCGCGATCAGATAAGATTCAGTTGACAGATTTTTTTATCTCCCCCAATCGCAAACCCCCTGCAAGCTCCTATTGGTACTTTGGATCCACTTAGTAGCCATGGCAGACTCCATAATGTGGCATCGTCGCTTCTGCACAGCCAATTGACTGAGCTTTAGATATCAGAGCTCCAGCTGACCCCTCCTAGCGAGTGCAAAAGCGCAGGTACACCGGGTGGATGAGGAGAGCAGGCCAATCTAGAAAGTCAGAAACGCAATTCGGCCATTTTCGTTTCCCTACTAGCAGATCCTGGCTCGTTTCCCTTTCCCCACGAAACGAAAACTATAATACCCTTCATTTCACCTTTTTTATCGTCTATTTTGTTCTTTTTCCATATTACTCCTCGCGCTTACCATACAGCAATGCGATCTCGGCGGGCGAGTGGCGCGAGCGCTTGTGAGCGCCAGCCCCTGTGGGTAAGACCAGATGAATTGGACGACAGCGACAACAAAAACCCGAGCAATAAGCGCCACCTCGGCCTATTCTCGACGGCCCTACTCCTGTAGGGAATACATAGTCCCTTCCATTCTGCTGTTGATCTCGGGAACTGAGTGTGATGCAGGACCAACCGCATGATCGGCGCCGCCATCTTCTCCGTACCGTCTTCCATCTTTCTCAGCGTCGGCAGCGTCGGCGCGGCACTTTCAATATGGGTTGTGGGGATTATCCTCACCTTTTGCGGATTTTACATATATTTGGAACTGGGATGTCTGATGCCGCGCACCGGTGGGGAGAAGGTGTACTTTGACACGGCATACCCTCGCCCCTACCGTCTCGCCAGCACGCTTTATGCCTTCTACGTGCTATTCGGATTCCCCGGTACGATAGCTCTACTTCAAGCCTTTCGGACGTGCTAAAAGAGTGTACTAATATTCAGGAACTATATAGGCCTGGCCAGTATCGTGGTCGCGGATAACGCCCTTCTGGCTTTCAATGTCGCTACTAATGAAGCTGGACAGCGACTGACCGCGGTTGGAGTGATGGCCTTAGTCGCAGCATGTCTCTCGATATCTCGCGAATGGAGCGTGCGAATTGTCAACTCGTTAACCTTACTAAAGCTTGCGACCTTCCTGTTGATTCTTGCCACCGCGTTTGCCATTGTCGTGGGAGTCCTTCCAAGGAATGTTGATACTGGTGTCGACTTTCGCCAACCATTCGCGGGTTCCTCAACCACGGTATATGACTACACTGTCTCACTGTTCAAAGTGCTAGAATCGTTCCTGGGGTGGAATAGTGCGAGTATGGTGTTAGGGGAGGTCAAGAACCCACGGAGGACCCTCAAGGTGGCCGGTCTGCTCGGCGTCGGCGCCGTTGGCATACTATATCTGTTGATCAATGTCTCCTATTTTATTGTGGCGACACCGGATGATATTAGCCGGGCCGGTGTGCAGCTGGTTGCGCGTCTACTAGGCAACATCTTCGGGAGCGCAGCCTCGCGTGTCACCGCGGCCATGGTCGCTCTCTCCACCTTTGGTAGTATGATCTCGACAGCATTCGCTGTCACCCGGGTAATCCGGGAGCTCGCAGTGGAAGGAATCGTTCCAGCGGCTGACATTCTGTCCAAGTCATCCAAGTCTGGCAACCCAGCCACTGCGACATCAGTGTTCATGTTCGCACCGTCGGTAGTGGCAGTCCTACTGTTGCCCTTTGGTAGGCTGATTAATATCACGAGGTGCATCGTTCACGGACTAACATATGAGCAGGGGACGCCTATGCATTTCTACTGGATGTGAACCAGTACTTACTGGTGATGGTATATAGTGCTGTCGTAACAGCCCTCTTCATCATTCGACAGTACGTCCCAGCGGCCGACTACCCATTCCGCGTGTGGACGTGGGTTCCATATCTCTTTCTTGCTTTTCAGGTTTTCCTACTGCTGTCCCCACTTGCATCTTCCAACGGCGCTGGCGATACCAGTTTACCGTTCTGGCTTGCCCCAGCCGTGTCCTTCTTCGTGATCGGGCTCGGTATATTGTACTGGCGACTGAAGTCTTTCGTCACCCCTTCCGCGGACGAGCCATTTTGGTCCCGACGGGACAATGTTGGGTCGTATGGCTCCGTGGCTGCGTCATAATGCGGCACAGCCACAAAGACTACGACATGCATGATTGCAGTAGACATATATACTAGCGTACAACTTGTTTCGCTTTACAGGACTATCCCATTGGTATTTTCACGGGCTTACCTGACGTGTATCACTCGTTTCTTCGCTGTCTGCCGTCGTAAGTAGTCCTCCTAATAGGATTTGTCTCCGCCAAAAGAAATTATGAGGACTACTAGCCAGGGAAGTCTCTTCAATTCCGGTTGCTAGATAGAAGTCACCTGTACATGCTTCAATATGCATATTATCGGACTGGAAGGCCATGTTAAAGCCCCCTTTGAATAGTGTCGAGGCCGAAGGTATGAGGAATCGTCATATGTGAACGCACTCCCACGTTCATGGGGCTTGCCTTTGCTCACTGCTTCCCACGATATCTGGTCTACTAGACGTATCGAATACGCCCCACCGTCTCAAGGTTTCACCTAGCGCAGCCCATGCAATTTCTACAATACTGTATTGGCGAGATATAGCATGATATGCCGTAGAAGCGTTGTAAAAGCTCTATAATTCTCGTCAGCCCAGAATGTGAGTTGCGTGTGGGACAATCACAAGTTTTTAGCCTTCTAACCGTGAGATACGTAGTGATTCAACCCTTCGATAGCCAATTTGGGGGGTCTAAATGAGAATGGACATTCATAGCCGCCAAAGCCGGCCCGATATCAGGGGTGCGTTCAATGGCAGAGAGACAGGGGAGGGACGGCGGTCCAGGGGGTGAACAAATGAGACAGAGACAAATGTGTGATTATGTGTTGTCGAGTAGTCTACATGGATCTGCAGAAGCAACTCTCTCGGTAGGCTCAGAAGCGAAGATCAAATGTCTGCTGATTCCCTTGCCTCTCGTGTCCTATGTGGGGCTTTGTTATACAGAGCATTGAGACATGATTATGGTATGCATTGCCACCTGATTGCGGGTGTCTTAGGGGTCTGGACTTGGTGGCAGTGCCCACCAATCTTTCCATTGTTATTAACCTCATACTTCATAGGTAGGGCAACAAGGCTTCTTAACATCACGGCCCGAGGTAGGAACTTGTCCGTACAAGCTGTGGTTCATATCGGCCCTGCCGAGTCTTCAGCGAGTGCCGAAACGTGGAAGGGCGTCAGGGAAATAAAAATAGCAACACCGAATCTGCAGATGATCGTTGATGCCACGTCGGTTTTAGAGAAAACGTCCGTCTCAGGGCTCGGAGCGAAGTTGCCTCTTCATTGGGCCTTCTGCCCCGCAAGGGCTTCGTTTCCCCGAGGTTTTATTCATCCTGATTCCTGGACTTTTGAGAGAAGGTCGGAATACTGACCCACTTCACTCTATATGACAACCTATTAAGTCTTGTCATGATTAAAACATGTCTCACTCCTTCTCCACTGTCTGGATATTTTCGGACACTTCCAGATTGATGTAATAGCTTAAAAGTCAGAGATATAGTTTAACGGTCGGGATATAAATCGCCCCTGGGTTTGCTGTCTGCAATCTCCTCAACATCAACAAAATCCCAATAAACCACAAGGCCCATCGAGCAGATTCTCTTTCATAGCCTATTTTATACTTCTCAACACAGTAAAAATGAAGTTGTCCGTTGCTGCTTTTGCCTCCCTTCTCTCGGTTGTCAGCGCTGCTGCCGTCCCTTCTAACGCTACCCTCCCCGCGGCCTTCACTCTGGTCGCTGATGGCGGCAGAACCGCCCTGACCGATGGCCGTAAGTCCCCTTTGTCTTGAAACCTCAATAGTCCAGGAGCAATCACTGACGAACTCTATACAGAGTACGTCTACGTCGGCGGTGACGCTACCGACGGCAAAGAAATCCTCATCCTGCGGTCCGCCGCCAACGGCATGGTCTCCTTCACCTCCAAGAACGGTGTCCCCACTGCCTTCCAGAACCTCTATATCGTCGAGAAGGAGGTAACCCCTGTTTCCCTCACTATCCCCCACTCTGGTGCTGTACCGGAGAACGGCAACATGAACGGCTTCGGCGTCAATGCCCAGGGCTACTTCACCAACAACGGTCGCCCCTGGTTCTCCGTTGACGTCGGCGACGCTCCCTCCAAACAGGTCTACTGGTACGGTGGCCACAATGCCGAGTACTACGGCCTCGACCTCTGGGTCAAAGAGTGCAAGGGCTGCTAAAGGGTCTGACGGATTGTACATATTGGTTCCGCCCTACATCTTGATCTCGTGTATGGGACGTTTTCTTTTCGTGCGGCTTTTGAAGGTTTGCAACCTTTCAATCAGTTCCTGCTTTATGCTCGATACCCGGGACTTTGCATTAATAGTTAGCATGTTTAACTTCCATTTTCTGAAAATATACCATTGTATTCCTATTGTAGGTTCTGTCTCTCGTCTATTGTCTAGTTCAGTTAAACCTCTTCTCAGCAACGCTGAAGGTCCAATCCTCCGGGAAGGTGCCGTATTGAACATCATCGCGGTCGTGGAAGATATCATCATAGTGGGCGATGCGTGTCTCCGGGAGTTCTGCCTGGCGATAATAGTGATGCGCCAGCCTCTGCATCGTGGGGTTATTCCACATGGTCTCCATCCAGGCCAATGCATTGGGACTGGCCGTGTCAAGGGGAAGATTGTAGGTACGGAAGCGCTGCGCCAGTCATCCATTAGCAATCACGGACATTTCCCCATCGAAGGGAAAACTACTATACACACCCAAAGAACCGGCCAAAAGAAGGCATCCGCGATACTAAACGATCCAAACAGGAATCCCTCATCCTTCTCGTTCAATTCAGCAAGACGAGCCGTGGCCGTGCGTCTCGCATTATCCCAGATGACGAGAAGCCGCTCAACCTCCTTCTTTGCCTGCTCGGACACGGGAACATTCCCCGTGTACCGGGCAATGAAGTTCGTGCCGTAGTTATTTCGCAGTGTCGAGAATCCCGAGTGCATCTCCGCTACTGCGCTGCGCGCCAACGCTCTGAGCTGTCGGTCGCGCGGCCACAGATTGAGCTCTGGGTTAGACTCGGCCAGGAACTCGCAGATGGCGAGGGAGTCATTGAGACGGATATTTTGGCCAAGTGAGCGACATTCTAGCAATGGGACGAAGCCCGTGTGGGAGACCTTTTTGACCTGCTTCTGTCAGTTTGCCCTCCATGAGAAGTGTTGAAGATATGTAGACTACCTCGGACAGGTGAATAATCTGCGCTGTGTAAGGGATATTGAAGTACTCGAGGACTGTTTCCACGCGGCTAGTCCAGCCTGCCGATCACATCGTTAGTACATGCTATAGGAAGGGTGATGGTGCATACTGGAGTATCTCGTATGGGTTCCAATGAGATGGAAGTCAGGCTGCTGCGTTTGCTCAGTCATTGTGATTTATTCAACTGTTGGAAGCTCGAGAAATTCTTGCAATAGCTTGTCAGTGCCAATCGTTAAATGGAAAGATGTATAACATATATAATGCTTCTGTTGCAACGCTGAAGTGGGGTGGTGAGTCATTCCTCGTATCCGAGCTTGTCAACTACCAGATTGAGCTTATATGATTATACTATCAGATGCTCCACAATTGACACTTGGAGTAACCCGGAAAAGCTCGCAAAAAGATCATGATTCTTTTCATTATCCAGTCCCCTCATGTGAGGAACATGTTTCTCGTGCACTGCCAGAGAGCCGAACGGGAGGTTGTTTTGTGGTAGTTGAGCATTGTTCGGGTCTATCTTATACTCAAGGCACTCACCAAGTGTAAAGTCACTGAGTAAAACGTCTCTGAGTTCCAAGTCCTCACCAATTCAATATTCGATTTAGAAGAATGTCGATCAGAGGATGAATGCCAAGAATGAAGCGGAAGCTGACATCAGCTACAAGTCAATTCATGTAGATCAGAGCAGCAAGGAGAAGGGGGAAAAAATACATTTTGGCCTCCAGCACAACCTAGTAGACACACAAGAATAGAGTGGAAAGCTATGACCTCTCCATCTGATCCCTTACTCCGCCAGCACAGTTCCAGATACCACCACCAGGAACGGAGATATTCACCAGGAGAAGAAGACGATGAACAAGAACAACCCCTCATCGCGCGGTGGCGACGGGTCGCGCGGGACTTCTTATCGTCGCGACGGGGCCATTATCTCGTCCTGTTACTCGTGTCCGTCGATGTCGCTTGTAGCTTTGCCGATTTTCTAATCGAGATACATGTCTGTGAGTTAACGGAACGTGGTTCCCACATAGCTGCCGGCTGGGGGGTCACCCAGGAGGTACTCGCCATCGTCGGCTTGGTCTTTTCGTGCCTCTTCATGCTGGAATTGATGGTGACGGTATTAAGTTTTGGAACGGGGTAAGGCTTGTTTCCAGCTACTCGTTGCACATCTGGTTCGAACAGATTATCGCTGTGCAAGCTGCCAAGTTCACACCCTAACCCCGGGCCTGAAAGCTAACCGAATCACTAGCTACTTCTCCTCCAAGTTTCACATCTTTGACGCGATTGTAATTGTGGTCGCTTTCGGTGTCGACGTTGCTCTCCATGGCATAGAGGAAGAACTGGGCTCTCTAATCGTGGTACTTCGATTATGGCGCGTGTTCAAGATCATTGAGGAACTAGAGTCGGCCAATGAAGGCACGCTGGAGGAGTATGAGCACGAGATCGAGAGACTACGCCAGGAGAATACATATCTTCGTCAGAGACTCAACGTGTCTTTCGATGATGCTGACCCGATGGATTAGAGTGTGGATCACAGTGGACATATCGACAGTAACTGTGCACAGCTGGTTTGAAATCTTTCTAAGGAAATATGCAATAGTACACATTAAGTTTATATTTCTAGGATTACAATTTTTGAGTTAAAAACATATCCCTAGCGGGGAATACCCTTGAGCTTCACGCCTGCTTGCGTGATCTCCAACCAAACGTTCATTTTCTTCGATACATCTTCCATACCGCTGAGGCTGGGATTCTTCTCAAAAGAATGCTGCCCGTCCACAGCCAAATCCGAGAACAATAATGCCAGAGGCGATGATTTCCAAATGTATTGATTCCGGGTCTTGATCATGGTCACCACCAAGAAAAGAATCGTCATTGCAACAAGGGCAATGGGAAGAATCATCCACGGCCAGCGAACGCTAACGAATGACTCCACGGTCCAGGTCATGCCCTTGACCGATGCTTTGCAGACTTGGTTCCGGGCATGGGTTGTGAGAGAAGTCGCGAGCGACGTGAAGACGGTGCTGATATCGGTCAAGTTGCCTTGTACGCCATAAAGAGCTTTGGCGGTATCGGTGGACCAGTATGGTCGATTGGACATGTATAATTGTCCTGTCCCGTTCAGAAGGGGCGTAAGGGAGTTAACCATCGCCAGTCGACTGAATGCATTGACTGAATATGTACACTCGCCTTTGTCGTCGCGTTGCGTCCCGTTCACGTAGCAGGTGTCCGGCGTTAGAGCAAAGTTCTCCAGGACAGCATTTGCTGTTAGGTTCGTGGAAGTAGCGGAGGACGTTATTCGCTCGTTGAACTTGCCGTCCTTAATGTTTGCTTCGTATGTGTCGATACAGAAGTACAGGGCGCATTCAGTTGCGCTGACTTGGGGTGGTACTCCGTAGCCGGAAGCAGTGATCGCGGTGAAATTCATGATGAGCGGCAGGTCTTTTGTATCTATTTGGAGGAGGGAAAGACCGTTTGTGGAATTCATGAGGTACATGCCCGTCTGTGACGTGCTAAAGCTGAACCCATTCGGTAATCTATAATCATAAGACTCCATCGTACTGAATCCTAGGGAGGATTTGTTCAACGTAAGCTGATCAGTGATGTTGGCACAGCGACTGCAGAAGCCTAGAGATTGGTAGGGAGCAAAGGTGCAATTTCCGGTTGGGCAGGTCGACATCACGGAGGGACTGGCCGCGCTCTGGTCTTGGAAGATCCCCGTGTAAATAGACGCCAGGGTAGAGAGTGGCACTTCGTTCTGTCCTGGGCCGGCTCCCTCACTGTAATCAGTGTACATACTGGTGTTGCAGATTTGAATCGAAGACGAGTTAGAAGAGTGAACGGGCCGCATATTGATTGCAATCACTTGTTGGACGAACGGGGCAATGGCCGCCGCGACAACGAGGACCAAGCATCCCACTGTCACCAAGTATCTGTTTTGTCCGTTCAGCGCTGAACCCCATTCAGGTGTGTTGGAAAGCTGCAACACCTACCGAGGTATAAACCGAAGCAGCACCAGAGCGGCCCCGAAAGGCCCCCGACTCGCAGCATCCAACATTGCCAAGTCACTCAACTTATTTCCTCGACTGAACCACGACCATTTGAGCTGGGACAAGGCCTCAGTGATTGGGAACGCCATGGCGGCCTTCATGAGCGTGGTTAGAAGTGAGATAACTGCGTTCAAGGTAATTCCATACGGCCAATCGGGCATGGATTTCCCATCGTACATGTATAACACCACAATAATGCCAGCAAGCGACGCCACGGCAATCACACAGCTCAGAATCTCCCATATCCAACTTGATCCTAGAGATCCTGACGCTTGCACAAGGACGGCCTGATCAGATGCCGATAACGGTTGCCGCTGCGCTTGGTGTTCCGGTGGGTCATCCATTCTGACATACGATAGACGATATTCATCTTTGGCGTGCTCCATGGTGGCTAAGGTCTATACACATTGTTCCTACTGAAGGTCTAAATAGCTGCTGAAACAATGCTGAAGAGGTTGAATTCAAGCCACACTTGAATCCGTGGGAAAACATCCTTGAAAATTTGGCATTGACGTAGCATCGGTTGTGGCGACGATATATTACCGCATTAGGCTAATAAGTGAAACTAGGGCTTTGATCGGCGCCTCGTGGCTTCAGCTGCAGACCCATATATTTCTTTTTCTAGCATAGATGGGGAACGTTAGGGCCCTGATTTTCTGAGTCAGGAGGTGATCGGCCAGAGGGATCTTCCTCTAGGTGCCCCTTATAAGGACTGGAGCAGAGACTCGGATGCGGAGTTTGTACGCTCCCTCAACATACCTTCCTAAAACCGGGAAAAAGAGCAAGTCTTTTTTATTAACATCAACATATTAATGTTTCATACTGCGCAGTAGTGTTGGGGGAAAACACTCGGCAATCGAGCTATGTTTCTCCGCAGGCTATCGCGTCAACCTTTATTTCAGACGGTGTCGGCAGTTTTGGAGCCATGGAACCGTTTAATCAGCCTGGGCGGATGGTGTTGTTGATCTCTTTCTTAGCCTCCGGCATGATCGCCTCTTGATGTCTCTGTTTTTCTGTTCTTGCCTCTCTCCTTGTTGTTCTGATCCTTTCCTCTTAACCACGTCCGGTGGCAAGGGAATCTCCGCGAGCTACTAGTACATGTCGGGAGTACGCGACCTTGAATCCTGCCATGTCCGAAGTTCTATTAGGAGGATCCCATAGTGTGACCACAGAGCCGTGTTTAAAACTAACTGCGATCAGCCATCGCACTCTTGGCACTGAGCTAGACCTTGCTGGCGGCTAATTCTACGCTATAGCAGGCGTGAAATAACATCAAGAGGCTTACTGGAATAACGGCGGATCGGAGCTCGGGTACTAAGTGTGTTCATTATCATCGGTTTGAAACAAAAGTAGAGATCATTCCGTAGTGATCCGGCGATACCATTCGTAGAGCAAAATCAGAATAGCAGCGGCGTATCAAAGCACCCATATCCCTTCACAACACTCATCTCATTCACGTCTTCATGTTTAGTCTTGAATGACCACCCAGCGACCGAATTCTGAAGCATCTCACAGTGTCGACCCTCCGTGCCCTCCCGCCAAAGACATGTCCCGAATACGCCCAGCTCTGAGATAACTCCCCCCGAATCCAACCCAGAGGAAGATAACAAGACATTCGACACGGACGGGGACCGAATCCGCTCCATGAGAATATACGCGCCCCACTGAGACTCGGGAAGAGAAGCAAGAAAATCAGGAATGTCCTCGCCGAAGATATTATGCCCTCCACCTTCCAAGGAGGGCTTCAAGATATAATTGCGCGAGAGCTCCGGATCGGTCGCAAGACGACGAGCGCGGGCTCCAGCATCGGAATCGTCGAGTGGATACATGGAGACAAACGTTGACCGGATAAGCGCTGCTTTTGAGGCGGGTATGAAATGATCCAGCGCTCCGGGCGCTGTGAGCGCACATTGGACTCTTTTGAACGTGCAAATGTGCGCCAACAGTGAAGGACATTTGATCGCCATGGAAAGCTCGATTCGAAGACGAGCTTCTCTGCCAATGGTGTCGTACTCGTGTGTCTCGTACCCGGCACGCATGTAGGCGACTGAGATCTCGACGCACTTCGACCCCAGCCATGGTGGATGGAAGAGAAGTTCTCGCGATTCGGTTAACGTCGTGTATTGGAGGAGATCAATAGGGTAGTTAACTCGATATGCGGGAATGGGAGGGTCGCGATCCCATAATGCGTATTCGAGAGGACGCTCGTCGGCGATGTTGAAGTTGTTGGGCTGCACCACGAATAGAACGGCGGTCTCAGTAGCTACTATGCTCTTTTTTGGTCCATATGTATCGTGCGCAGTAGCGAGACATCCGGAGAGCGATGCGATGTTGTTGTTCGGGGGCAGAGCAGCGAGTGAGATCTTGATCGGGTGGCCATTACCAGTATCATAGGCATTGGTCCGTGCAAAGTAGCGATGCATCTCCGCAGCTTTGTTCGCATGGGTTGCCCCAGCGCATGAGAATGTGTTCAGTTCGACCTGCTTCAGAGAGCCATGGAAGCTCTCTCCTGGTTCGAGAGGAAACTCCGCGCCAGGTCCGTCCAGCATGTAATCCGATCGGAAAATGCCGACCGAGACCTTTTGCGCATATCCGACTTTTTTCACCTCCTCATGGATGCCCCAGAGCGCTGCGGCGAGGGGATCAACCGGGATCAGGTCTCGGATTGCCTCGAAAATCCACTGTTCGTCTTCAGCCATAGCGCAGTACAGCTCATTGCAAATAGTTTGTAATCCACAAGCGCGATCGAATTGCTCTCGGGGGAATAATGTAGGAAAGACCGTCACACCGACAGGAAAGCATTGGGATGGATCGTCGGGAAAGTTAGTCTCGGGATCAATGTTCTTTAGCAATGAACCATGATTGATCTGCCAGTCTATGATGTCGGATATCAAGGCGAGACCTCTTTCGTCAGAGAAGTCCGGGGGATATTGCTCGTTTGAAGCAGCCATTGTTGGGTTGTTGGAGTCGTGTCAGTTCAGCTCATCCGTTAAATGATTAGGGTTTCAGGTGACTGTGGCTGTGTCTTTAGGCGCATTTATGGGTCTGTTGATCATATACTTTGCAGCTATGGTTTGTGCAAAGTATCCATCAATTAAGTGTGCTTCAATTATAGACTAGGGTCTGAGTACGTTATAAACAATGTAAAGCAGCAGACGAATTGATCGCCGCGAAGAATGAGTGAACGAGTATCACAAGAAAAGAACAAAACCAAGTGCGAACAGTGTCATCATAATCTACTCTAGAACGCCCTTGTGAGGCCCCTGCCCTCGGCTTCATTTACTGTCGGCCGCGAGCTCCTTGAGGACCTTCTTCCATCCATTGTCACCAGAGAAGGGTGTGGTGTCGATCTCACACTTGGTACCCGGTTCAGGTAAAGTACCGTCCATGAAATAGGCGCGAGCGGCCTTGGCCGTACAGAGGGATGCCTGTGCGAAGCTTGCGTGCTAGTATAAGAAGAAAGAGTGAGTGGCTGAGCATCTAGAAATCAAAAACCAGTGAAACTTACCCCATAACCGCCATGTTCAAGCACAACACTATTCGCAAACCCTGCACTGACATTGCGTGCAGCTGCAAGAGGGGTGACCGGATCACCACTGTTGCCAATGACCAGGATTGGATTCCTCGTCGTGGCCTGGAAATCGCCTGTGTATCGCTCCTTTGGTTGGATCTTCCATTCCGCACATCGGGTGAGAACATAGTCAGAGACATCTCCTCCAATTCGGCTGAGCTCGTGTCGCTGCTTGATGAGCGAAAGCACATCCTCCTCGCTATTGTCGGTCCGGAACGAGTCACTACACTTGATGCCATACTGGGCTTCAGCGTCCAAGCTGGGGGGAGCAGATGTGATTTTGGTGAGATATTCTCCTGCCTCCTCTAATTTGCCCGTGATGAGGTTATTAAGAAAAGTAGAAAAGTCGTCCCAGCCAGTTGGAGAATAAAGTACACTGAAAACTTGAGTTTTCAGGGTAGTGTAGTCGAGGATGGTAGGCGTGCCCGCAACTGGTATGAGTATCGGATTGAACTTCACATGATCGATCAATCCATAGATAGCCTCCTCAACCTCAGATGCAGTGCGGTCTCGGGCCAGTGGACATTTATCGGGTGTGGCGACACACTCCTCGCAAAACCCAGTAAGCACCTTGTCTGTGTCGACAAGCATCTGCAAGTCGCTGCATGAACTATGAGCACACGTCCGCACCAAGCTTGGAAGATGGAATAACACACCGATTGAGCTGGTATTCATGGGGATTGGCGACTCCATCGAGAACAACTCTGCCTATCCTATCCGGAAACATAGAGGCAATCGTGGCGCCCAATACCGTGCCGTACGAGAGGCCTACCAAGTCCAGTGTCAGCAGGTTGAGTACTCGACAACGCGAGCAATACGGATGGCCTCACCCCAGTATCGTAGAAGTCCGTCTTCACCCAGTGCATCAATCACCCGCATGTAGTCCCGCGCCGCAAAGGCTGAAGACATTAATTGGCCGGTTTTGTTTTGGGATGCGTAACAGTTGTCGGCAAAAACGCGGGACGACACATTGTTGTACCCCAAGGCGACGTCGGATGCGTTACCAGCGAGGGACGGGTATAACTTTGTGGCTGCGGCTCTTTCTTCATCGGTAGCATAGCAGGAGAATAGAATGGTTTTGCCCGTTCCTCTGTGCAGGAATGGATTAGCTTGGTGATGAGAGGTACAGCTTGATTGAACACTCGTACCTCGGGGTGATGACTACGAGATCGTGGTAGCCACCGGTAGCGCTGTATAATATCATAAGCCTTACACTCCAGAAGACCCAAAATTGAATGCAAGAGAGACTTACGCCTGTAGCATCGGCCCGTACGTAGCTAGACCTAGTTTGCCATTGTCACCGGGGCCGCCAAAATTGAGGAAGACGCTTCCTCTTGAAGGGCTGTTCGGGGCGCGAATCCGAGTGAGTTCGAGGTTCAGTGTAGCAGTAGAGGCTTCATTGGTGTAGTCTAGGGGTACAGGAAACGTAGCGCACTCCGTGGCCTCGGTTCCGTTGGGTTCACAGAGGTTCCATTGGATTTGCTGGTTGCGAGCATGATGCGTTGGCGACCGAGTGAGAGGCGTCCCCTGAGCAACTCCTATGAGGAGAGCACAAAGCACGTGGAGATGGCGATACATGTTTGTTCCGCCTTGTTAAAGGAGAATCGAGCTGTTGTCTGTGAACCAAGCGGAATCATGGTCCCATCGGTGGCCTTATATATTCGCCGTCGGAAGATTTTTCCATCATCATGAATACCCAAAAATAAACACGCGACCGGAAATGTCCATGCATGCTACTTCATTCGACGAGCGGCAGAGTTAATGTCATGACCTGTATATTGACATCATGGTAGCTATCACCAGTCGTTCACCATCAGATAATAAGGCTCAGCGGGTGGCGGTCCACTTGGCACCAGGATGATATCTTGGCCTCTCGGAACAGTATGACGAAGCACCTGGGCGGAGAGCCTTGGACTTTAATTTGCATCCTCTGTCTGGGTTGTTCTGTTGGTGGAGCGCTCAATCCCATAGGCTGGGAGCTCGTATTCTGTCTTTGACCCAACACTCGTTGGACGGGCAATTGGACACCCTGCTATGTAGGAAGCAAGTACCGCTGGGGCATCTTAATCCAGCTGTCCGTCGATCATGACTTGGCTTCTGAACCGGGGGTGGAGAGCAACATTGGCAAGCATTGATCTGGCAAGCATGAGATGGCTGAGCGGGCGCTGAATGGCCACTTCGCGAAAACTGGCGATGGCAGTGCCAGATTCCAATCGGGAATAGCGCGTCTGACAAGGTTCTAGCGCTTGATTCCACCAAATCGGGCATAGTTTCGGATCAATCATTCCTGGCTGGTTTCGTATCCAGCGCTCATCATTGAGCATCAATGCACGCCAACTGACTCGCCATGAACGGTTATCTCTTAAAAAACTGCCTTGAAGCTAGAAATGTGCCCCTGGGCCCAAATCTTCCGAAACAGTTTGCCAAACCAACGGCAGTTTTCGTTCAGCATGCAAAAATGTCGCTGGACATCGGGAAGCGAGGCAATTCTCAACTGCCCTGCCAAGTCTGCGTGCATAGGCGAAGTGATACATCTACTGCTTGAGAAGGATAAATGATCTTTCCAAACAATGAACTTCCCATCAAGCTGTTGGAGGCCCCTACCACGAGGCTAGAGTGGCCAAGCCAGCACTGTGTCTGCTGGAACATGGGTCCAAACTCAGGCAAACAGATACTGTGAGTCGCTACATGGGCTTCTGGGCAACAATCACTAGGAAGTCGAAGAGCGCATGCATGGTGTTTGCCATGACCTCCCTCCGAACGGCAGCGTTAAGTACCGTCACTTCCTCCTTCCGCCAGCCTAGAATATCCTGGAGGATAGAGGCTGTAAAGGCGTCCACGCCCTCGACAAAGTTCAGGCGGTTGAAGCTGCCACATTCTTTTAACCGTTTATCCCTTGGCCAGTTCCCAAGCGGGAGCTTAAACTTCCGCTCGTCGACGATAGTAAATCCAGCGTCTTCCACCCAGCCATGCATATTCGGAGCCGGGTTCATGGATTGTCCAATCTGCAGACACCCCTCCTTGAGCGCATCCATCATCTTCACCGTGTTGCACTCGGGCGGCACGCTGTCATCCTCCGAATACAACGTATTGATTGATTCCTGCAGCTCCAGATACCCTCCCGGCTTCAGATTGGTAAAGCATTGCTGAATCAACCGCGGCCAGTCCTTAATGGAACCGGCCATGTAGCGACAGTGGATGAGATCGTATGGTTGACCCTCCACCCAGTCCTTCTCGACATCATCAATGTAGAATTTCACATTCGGCGGCACCCACTGGGGCTGGATGGGGCTGATATCGTTGCCGACGATGGCTTCGGCGGCCGGGTATTCATCGCCCAAGTGGATGGCCCACACGCCGGTGCCGGTGCCAATATCGAGGATCCGCTTTCCGGACAGGTCGATCGGGGCTAAGAATAATCGATTGTGCAGCAGTCGGTAGTAAATATGGTGCACCATGTCCAGTCGTTCCTGTTCGGCTTCGTCGTTGGGGAAGAGGTAGTTTCCAGCGTGGGTGCTGTGATAGCGCCGACCGTGGCGGAATTCGTACTCGAGCACCGTGGACCGTAGGGACGTACTGGCCTCGGACGAGGTATCGTCCGTCAGATCGGGAGTGGGCGCTCCCCAGTCGACCTCGATCGTATCTTCATAGTCGGCCATTGTGGTTGTGTCTTGGGAATGCGAAGAGACATGTCGTCGTAGTGAGGGTTTCTCTGGCCACGTTGTCTCCAAAGAAGCGGGGAACCTCTTGTTCTTTGTTCGACCGCTTCAATCGACCCTAATTTACGCTATGATAGCAGAATGTGGGGTAAGACTTCGTATTCTGGGAAGCATCGAGGCAGTCCCATGGATCGCTAACCGCTCCAGAATGTCAGTCTTTGTGTTCACGGAGTACCAAATACTTCTTGTCGCGACCACAATCCACCGCGGTGTTGTTTGTAACTGCCTATCCGCTACGTCTTGGCAGCGCCATCATGAATCTCAGGGTGAGATAGTAAGATATAGAAGGAAAGTAAGTCGCAAACAATATTAAATAATAATATCAAATGGTATCAGTATGCCAATCGAGCGTCAGGATAGATATATATACGCAGAAGTTAATCATGGTTTCCCCTTTATACGGTGGGCCATCCATCGACCCAGTTCAGTCGATTCCATCCAAACTGATAACTTTCGACAGCCAGGTTCCCATTCCGAGGTGCATAGTGATAGTATAGAACCGGTCCCTGCTTATCTTTCAAGACACCCCTAGAATAGGTGAGTAACAAGTCTTCCAAAGCAACTGCAGGTTACTTACTGTCCGCCGGGGCCGTAGACGTTATCATGGCTTGCAAGCACGGTCGTGCCCCCACTTTCGAGGCAGGACACTCCATTTTTATCGACCTATCGCAGCCCGGGTTAGTACCAACATCGAGACGTGGTGGAGAAAACAAAAGAACCGAAACTACTTACAAAATCACCTCGGCCTGTCGAGGAACGGCACACATTGATCCGATACTCCTCGCCCGGGGCAGGGAAATTGGTATCATATCCATTAGCCTTGCCGGAGGAGAAGAACAGGTAGAAGAAGTTATTCTGGTGGAAGAGGAAGGGTGCCTCAATGGCATGATTGCCGGTGGCATTGTAGGCAAGGCGGGCTGGGGCTTGGTTGCCAATCTTCAATGGGCCAGCCAGATTGATCTGGTACAAACCCTGCCAATAAGACCCGAAGTTCAGAATCTGTTGGTCTCCAATCTGGATCCAGTTGGCATCAATAGTGTTGTACCCCTGAGAGCCGTCCGAGCTTAGGCCAGTGGAACCGTGGTCGGTCCAGCTACCAGGCTCCATTGTTTTGGAGGTGGCAACCCCGATGACGGAGTTTTGCGATCCCAGGGTGGAGACGGCATAATACATGTAGTACGTGCCGTCTTGGAAATGCACATCCGGAGCCTATGGGAATTTCAGTAATTGGTCATAGCTCTCAACACGGGAGGAGCAAACTCACCCAGAGGTTCTTGTTGCCCGCGTGGTCGATGGAGGAACCATCGGGCAGGGCATAGCCCACTTCGGTCCATGGCCCTTGAAGAGCATCGGCAGAGCTGATGTGGATGCCATTACCGGTTGAGAACAAGAAGTATTTGCCGTCGTCTCGTTGCCAGAGGCCAGGATCATGGGCCCAGCAGTTGCCGTTGCAGGGACCCGGGGCAGCGAAGGCGTTGGCCAACGCGAGAGGCAAGGACAAGGCAGCCAGGAGAGAGAGCATGATGGAAGGCAATTGAAGTGGACTGCGTGTGCTCATTCATGCAGCAGATTCCGAGGGCTTCCCGAGGGTTTATGTATGCACCCTTTCTGCTCCCTGGATTCCCCTTCCTGCCCTGACATCACGACCAGGAGAATTCTGCAATATTCGGTGATACAGGTCACAAGGCGCCCTGCACTGCATATTGCACTAAAAGTCTTTTCGCGAGTGACTTTTTGTTCATCCAAGCTAGCAGCCAATTGTGATAGATGCGGACGGTTAGCCCCGAGTCAGGCTGTGTTGTCCTGCAGTGTATACTTCTGGCGTCTGACAAGATTAGGATTCATGCTAATGGTTTAGCTTAAACTTCAACTTCAACCACTTCCCTTGCAGGAGAATCCCCGCAGCTGCTCAGAGCGGGCGGGTCATTCCTCTCGCGAGGCTCCGCAATAATCGGGCAGCAGCACTGATGCCGAGATATTTTCGCTGGAGCGACTGGTGTGGGATGCAATCCATCTCACTTCCAAGGACGAGACTATGATAAGTCACTGGAATGGCGTGCTAGAACACGCTAAAGACGCCACGCAGATAGAAAGAAGTTACTAAGGGAAATTTTAACACATGATGAAGTATGTACTAGGGCGAGTTAAGGGCTAGGGTGTTTGGTCTAGTCCTCCAAATGACGTAGTCATCTGCTGCGTTTCGTTGGAAACCTGGGAAAATTCCCCGTGATTTCCACAGCCCTGAATGTTTCCCCTGAGACATATATGCTGGCCGATGCAAGGAAACAAAACAATAAATGTCCGATCCCCAGGGGTTATCGTTGGGCAGTGGACAGGTAGAAAATCGAGGGACCAGGATCTTCCTATTATTGGGTATATTAATTTGCCTTGAAGATTGCCTTTCACCGACTTTTACCCATTTCGAGGTCACTATCGAAAATCCCCTCGCGTCAGGAAACGTCGATCGCATCGTCTCCCCCACACTTGGCCGGGCGATCTTCGGCCGCCACAGCAGCCATCGGCAGTGGGCCAAATTAATTAAACGGCAGTTGACCTGCTGGTGTAGGCCTGAAAGGTGATAGAAAAAGGAGCACAGCGCATGGACGGCCATATCCATTTTGCTATGATGGGTAAATATCGCAAAAATGACACTCGATAGGACAACAGTAGGGACACTCCTCATCACCATACTACGATCACAATTCTCATTATCCACCTGTTTTCCATATTTCCCGCTCCGCATAATAACCCCACTGCGGTCCATGGCGGTCTTGGACTCATAGATACCAAATGCCTGTGCTAGCCCATGCACAACGACGCCATAACAAGTTCAGATAGGCTCATACTCCACACCCATAGCGATATAGCTGCTTCTCTAGTATGATCACCCGAGGTGATCGCCTGAGTCGTGATCTCATGTGTAGAACTCCACCACTTGAGGCCTCATTGGATGAACGCAAGTGGGAAGAAAACAACAGGAGAGGACGAGGAGGCCGAACCAGGAAAATCAAGAGAAACTATCTTTTCCGTAGTATTCCGCGATGCCAAATTGCACACCATCTTCGTATCTGAGGTTGTTCCCCTCATGCCCTTGGCAGGAGGGCCTGCAGTCAGCCGTGCGACGTGGCATGGCCCGAGCAAGACCGTGATGTTGGGCATCTCACCTTCGCGAGGCTCTGTGTTTTCCAGTATGCCATGTTGTCCCATACAACACCATCCCAACATGCGGCTGAAGTCCATGAGTCGAACCGAAGCCATCGTATAGGTCCGCTGCTCCACATCGAATCCTTCCGAGCCCAGACCTGCGTGAGGGGAAGAATAAGCAACTGTGGCTATGGCTCTATTTCTCGTGTTTACTATTACTAACCCAACCTTCTTCGAGCCTTCTCCCTCCACTGAACTATTGTTTCGGTGTCTGATGAGGGGAGCCGAGGATCGTTAGTAATTTTTTGTCTTTTCACGAGCAGTCTGTGCGAACCGAGCATGGGTTGCCTGATAGTAGGCTGTGCAATTCTATGAAGAGAGAATAACCGAGTGTTTGCTGTCTACTGTCTACTGTCTAAAAGGGTTGGAAATCCTTAGCGTTGTCTCCACTGCTTGGGCTCTCGGCGTCTGCTTCTGATCCTGGAGAGAGTGGAAGGCACAATATTGTGAAAATTGTACGCCGTATGTGACGGTGAAACCCGCCTATCCAAGAGCACTGAAGTACTTTGCGCTAAAGAGACGCGAATAAAACGACTGCAGCAGGGGTTCCGACCGATTTTAAGCCAAGCCAGCGAGTCTCCGGGCTGGGGTGTGTGAAAAGCGCTGAGCGTGTCGTCAAGAAAAAGGACTGATGGGAACAGCGGTCGAAATTCCAGGCTAGAAATAGAAACATTCTAGTGGGACGGTGGATCTGTGCGATTCCTAAATACACGACCATATAGATAGATATGGATTGCTAGAGCCGAGTCTTAGTCCACCGTGCTTGGACAGATCAGCTCAGCCCGCTGCCTCAGTGCGCGGGACAGTATAAGCGACAAAACACCAGCACTGTTTCCCGGTCGCCGAAATCCTCGCTGATCAAGTCAAGCTGAATAGAGAATCGACTCTGGGGAAATGGAGAAAGTGCCGAGATATATCCGAGTGTCTCCCGAGGCTGTCCGTCAAATGATGCTATTCGAATCTCGTTGCGTCCTCCCTCCTATCTGACTTTCGTGTGAGTCTCGAGAACCTCAATCTGCAATTTAGAGCTCGAGACCAGGTCATATCCCAGTTCTACGAAGTGGTACGAGAGCCAACTTCTTCGCAAGCGATCGCCAACATCCAGGCACTGTTGCCTAGTTCGAAAAAGAAAGGGACGCGTAATGCAAGACCAGGCATCCCTGTGTAATGAAACGGGCTATTAGGATCGGCTTCCCCTAAAACTTGCATGGTACCTGGCAATCAGATATTACGTCCATGGTCTATGAAGCAAGAGTCGACGAAGCGAGACTATCTCATGGTGCAATCGAATATCCCGTTTTGCATCGTGATCCGAAACAATGGCACCGACCTCTTCGACAAAGAGCACTAAGGCATTTAAACAGCGCCGTCGATTGTCTAGCGAGATAATGCTTGCACGATCTTCAAATGGATCGGCATTCTTTGCGACCGTCAACAAGGCTAAGCTTCGTCGACGCGAATCTTTATCCGTACTGCCAATTGCTCGAAAATTGGGGGCTCCGAATAAATACAATCCTCAGTCGCGCGGACGCTAAGGTCAAGCGTTATTAGTAGCTGTCTCCGACCGTGGGATTGTACGCACTCTCCCTGGAGCTTGGACTGGACTATCCTTCGCATTCTAGTACTTAAACAAAATAGGCACTACTTTCGATTTCGAAGCGCTGGCTGCAATTGAAAATTACGCTATACAGTGCATATCGTCGAGGTTGAGCCCGTTTTGTCAGTTGAAGATGGTTCGTGGATATGCGATTCAGTTCAGTATAAGTTGACCAATTCTAGTAAATTAAGATTCAACCCTAGAATGCTAATTATTGCCGTAGCTCTGGAGCGTATGGAGTCGCTGCTAGAGCTCCATGTTCTGTATCATGGCACCGATATCAAGTTTTGCCAGCTGGCATCCACTGATGATCTATATTTTCTTCTCTGTTGATGTCTATAATATTAAGGAGTGTCTAAACATTAAGGAATGGCTATAACTAAATACATAACAGCATATCACTGCACTATATGCAAGGTGTCATTAAGGACCGTAAAGACCTCATTCTTGTTTCACATGAGGTACCGAAAACATAACACATCTTCATCATCGTCTGAAGGAGAACGTAAAATACTTGTTCAGCTTAGTTGCGAACAACACTGTGGGCACCACCGTGCCAGGTCTTGGTCTCAGTGGGAGCAGGTCCATTGCCGGTTCCAGTCGGCTTGGTGTGGGTGTGGTGGGATCCAGTGCCGGTGGGCTTGCTGGTCTCAGTCGTGGTGGAAGAAGGCACCTCGGTGGCTGTGGTCTTCTCGGTCTCAGTGCCAGTTGGCTCAGAGATGGGAGGGATCACAATGGTAGTAGTGTAGCCCTGAGTGTTGGTATAGGTGATGGTCTCGCAACGCTCGCAGTGGTGGCCACCCTGACCACCGGGAACAACGGTGGTGGTAGCACCAGAGCCACCGTTGCCAACTGTGACATACACGGTCACGGTGGAGGCAGGAGGGCAGGTCTCGGAGCCAGGAGCACCACTGGGAGCAGGAGCGACAGTGGTCTCGGCAGGGGCAGAGGGGGCGGCGGTAGGAGTGGAAGTCAGGACAGTGGTGGTGGTATAGCAGGTGGTAGTCTCATAAGTGGAAGCAGTCACCCAGGAGCTATAGTAGGTGGTGCCACCTTCGGTGTGGACTGGGGTTGAGCAGGGCTTGAAGGTCGTCTTCGTAATGGTGTCGGTGATGGTTGAGGTCACAGTGGTTCCGGGAACAGAGCCCGACCCTCCAGGAGCGGTGGTGGTCTGAGACTCACCACCCTTTCCTGTGTCCGTGGGCTTCTCACCACCTCCACCACCAGTAGGAAGAAGGGTATGAGAGTGGGTGGCGCTGTGAGAGGTGGAGTTGAAACCGTGAGGGAAAACTCCCGGCAGAGCGAGGGCAGAGCCGGCAAGGGTAGACAGCAAGAGCATAGAAGAACGCATCGTGATTTGAACCGAATAGATCAGCTACCTGAAAAAAGAAGCGAGGGCAAAGGGCTGCTAAACGAAAGCTAGTATCGGTTGAGAAGAAACGACCGGAGTACTTGGTATTGGTATCGTAGCGCTAGAACGTAAAACGGATAGATTTAGAGAACCCATGAAGGAAAAGGTAGATCGACTGGTCTTTATACAAGTCGGTCAGGATGTGCTCCCACACGACTTGTACGTAATAAAATCACGCCCGCACTTCCCCAAAGCAAAAGAAAATTCTATAGCAGTCACCCCATTGACCGGCAATACCGGAGGTCCGGAGGCCCTCAGTTCCTTTTGGCCCTATAGAAGAACCGTTGTAGAAACTATTGATTTTCGGATCCACAGGCGTGGCATCAGACCCTGTGGCGACTCCACTTCGGCTCTTTACCGACGTCGAGGAGAATTTTCCCGAATGTCGCACATCTGCGAGCTGTCAGTTCGGTCGATCGTGTCATTGGCTGTGCATGGGTATCCCAGGCTTCCTATTCGGCCGTACTGTGTAAGGTCTCAGAAATTGGTGTATAAATAGGACATTGTACCGACCCTCGGAAAGTCAGGGTCTTCACGGTGATCCATGGTTTGCTCGTTCTCAGCCGCTAAGCGAGTGTGGCGCACTGCCGCCAATCCAAGCCCGAGACCATCGCGAAGAGCCGACAGAGACTGACAGATTAGACGTCATGGTGTATGGAGCTGGACATTCGCCGGTCTCTCTTACTAGCGCAAAAATTGGCCCTAGTCGAGAGTCGAGACGTAGCATGCAAGCAAGATCTTCGACGCTGCATTATCGATCACCCTTTACCGCCCCCTACCAAATTGTCCAGTATGGCAGTTGTCAAGCACCCAGCCTCTATAATGAGGAGTCAAGAAGACTATCCACATGATCAATGACTTCACTTGTTGCCATGAAGCCAGCTTTTGCGCGAAACGGCACGTGTGGCTGAGACATCAGTGCGGGTGCCATTCGAGTGTGCGGTATGATTAGTGGAGTTCCGGATATTCTTATCTCTGACTTTTCGTATCCCAAGAATGTCAAGAACAATCGTTTCTTTCGACCCACGCCATGGACTCATGCCTTCGTCGCCTAGTCGACTCGGGGATAGAATGTGTCTTCCGCGACAAATTAAAATCGTGGCTAAGGCATCCGATCGGTCTAGCCTCTGTAACATACTTCTGCAACCGTGTGTAAACGACCTTGACCTGGTTGACAATGGCTGTATGACTTGCACTTGGATGCAGTGACGAGTGAATGGCCTTAACACTGGTGGGGATGATGTTCGTGGACTGCACAAGATACCGTGACTCCCTTCCGGGGAGGGTTTGGATGGCGACAGGCATGGTGGAAATCTTTGCCGTTGCCTAAGTAATAGTAGGTAGTCTGGCTGGCCCGTGCTCGTTTACTTGTGAGTTTCAATGCTGTAGCGGCCTTCGGGTTTCCTTTGTTCCTCGTAGGTAGAGTTAGAGTAAGCTTTAGCGCAATAAAATGGCATGCATAGCTTGCTAGGCTGCCGAGAACCGCTGTAGTATGACCTCCCACTCTTCTGCACTTCTCTCACATCCACACTAAGACTAGTGGGTGTTGTATTGCTCTTCTTGTCCCATTGCCATCTGCTGTTGGCCACGTTATATTCCGAAGCAATTTTCCAAAGCTCTCGAGTCTTTATCACCGCTATATGAATCAGGTATGCAACATGCCAATCTCCATCAACTGTAGCTCAGATTAATAGCTGGCTTCGAACCTGAAGGTCGTCTCGACCATGCTAAGCCTGCGTGACTTGCATTCGGCTGGGCAAGGGTGATGGGAACGCGTTGAAAAGATAAAGCCGATCATATTATCAGCGACGGATGTTGACCTGGAGGTGATAAGCATTCCGAAGTAGGGGATCGAGGCAAGTATCATCTATTATCCATATGAGGTCAAATCAACATCATTTATGATATCCGCATATGGGCTTGAATTGTTATATGGCACGATCGGAAAATAAGCTAACATCATATTGCTTTTAGTTCGTCTCCTGGATACGAAAATATAGACCTTCTCTTTATGATGGTGATGGTCAGGATTTGCAGTGGCCCGCCCCTACATTGGGGTTAATGAGGGTTAGGATCAGTCGCGTGATACATCCTGCTGGGGTGCGCAGGAGTGCACTTGAACGAAAAAGAGCGGGACGGAGGAAACTTATAGGCAACCGCCAGGCTATGCGCATGGGATCCGAAACAAAATGCCCACATTGCAGGAACGATCGACGTATTTGGTCTTCATGTCATTGGCCTTATCCCCTGTAGGTCCGAATCATGACCCCGTTGATCGTCGCTTGGCACCGGAGGCCCGGAGGGGTTCCGCCTCAGGCCGACTGCACATCAACCTACTTTGTACACTTTGCTTCTAAAAGGCAAATTATGTACATAGGGTATTTAAGAGCCCTGAATGCATATGGCAAGTCGTACTCACTTATAGTTATGATATTTATTTACTAAATCAGACGTCTTCGTTAACAATCGGCGACTCTAGCTAATTTAGAATCTAGATGAACCCGCATTTGCAGGCTCCATGTCGGAGGAAGACAACTCCTCAAGCACTGAGATGGAGCGATAATGTTCAAACTTCGAAAATAATTATACTGCAATTCAGGAGAAAGTTATTTGGAATCGTGTGTGGTGTCATGGCACGCATTGCCTGGTCTAATAGGAGACCATACTTCTCCTGAGGGCTTCCATCAAGAATTCTATAAGTCTAGATAGCAAGTGCTGAAGTATCTCTACTAGTAAAACCCCCGATGGTCGAGTTAAATATGGCGGTTGGCTGTGATGGAATTTATCCTGTACCCAAAAGGTCGACTACAATTCCGACTCTGGGAACGAGGCATTAATTTTTGTTTACTTTGTCCTCCTGACTACGTTGGAAATATTATAGCCCTGGAACAACGCGACCTAGTCTATTCATGTATTCCTACTTTCCATGTACATATAGCCTCTGGTTCACAGGCTCAAAAGACTTTTCGCGAGGGCCACCGATCGGCTTCCCAAAGACCAACTGGGCCTTGAGACTCCAATCCTCGGGAATCGTCCATTGCTCGGCAACACGGGCATCAAACATTGGATTGTAGTGCTGGAGGCTACATCCAAGCCCTTCTGCCTCCAAGAGCGTCCATACTACGGGGGTATTGATCAGTAACGTACTCAATGTCTTGTTGGGTATTGACTCACGTGCATATTGATGCATGGCACTGGCATGTTCAGACCCTAGAAAAGATTAGTCCCAGGAATGTGCAAGGATGGGTGTCTATGTCCGTGTAAGGTACATACATTGCGGAAATTTGTCTTTCAGCATAGGCCACTTTTCTTCTAGAGGCCGTATAGGTGCATGATCCTCATAAAACAACACCTGTTTAAAGTGAGTTCACATCCTATACTTATTCCGGTATAATAGTGGCGATACTCACAGTCCCATATCCCCCGCGAAACATGGCGATCCGTGGCTTGTAGACCTTGTCAAACACTTCTGGGGAAACGGTTGAGTTGGCGACTTCATAAGCAATATCCCACAGTTTCTGGTGCTCATCCTTGAGGAGCACAACAAGACGCGATGTCTGGCTGTTGAAGGGACTGGGGGTGTGCCGAACAACGTCGGTAAGCAATTCCTCTAGTCGATCATCCGAGATGGTCGATTCGTTAGTCAGGGCATAGATGGTCCGACGATCTTTGAAACTATCGTTGATGCTCTTCGTCATTTTGTTTAGTAGGAGAGATTAATTCGAGGACAGTGTAAAAAAGGTAGATCGTGTGAGAGGACGACAAAGACACTTGAGGGGTGCTTGAGGGGGATATATAGTCTTAGGAATGGGGGCTGCTTTTGGGGGCTGAGCAGGCCTCATAAAAATATACGTCTCAGACGCTCTGATGGAACCAAGCTATTTTAGTGTGAGACTCTTTTTGCTTAATATGACTGTAGGTTCGATCTAGTGTAGACATAGATAGCATGGAGTAAGCCCTATCCCCCTTTCAGTAGGGGATCGGCGACGGCTCAGTAAAAAGCCTGGCTAGACTTGCAAACGAGGCTACATTCAAGAGTCGATTTCTAACTCTGGGAAGATCTGCTGACTTTTAATAAAGCCTGCCTATTTTACTTTTGTCATGAGTGGATATCCCTCAGTAGAAGAGTTTGTAGATATCATGGGGGAGTGGAACCTGGGGCTTTGACTGTTTAGGCAGATATTTATCCAATTGCCCCGTATGCATAATATAGATAGAGTTGATGGAAGGATTACACCCCTCTTCGTACAACCGAACGTCGGTACCGGAGTTTTTCAGGGGTCTATTCTAGCGGCGAACAATGTTGCTGGACACAAATATTCCAATAATGGCTAGAAATCCGCAATAGCAGATTTAGCGGCCATAAGGCTTCAATCTGGAGCACGTCCCTGGAGGGATAGAACTATCGCCTCGGGTAATTGATGTTACATTCTGGCTAAGATACATTGCAACAACGATGCATTTTGCCTTAGTATAAGAGAAATTCCCAGCGGCTGATCTAATACACCTAGGGTAATACGTACTTATGAGTTGATGTAAAGCTGATGCCGCCCGGGCGAAATGAAAGAGGGTCAGACAGACAGCTATAGTCAAACGAGTAGAACACACCAACAAGCTAGGCTAACAGGCCAGGGCAACCTGCAGCAGAGAGGTGAGGATGCAATGACGGCAACACAAAGGTTGCCGCCCAAACAGGACGAAAGAGAACCAGACAGATAGCTACAGATAAACGAACAGACCAGACCAGACCAGACCAACAAGATAGAATAACAGACCAGGCCAACCCGAGGGAGATGGGGGAGATCAGGGCGTTGCGAGATATGAGAGTGCAGAGGTGGAAGAAACAGAGAGGCAGATACGGGTGATTGTATCGAAGGTAAGCGAGGTCAGGTGAAATGCTACTTGGTAATTACAGTTGTACTCTTATTAACATTTTCCTATTCGACATTGTACCATCCGCCTCTAAGCTCTTGGCTCCTCAAGAAAGGGGCCCAACCTCCGGACTGCTTTGAGAGTTTGGTCATACGTCCAATGCCGTCATCGTCAGATTTCAGGCCGGAGTATATAAAAAGCTCCTAGATGAGGATTGAAATATGGACTGATTCTTCGTTGAATAGTTTTGATCACGGGATCTATTCGTTGCTCGGACAATGCAACAAAGTCAAATATTGTGCTTTCATCGCAAAAGCTGGCTGTGAAACCGAGCAGGTGTACCCTAAATCTAGAAGAATGGTGACTGGATCCTCGGCAATACTCAAAGATAACTTCACTATATCATGCAACTAGGTAATATTGGATCTAGAAGTGTACCACCGGTAGGAATATATGATTCGAAACAATACTATATTCATGCAGGTGGAGCTTCTTTGTTTGAGTAGTAAATTGTAATATAGAATATATCTCCATTGACTATGGGAGCGACTCGAGCTTCATTTCATTTTTAGATATGCACGTTCTGACATTTCGTCCCAAGGTTGGTCAATCACCAAACGTATATTGGAACACCTACGGTTGGTCGATTTGCTGAATCTTGATCCTTAAAGTAGAATTGCTGCGTTGATTCACAGATACCACCACTGATGATATGTGATTTCCATGTGTATGTTAGAGCCAAAAAAGTGAGAGCAAAAACAAAAAGAAATGATCCCAGGGAGGCTCGAACTCTCGACTTCTGCGTTATTAGCACAGCACTCTAACCAACTGAGTTATAGGACCAATTGTTGAAGACACTTCTCTAATAATTGATAATAGAGGGAAGGATGTTACGCCTTGAATTTTCCTCCAAATTTCTATGCTTCTCGTTGGGGTTTTTTGTTTTCCTTATATTTTCTGAGCACAAGTGTGATGCTCTACGCTCATTAAGTAAGTCTCTCTAGTGTTTTTGACTTTCCTTTCTTTTTTACTGATTTGATATTGTGTTGTTGGTGCTCCATGTGTCTTTGTTGTTTAGAGTCGCGCTTTATATATAATCTTCTCTATGAATGTGTAGCACGATGACATAGAGCATACGATAGAAACTCTACTACTCTGCACCCCTGGAAGAGTAACAAAAAGATACTAGTATAAAAGATATTCTACCAAAGTTGGAAATTACTTTTTGCAACCTGGTGAGTTTCCTTCTAAAGCTGTTCCTCAAGACATCCTGGTTGAGCACCAAGCAACATTACAAACAAGTTAACATAAGTATCCGGCTATGCCCTTACCACCCAGACCACCCCCTCCGTCTGTGACAAGGGCGCAGGGGATTCGTAGATTTGACATGGCACTAGGATTTTGGTACGGAAAACTCGACTTTCTGTATCAAATAATTGGTAAAGGGAAGCGTACGTGTGATAATGAGGTCAAGATTTATTATACTCTCGGAAGTGGGCGGTCTCGGAAACATCCAAATTCTTCCGGTTGACTCGGAGTCTTGCGCTTGAGTGGGTCCGGATTCCAATGACGCACTTTGTATACCATAACTGGGAAATCTGAAGTTGGTATTACGCCGTGAAGGTTTTCCATATGATACCACACGAAGTGTCAAGCAATGGGAACTAGGCAGATTAGGTATACGCCGAACCATGCAACACCTCCACTCATACATCAAATGCCCAAATCAAAACATCTTGTCCGCAACACTCGCTCCACGATCCAATTCATCGGCTTCCTTGCGCAGTACGTCGGCCCGGAATCTCCGGAAAGCGGTCTCGATCCTCTTTTTCTGCTCCGGGTTGGCAGTGATGGTGCGAGTGCCGCTAGCTGTTCCTCCCAAGAAGCCTACAACAACGAATTGAGTTAGCGCTCTGTCAATAGTCCTATATGTTGCACTCCTCCAGTCACGCGAAGGGTCGGAGTTGATTCTTACCTAGCTCTCCACCTAGAAACAGTCCACCAGCAGAAGCAAAGAAATACGTAGCGAAATCACCAAGCGTGGTTGGCTTTAGTAAGGGGGTAATATCTGGGATAGACTCTGTTTGTACTTTTATTAGTATCTCCCTATAGAGTAGTGATAGGCATAGGGTCGCGTACCCGTCCGACCATCGGCAAACATCACTTGTGTTGGTCTCTCCTGGGCGCGGAAAACATCAAAGAAAGCTTTGCGCGAGCTGCGCAGTCTGAAGGCAACATATAGACCCAAGCCAATTCCTACGGCGGAGCCAATGCCAGTCCAAAGGGAAACTTTCGAAGCTGCAGACTTCAAGGTATCGCGGTCTTCCTGTCGCAAGTCATGCTGAAGGTGTTCGTCAGCCAGACGGGCCAATTCGTCGCTGCGGCGCTTGCGGAAGGCAGCGAGTGACTCGGACATGTTGGAAGGATTAGATTTTGAGGTAGGACAATTAATTGATGGTTTAAAGGAATAATGGAGGACGTGTCGGGGTAAAAGTTTGAGAAAGGTCGCAGGGAAGTGATATATGTCCATGACGTCATGGAGACCTCCAGGTCACATGTTCCGGTGCCTGGGGATTACCGTTGTTGCCTGATGGCCTGATGGCCCCCAGGCAATGATTTTTACCCTGGCGGTTTAGCCCCAACAGCCTCAAAAATGTGTGTTCATTTCCACAATAATCGCACAAGATACAGCGGTGATGGCCTTTCCTCCAGCTTCCGCTGGGCCCAATGCAGTTAGAGCCTATCTCTCTGATATCCTCGTCGCTAAGCATGACGCGACCGCAGACTTCGCCAACGAAGTAGCTAGTCGCTGGCAATTAGGTCGACCAAATGACCTGCGCCATGCATTTACCGGGACCTTCGAACGGGTTTTTGGAAAAGACGTTGGGAACTTTCTATACCGAAGCGTCCAAGAGGATATCCGGGAGCAGTGGTACAGCTCTACCGCCGGGGTATTTAATTCCTGTATGTATTTCTGCCGCGACCGGAAGCGAAGATACTAATATCAGTTCAGGGGTGTTGGTCTGCTCCGTAGTGGTCTGCGTGTTCTTTCTCATTCGGGCAACACGCGCAAGTGCATCTTCCACGAGTGCTGGTAAGCTCAATATCTTGTGTCCACGCAAACCGGCACCAACTGATTGTATAGCGGCCTTGCGCTACGCCGGGCTAGCCTTTGGGCCGCCGATGGTCTTCTGTGGAGTGCAGGGCCATTACAGCCAGTGGCAGTTTGCTCGCCTTTTTCTCGGTGGAATTGTATGCTTCTTGACTTTTCTCGCGTTTCTGGTTGCTTCCACAGACCCGTATATGGAGAAGCAGAAGATAGAAACAGGAGGCAGAAAGCAGGGCAAAGTGGAACGGAAAGAGTAGTGCAGTTGTGGCGTGCTTTTCAGATGAGACTATGTACTGGTGACAGCTCAGCATGATCTGAGAAATGCTGGTTCCCTATCAAGAAAGCATTAGATGCTCAAGACATAGGGAGGAGCTACCCTCCGGAGCTTGGCAGATCATGGACTTCATTACGCAAGGTCACGTCGGAGATATACCATGATACCCCTTAGGATATTCTAAGAGAATATCTCGGATAGGTTCCTGTGGACATTATACCCTGGTTCATGATCAAGGTCGCGAGAGCATAGCGTGAATTAGTGCTATATAGAATGTACCGATATGTATATCACTGGCTAGTGAAGAAGGGAAAAGCAATTCAATCCTGTAAAATTAAATATCCAGCACAGCGTGGTTAAAGTCATTCAATTAACTAGGCCCAGCCATAAATCTCCCCCACGGCCCCACTTTTTCCCAGCGGTCGTCGCGGGGTCATTGCGAACCCAACAAAAATAGCTTTGTGCATGACAGCACTAGCCACAGCAAGCAATATGCCGGACTCTAAATACACAAAACCCGTGATTCTCTCACGGTGCACCCTGGTATGCATGGCATTCTGGCCAGTGTGGCGAGCGCCATCTAACAATTAGGCATAGGACACCAAAGAAGCCCAATGGAAGAGATTAGTCAAGACGACCTATCGAGATCCCAATGGTGTGCAGAGAACCTGGGAGTCCGCCGAGATGCAGGTAAAGTGCCTTCTTGATGCTAGTAAGTTCTGGATAGAGAGGAGTAGCTGACTTAGTGACATAGACTCGACCGGTGGACAGTGACCTCGACGGAGTCAGTATCGTGGCCACCTTAAACAAGTCAACGGGCCCGGAACTGGTTTTGCTAAAACAGTACCGACCCGCTCTGGACAAGGTGGTCATCGAAATTCCCGGAGGCCTAATCGACCCCGGAGAGTCCGCAGAGCAATGCGCGCTGCGAGAGCTCAAGGAGGAAACTGGTTTTGTAGGAGAGGTGGAGAGGATAAGTAGAACTCTGTTCAACTGTGAGTATCTCAACTTGTATATCTCGCTATGGGAGCTGCACCTAGGCTTCACTAGAAAGAGAATTGACGACTTGACAGCTCCCGGGTTCTGCAATAACAACTTCAAGCTTGCTTATGTGAATGTGGACCTGTCCTTGCCGGAGAATCAGAACCCCAGCCCAGAGCTAGAGGAGGAAGAGTTTATCGAGGTCTTCACGCTCCCTATCAAGTCGCTCTTTTCCGATATCAAGAGGCTCGAGAAAGAGGGATTCGCCATTGAGACTCGGGTCGTTGCGCTCGCAGAAGGTCTTGAACTGGCGAGGAAGTGGAACCTGTGAGTAGTTAGAGAGAGGGCTCGCATCAGTAAGGTAGAAATATTGCTTTTCAGAGAACAACATGACGTTTGTTGGGAAATTGACTGGGTTGATATCGGTCAATTGTCCAAACCTCGGATAAATATATTAGATGTCACAAAATCTAGCTCTGGAAGACATAATATTCTATTCATGGCTACAGAGAAACTTTACCAAGGTAGGCTTCATACCTTTAGATGCACCCTGCATAGCCCGCATTTCAGGCTCTTCAGGCCCAATCCCACCTAACGAAGCTTTGTAGATTTGGTGGCAGTTGAGGACTTCCAACTATGTGAGGCACAGAGATTCGCATAAGAAATACACCCGAAACCCGATACAATATTATACTGTGGCAAGTTCTCAATATTGTACTATATTTACAATATTTTTTATTTTATTTCGTTTTATATTTTTGTAGTAGTTGGTGCTGGATAACGGACGAACGACTTGACTCCGGGTAATTGATTCCGGTGGATTGAGTTACCGAATAGAGCAATCCTTCCGGTCGAAGGAGAAAAGTCTCCGGTGGAGCCCTATGCATCATCGCAATATAAGTAGGTCCCTTAGCAGCCGCATCAATAGATAGCTTATCAGTCTCACGTTATCATTCTATAGTTTATTTGCTACTACTGGAAAACAACAGTCTATTGTCTATCAAGATGTCTTCCAACACCATCACCGTCACCCTCCTCCAACTCGCAAAGATGATCGACCACTCCCTCCTGCATCCGACCATGACCGACGAAGACATTGTTGCTGGTCTGGGCATCGCCCGTGCGAGCAACGTTGCAACTGCCTGCGTGAAACCATACCTCATCCCGCTGGCCAAGAAAGAGCTCGCCGGGAGCGACGTCCTCGTTTGTCCGGTGATCGGGTTCCCTCACGGTAACAGTACAACGGAGATCAAAGTGATCGAGGCGACAGCAGCAGCCAAGGCAGGTGGTGACGAGATCGACATGGTCGTCAACGTGGGCAAAGTCCTTGGCGGCGATTGGGATTATGTGAAGGAAGAGATCCGCCAGATCAACGAAGCGGTGGTGGCTCATGGTGCCATTCTCAAGGTTATATTCGAGAATGATTATCTCCAGTCTGAACACATTGCGAGACTGTGTGAGATCTGTACGGAATTGAAAGTCGCCTTCGTCAAGACCTCCACCGGATATGGCTTTGTCAAGCAGAAGGATGGGTCATATAACTACCACGGGGCGACCGTCAAGGACCTCAAGCTCATGAGGGAGAAGTCGGGGAAGGACGTCCAGATCAAGGCAGCCGGGGGTGTGAGAACGTTGGATGATTTGCTGCATGTCATGAGCTTGGGTGTAACTCGAATTGGCGCCACAGCGACCGTGGCAATTTTGGAGGAAGCGAAAAAGCGTGGAATTGGCAACGAGCCGGTGGAAGTTTCCTTTAAGCCAATGGCTGAGGATGGCACAGGCGGGTACTGAGGTCTGTGTCCATGGATGATTGTAAATAACCAGTCGAGATTTCTTGTATGTATTGAATGACACGAATCAGACGGATCAGGATTCCAGGCTTCCTCACGCCAGGAAGATCCGTAAGCTATGTAGATACTAAGTCCAGCGATGCCCAACATCTGTTCCAAGGGGATCTGAGCTGACACTACAGCCAGTTAAGGGGCGTCGTTGCCAAAAAAATGTATCATTGATTGGGTGTGCTCAAGCTAATGTGAATTTCTTGGACTATCCGGTTAGATGGTTATATGGCCTTTAGGGTGGAATGTTTTCCAAACCCCAAATCCATGTTTGTTCTAGTATGGGAAAGCCTTCGTCAGTAGGAGGACGGATAAGCGACGCATTATATGACTCTTCGGGATCCGCTGATAATCGAGGGGCGTATATAGAGAGGGCTATTCGAACAAAGCATTAGTGACTGGAGCTATAGAAAACAGCTCGCTTTCATACCTTGATCGAAGTCATATATGGCTTCGGATAAAATTGGGTCTTCCATATATTGCAGGGCGTTCTCGTTGACCATATTGAACGGGTACATAGAATTAGCTGTTGAAGCCTCTGATTGTTGGTCAGGAACAGGACAAGTTAAGTCGCCAGATCGCTGGGTATATGCTGCGGACACGGGAGCATCTGATGCGGAGTTGAGCATTTCACTAGGGCGAGGGTTCTCGATCCATCCACTGGCTACATTGTCACCTTCACTATCTCTGGGCTTCGAGAGTTCTATAGGCTTGGACACATCGAGCATCACATTCAGTTCCTTCTCCATCACGAGCCTGGATAGGCGCTGAAGGATCTCAAGGCCCTGTGCAGCAAGGACTGATCGATCCTTGAGTTTCTCCTGAATGCCCATGAGACGATGCATCCCAATCTTGGTATCGCGAGACTGTGGTCCCAAAGGGTCAATACTGCTGAGGATGCCTAGGGTTACACCAGCTGTGAATGTGTGGATGCTGACAAAGGCCGCGGCATAGGTCTCTGATATGAGATCAACAATTGGGTGCGAAGCAATTTCGGCCATGCTCATAGCGGCAGCTCGGCAGGTCTGCAATGAAGACCGAAAGGGGCTCATGGACCTTGGAGTTGACTCTGTGTCGCCCCGGGGTTTAGAGTTAGAGGACTGTGAAACGACCTTATATGACAGCAGCGGACGATAAACCAGGATTTTAGCATTCTCGTACGCAAGTTTCAGAGTTAGTGCCTGAAGCTGATAAATATGATTCTCGAAGACAGGTCCTGATGCACCAATATCCCGATCGACTGCCTGTGGTGACGAGTAGCTAACATCCGCTGCAGTTATGCTATCCCACCGTAGCCTGCAGGGAACCTCTGCATTCCAATGCCGTAGCTTCATATCGATTGTGCGCACCCTGTCGATAACGTAGGACGGGTCCAAGGTTGAGTGATGTAGCCGTGAACCTTCAGCGGAATCAAGACGGACATTATACAATTCAGATAATGCATCCTTGGTAATGACAGATAATTTTGACATGAAATATTTGTAGGAGAGCAGACTCGCCTCGCCCGTGAGTGGCTCTTCAAAGGAAGAGGGTGATTGTCCAATCGGCGAGTTGAATGTTGGATCTAGCGGCTCAACATCGCAGTCGGAGTCTTTGATACTTAGAGGGTAGCCATATGCCATCGAACAAAAAGTTTCGATTTCATAGATAGCCCACCACGCTCGCTTTTTTGCTTCATTTTGCTTTCGAGAAGCGGTACTCTTCGGAGATGACTGGTGGGGACTTGACGGCCTTTTGCGATGAAGGCCTAAGGCCTGAGCGATGCGCAGTCCACAGCCGCATACTGGCCATGCTAGTCGAGGTGCACCATGGTACAAATAGTATGTCCCGAGCAGCACACACATTTGTACGACCTCTAGGGAGCCGACAGAAACTATATCCAGTAGTCTTGTTCTCACAGCAGAGAAAATTCGTTCTTTGAGGATATCTGGATCAATGCCGTACGTGCTCAAGAGATGCCGGCGATGATCCCCAATGTACTGGATACCGATAGCGATAACCATCAGAAAGGTGCTAATGAATCCTAAGTTTTGAGAAGAGCTCGAGATCCACGCGTTTGGCGATCTGTAAAGCTTCGGCCACCGCCGCCGGAAGTCATCTTGGTGGAAAATGAGCATGAACCAGTGTACTCGGTCAAAGTAGGTATCTACAAGTAAAGCTGCTGCTTGATAGTCAGGTAAAAGCGATACCAGCTCTGCCACAGCTGATTGAGAGGAATAGGCTAATGATCGGATTATCGGAGGCAGGCGGCTCGATGCTGGTGAGGAACGGACATTATTGGGATTTCTCGTCGGGGTTTCTTCCCCTGACGCGTCAGACACAAGGTCACCGAGCCCGGCCCCAGGAATAGCATTAGTTGCGGCCGATCCAGGAGTAGCTGCGTTATGAAGATGAAATGCCTACGGGAGGGTCAGCCACTACCATCACCAACAAGAGGCAGTACGCGAATACCCCATCCACTAGAGCCATCGTGGAGCTAGAATTCCAGGATTGATGGTTGCCTGATGCTGGCCGTTGATCAATCGTCTCTCGTGTATCTTCCTGACCTACGGTACTCGAGGAAATGGCAAGGGACTGAAGGTGAGATTCACTGCGCGATGGTGATATAGACTCCGTAGGTTCAACCATACGGATCCGTTTGGTAGCGGGCGCCGACTCCGGGGGCTGATCTTGTTGATAAACCCTCCACCGGGCAGGAGTCACCGGTTCACAGTCAACACCCGCCCTCCTGCACAACGTGCATGGGCGAGATATATCACACTATGCCAACCCGTTACTCAATGTTGACTCGGTTCTAAGGGGGAAGCTCACCTTTAGTTTCTGGCGTCGACATCTTTGACAAGCACTTGAGACTTTCTTTTTGGCACTACCAGCCATGGTTATCGGTCCAGACCTCCTGGGTCAACATAGAGAAGAGCTATGAGTTTTTAGCTTAGATGTTGAACCTGATCGGTGCCGAGAGTACACATTTGGACGTGATAGACAAAGCAAATATGAAACGCGGTGTTGTAGTTATCTCGGGGCCGGAAGAATGTATTGATCCCATAGATGCCAGATATATCAGGCGATATTGCATGCATGCCTGAGCCATCGCTCACAGTAGCCTTTTTACATCGTAAAGTTGAGTATACCCATTTCTGCACAGGGTTCGAAGCATTAGGTGTTGGCAATGATCTTCATTTGTGTCAGATTGCTCCTCATCTATAATGGATAGCCAACCCTGCAGGTTGGTAATAGCTCAGACTCTCCGCTAGTCTGTTTACTTCTATTCACAGTTCTATATATATGCGGAAAATTAACCTGACTATTGACAAGAACAAGCGCACGTAATCCTCAATAACGTACACTACACACACTACTGAGGTGGAGAAGGGATGATTGGGCCACAATTTATTCTGAATTACTAGGGATCAGATTGTTCTAATTGGTTTGCTATCTTATACTTGCTCATACAATCAAAGATCGGTTACAAACTGCACTTTCCGCAATCTGGCGCCGTGATCGAATGCTCAACTAAGGTCGATCGATTCATGTTCTGGTTCGAGCGAGGTACGTCGTTCGAGGGATTCAATTTGAAGAAGCTAGTCGGCTCCAAAGACACTGACATCTTCTCAACTGGCATAACGGGAAAGTCTATTCGTGATCGCAATTAGGTAAACGTCCAACGAATACTTTGGTAATTGGAAATGGAAAGCTTACCTTCAGGTCGAGTAACATGAGTGACGCCAAAAGTGTGCCAGAGAACGACATCTTCGTTCTCGACATTCTCATTACGGCGTGCCCATACACCCAAGCCAGTGTCCTCTCGGCTTTGGTTGGTGAACTCACCAGCAGCCCAGAATTCATCATCCCGGTAGGATGTTACCCAGATGGGTTTTGAAGAGAAATGGCCGCGCTTGTAGTTGAAAGTCTCCGGCCCCATCATGAGCATTTGACTGGGCAGCGCGTGTAGCTTGTAGCCGACGGGCTTGCCTGAAACAGGATTGATGTGAGATGGGTTAATGATTTTATAAGTTCGGGACTGGCTTATATCGAGATCATAACCGCCAGGTTGACTGATGGGCGTGGTGTGAACACGGAACGCTACGCCGAAGGGGTCGAGCTGCTGGTTGTTCACGACCGGCTTGATGTCATCGTAGGTAATTGTGTTCTTCACTCCGTCTAGGGCTGGGTCGATACGCAAGCAGAAGAGATGCTGGTGGTTAACAGCAAGGACACCCGGCGCAACGACTGTTCCCCACGGCGAAAGCGTTTTCTGGCGGATAGGCATGGTCGACACAATGCCAGTTGCCTTGACGTCGATATGGATGTTACCTGCCTGATCAAGAATGTAGGCGAGAATATATTCATAGTTCAGTACAGTGGCTGTGCACTGAATCACCAGTTGGCGGTTTCGAACCATGGAGGCCTGCCCGTTACGAATGTTCGTGTGCTTCCATCCGACTCCGTCATCCACTTCATGCATGCAGATGACGTTCTTCATGACTACTGGCTCTCCTGACCCAGAGGTCCGGATACCATCGAAGTAAGCAATAAGGCCCAGGCAATCACAGCCCAGCGTCAATGTGTTAGAGGTTATGCCGAATCCAGAGTCTCCAAGGTCGAACGCTTGCTTACGGTGATAAGGGGTGCGAGGGTCACCGTACGGGACAGTCATCTCGCTCATTGAAATACGGTGGAATAGAGACCGACCACCGTAAAAGACATTATTGAGGATAGGTCCCTCGCGAACATTCCAGCCCATGTGGAAAGACCATTTCTGCCAAGTAACATGACGCCCGTCGATGCGGAATGATGGACCTTCAGGCTGAACCACATGCAAGGGCTTCACGTCTTTTCTAAAGTAGTCATTTCCCAGAAGCCTTGCGCTGTATTCCACCGCCTTGACAGGCTCCCATGGCAGAGTGTCGGACTCTAATTCGGCTCCGACACCCGTTGGAAGTCTCTCAATTTCCTGCAGTTCAAGTGTGTGGGCATCAAAAATGGGGGCAAACGTGGTAGGGACGGAGTAGTGGTTCGCTTCGGGGTCGTCATTCAGGGCAATGTACATATAGCATTGGTATAGGCGCCGACGCTCGTTTGCATCGTCTGTTCCATAGAGCCAAGGGTCATTGACCATCGTTGCCCTGCCATGAAAGTCAGCTAAACAGCGATGGTTGTTAAATTTGAACAAGAATCATTTACGCACCCCTTGGGAAGTTTGAGCTTTTCGACTTCAGCCTTCACTGCTGGATGTTCGGCACATGCCTTGATAATGCGCTCAATCTCGTCAATATCGGCCGGTCCTTGTATTTCTGGGTACTCCTCATCCGCTTCCACGATTCCATCGCTGAGATTTATTTTTGCTTTACGTAGCGTTGTACTGCCATGTTTGTGATAGTATGTGTAAGCCTTGCGAGGAGGTGGTTGCACTCCAACAGTTTCGTCCTGCAGGTACGCAAGCTGGCTTGCTTTAGGCGGTTCGAGAAGGTCTATAACCTTGAACCGAACGGGGGTCGGGGCATGATAGGCTCGCAATGCCTGCGAAGCTTTGCGTAGCTCTGCTGGAGAGAGAGGGTCAAGAGGATGAAACATGGTGAGACCTAGTTCAGTGTACTTGAGGAGGTATGGTAGTGAAGACTAAGGAGTCTGATGAGTTTGAGAACACAATCGGCGTGGTGAGTTGAACGGCTATTTATCTTGCTCATGCCCACGGGAATATAATGTCACAAACTCCGCTTGCAGGTATATTCCTCCTTTGGGTATTCTCACGCTCTCGAATAATATTACGGACTTGTCGCCGGGAGGTATCTCGGTATCGCCGCAGTGGAGCGATCCGTATGTGAGATCGGAATCCGAACGAGCTGACATGGTTTCCCGATAAGGTAATACTGCCAGCAGCTGACCCACTTAACCCTAGTGTTGGCCATTCGTCTTTCCTAAACCCCGCCTTTTTATTGTATTCATGCGAGTATACGTATGGTGTTTGCTATTTGATATAGGGGTGGTCTGGAACGCATGAGATCTGGGCGCAACTCCTCCCTCTTATGGAAAGTGTACCAATTGGTGCTGCGTCTGGTAGACTTGGCTGTAGCAGGAAGAGAATGGCTAGTGTTGAACCAGCATACCGTATGAAGCCGGTGCTCATTGGTAAGAGCAAACATCAGATTTATATGAGCAGTAGTACTGAATTTTCGACTGCTTGATTGTGACATTCCCTTATGCATAGTCCAATCTTCACCTTTAACATTTGCATCGCACTCGAGGCCAGCGTATACGATCCAGTGTTTTGGTTAGCTTCATGTACAAAGCTCATCACAGGCATAGCATGCATGCAACTCGTGGAACAAGGGAAGCTCGCACTCGGCGATGCCTTTCAGCTTGATCGTCTTGCTCCTGAGTTGAAGGAACTAAAGGTATTGACGAGAGACTCTAGTGAATCTTACACACTGGTCCCGCAGGAGCGTAGGATTACGCTCAGAATGCTTATGACTCACACAGGTGCGTTCAATCAGCTATTATCTTGACTTAACTCCTAACTCACGAGTAGCCGGTTTCGGACATGCCTTTGACGATGTTAAGCTCAGCGACTGCGCAAGGCCGACCGGCATCGACGATTTTTCAAGACGGAGAGAAGATGTTCTTTTACGACCGCCAGTATTCCAACCAGGAACGGGGTTCCAGTACGGTGTTAGCATCGATTGGGTCGGAGTCATTATAGAACGGGCTACGAAAACCCCCCTTGAGGAGTACTTTCAGACGTACATATTTTCACCGCTAGGTGTAAAGGATATAGCGTTCTACACGACGCAAACCATGAAGCAACGTCTTGTCTACATGCACCAGCGGGCAGCCGACGGCGTATTGAGTGTCACCGACCAACTTCTTCGACATACGCTTGTCGAGCCGCGGTATGCAACGAATGAAAAAATTCTCTATGGGTGGTTGTGGATGCTTCGGGACGCCGAGGGAGTATTCGAGTATGTTATTTTTCCTTCATCTCGTGAAATATTGGAACTAAATGAACAGAAATCATGGCTATGCTGCTCAACAACGGAACCTGTCCGAAGACGAACGCGCAGATATTGAAGTCAGAAACGGTACAGCGTTGGTCCTCACTACACCATACGTTTTTCAATTCACTCATACTAATCTTGTACTTTGCAAAGAAATATTTACCGACCAGATCCCACAGTATCCGATCTACCACAATTACTATTGCCAATCAGCAAAACCTACACTGGCTAATAGTTGTGCCATTATACCAAAACCCGGAAACCCGACCGATGGATGGGGCCTTACATTCATGTTGAGCCATGAGAAAAGCGAAACTGGGAGGGCAGCTGGTTCAGCGTCTTGGGAGGGCCTGGCAAATTTATACTGGTTTGCCGATCGCGTCAATGGCATTGCGATGATCTTCGCTACTCAGATTCTTCCATACGGGGGTGAATATGGAATTTACTTTTAGTACCATTGATTCTGACCATGTACGTAGATCTCGAAGCAGTCAAGCTTTTCCGGGCGATTGAGAAAGGGGTGTATGCAAGCTGTGGCTTGACAACTAGGTAGGTTCTCGTGGCTCAAGGATTACTGCTGCGCGGTTGACGGCTTGTTAGTACCTGAAAGGGCAACCTTTAATTGCAATATGAATAGAAAAAGTCAAAATAACTCCATTTGGCACTGATTGGGTTGTAGGATATATCCAAGGTAGTGATGGCAAGGAGCAACCACTTTCAGAACTGGCTCATAAACGAAGATAGCTTCCACATATTTTGAATAGTGTGTGTCCTAGTAAAACAACTGCCATAGAGAATTGACAAACGTCAATTAGTTATGGAGCGTACTAGATTCCAATCAATGTGTGGCCCTTCAAAACTTCTCCTTCCGACGAACAGCCAAAGAGTATTTATAAGAGTAAAAACGCCGAGGAGGATTATACACACATAGTTCATGGACTGCAGGCTAACAGGTAGATTCGGCGGCATGCATATCAGAACACCGAGCACTACAATCCAGAGGACTGAGAAAGCATTGCAGAAGTATCCAACCCAGCCAAGTTTCAGATACCTTTTTGGCAGACATGTACGGCCTTGGGTGAGGAGGATACCCTGGGGTATAGTATAAGTGATGTTCAAAAATAGTACTGCCGAAGTGATAATAGAGTTAAATGCGGTTGTGGAAGCTAGATAAAGAAGACCGTATAGGCAGCTGAATAGGAAGGCAACTACCGTCGTGCGCACAGGGAAGTTGAACCTGTCGTTGATCTTTGAGAAGTATTCCGAAAAGGGGGTTCCTCTCTTAACAATAGTTAGCGGATATATATCCCATGGAGAGTAAAAAGGTACATCACGAGCGAAAGCCCATGCAACTCGCCCACCACTGACCCATTGTGATGGGAGCGAAACTATATTCCTGTCAGATATGTATATCCCGTGGTCGTTTTATCAAGCGGCTTACAGGCATAAATCACCCATAATAGGATAAACAGCCCTAGTGTAACACTCCGGCTTCCAGTTCTGCGTCACCGCGTTAGTGTTAGACATTTGGTTGGTGATTTATAATACTAACATTTGGTATACCAACTCAAGACTGGGGAGAGGTGCCTCCCGTACTGCCTCCATGTCAATGGTAAAATACATGAAGACAATGAATACTGGGAGACATGTGAGTAGTCCTATCATCATGGTCATTACCATGATTTGCGGAACTCGCTTTCCCGGCTTGGGTATTTCTTCACAAATGTGAATGACTGTTCAACGTTAGTGCATAGCGTTTGAGCAAGCAACGCAGTCCTGAAGTAAATAAACTGACCTCCGTCCACACCTCCAAACGCGTACATAGCATTGCTTATAGACAGTAACCAGGCAGTGCCTTCGTTCCACCCGCTGTTTCCCTGCCCCGATTGAAGTAGAAAAGATTGTGGCTGCATGTGCTGGTGCATGACGATGGAAACAACAAGAAAGATGACGAAGCCTGATAACGAGAGATAAAACGCAACCTGAGTTACGAGTGATATTCTGTTAGAGGCGGCAAATACTGGGATGACTAGAGGGTGATTAAATTAGTCTGTTTGTTTTGTTCATTGAGCACGTCCATATGTTTAGACCATCCACAATACTTACTCGTAACAACTGACACGCCAACATAGGTAAGATATGTCTGCCACTGGTTGGCAATGTATCCAGGCGAGCAAAAGTGTACAATACCATTCAGAACGACGGTAGCAAGGGAGATACCGGAGCAGCTGTAGAAACGAAGCAAGCCATTAGAGTGACTGTGATATGCAACAGGCTGATTTGGGCTGGTACATACGTGACAATCCACCATGCTAAGACTGACAGCCAGCCAACAATATATGCACTGTATCTCCTTGTCCTTTCGGGGCTTAGGATATAGCAGAAGTGATACTGCCCACCGCTAGACTGTTCATCTACAGTGTTAGTAGCTTCCTTGTATGTGACTGTGTGTCTGTGTGTGCTGAGAATCGGCTGTGCCTACAGGAAAGGCAGACCCTAGCTCAGCGAGTCCCAGGGTCACGATAAACTGAACTATGAAAGCTACTATCAGACTGAATATACAGGTCTGAGCGCCACCATATGTCAGGTTCTGGCCGAAACAGCTCTACCACGTTTACAATCGTCAGCGGGGTATCTCCTGAGGCAGAAGGTGATCATACTAGATAGCCAACCCAAGAGTTGGTGATTGAAAAGCCCAGTCCAAGAGCAGAGAGCCAGTTGAACTGGCGAGGCATCGCCGTCTGATGGCCGTTTGCCCGAAGGATTGCATCGTCGTCGTCTGCATCCTTCGAAATATCAGTGACTGTTCCGGGGATGATGCTCTGGTCATCAGCCGCGCGGGGCTGGCCCTTAATGGGCTTGTCCAGCATGACAGCCATGGGAAGATGTACAATTTCTAAGAGATAAGAAATACCACAATGTGTATATCGGTAAAAATGAGTGAATGTGTTTTGTCGAAAAACTTCATTTGCCCCAGGATCTGCGGCAATTTATATACACTAAATTCCAAAAGTCTTTGACTTATCAAGGGATATTAAAATGAGGTAGATAACGTTATGCCTGCAAGGGAGTGTCCTTCATCCTTTGGTCGTCGTTATCAGGCATACAAAGCCCTAGGTATAGTTCCCCCGCAAACTTACATGCCGATGGCGATAAGCTAACCCGTTGCCATTTTAGTGTAAAAGATAGAAGAAGAATATCCTCCTGGGTTAGCGCGAGAGAATAAAAAAGTAAAACAAAAGACAACAAAAAAGAGACGGCTGAAAGGAAAGTGAGGTCGGGAAAGGCTCCGACAACTGCGAGGTGATAGCCCGTGCGTCCCCAACCACCGGGTTGGGTATGTTACTCTTTTGGGTAGAAATTCCAACCGCCAGGCTTCCCCACACGTACCCCCGCAAATAATTGCCACGCATGTTAAGGATGAGGACAAGTAAGATGTAAAGGAAGACCTCGTGTGACGACAGCGGTTATTCTCTAAGATATAAGATATTCACCTAGCACTTCCATGAAGTAGAGCAATACGAATTACCATTCGTACAGATAGCACTAAGTTGTCCCCTCAATTGCAGACTATCCATCATGTCCGACTCATTTGATGTATCTAAGTACAGCGACGAGGTCCAGAAAGTGTCCAAAGATACCCCACTTGAGGAAATTCTGTACCTGCTGAAGCGTGATGGCGGGGTATTTGTGAAGAATTTGATTACCGAAGAAGATGTCGATAAGGCATTACTCGAGGTAAAGGATCGCCTGGATAATGACGTGGAATGGGATGGCACGTTCTTCCCAGGTAAGCATGAAATTAGATACTTCAAGGCAGGCATACAATGTCTAGGGCTAACCTCGTGTGTAAGCGCAAACTCAACGGGCTCCCTCACTGATTGCGCGAAGCCCTACCTACACTAAGACGCAACTCATGAATCCCCTTTTCCGCAAGGTCTGTGAGCACTTTCTGACTACAAGGAGCTGGTTCTGGTGGGGAGATGAAAAGAAGGAGTCCGTAGCGAAGCCCTATGTCCATTCATGCACAGCGATGAGAATTGGCCCTGGCGGTAAGGCGCAGCCCCTGCACCGCGATGACTATATCGCCCATCGCTATCATACCGAGATTGATAAATGGGATGATGCCCGTGACATGAATCGCGAGTCAGCCGTTGGATTGTTCGTGGCTGGTTGCAGAATTACGAAGGAGAACGGGGGTACCCAGTTCATTCCGCAGAGCCATCTTTGGTAGGTTAGAAAGATATGTCTCCATTATGCTCGATGCGGTTTATCTGACAGCCTATAGGGGCACTGATCGCAACACTCCACCTCGCGTTGATCAGTGCATTTTCGCTGACATGGAGAAGGGAGATGGCTTCATTATGTTGGCATCTGCCTTTCATGGCGGAGGCTCCAATGTCACCGAAGACGAGTATCGCCTGGCTTTCGCTACGTTTATCACCCGTGGATTTTTGCGGCAGGAGGAGAACCAATTCTTAGCCGTACCACAGGAAGTAGCGCGGACCTACGACCGCGACATTCAAGAGTACATTGGATATTACATGAGCGATCCCGCCTGTGGCTACTATGAGCAGATGGATCCGATATACCATCTTCGACCTGAGCTGTTGAAGGATGCCAGACCCACTGACTTTTAAGGTGTCCGATGCGATGTTAGGAAATCCTAGCCTCATGTTCAGTGTTCTGGGATGCGAAATCTTTTGTTTGGTAAACAGATAGTAGATTATGAAATGAACAGCCATATCAAGCGTTTGATTCTCCCTTATTCTCTATTCGAGTATCTCCAAGTTCCAACATGTAGATACCACGACCGACAATCTAAGTTTTAGTCTGTCTACAAAAGTCAGCCGCCTTGGGAATGTGGATTACGAATGCTGACCACAATATGTAGGTCTTCTGCATCCCCCTTGCCTGGCAGCAACGATTTCTTGGCCGGGCGTTGATCACAGGAACGCTGAGGGTATATCAAGAGCAAATAATACCTAAATGCCACAAGATAGGTACACTATGACGTCTCTCGGGGGCGGAAGCCTACGGCTATGCATGTTTCGCATACTGAGGGGTGGACGGTTCAAGGAAAGAAACAACAATAATACCCCGACTCCACGCCTTAACCATGAAACTTCGCCACTGACACTCGGCTGGGTTGCTTGCCCTATACGGCAATGCGCCCAGCCAGTCTACCAAAAGGCGACATTGAACGAAAAGAGGGGATTGGCGTCTCCACTTACCTCTACGTGATAGCTCTTGATAAATAAAAGACGCTCCTTTCGCTCCAACTATACTTCCCCGCAATATTATTCTAAATCATTTCTTGCCAACCAGTATAACGCTGAAGTTTGCATTTTCTTCTGATATATTGACGTCGACAACATGCACTCGAACGGTGAAAGCAGTCGGCAATTACCTAGCCTGTCCTCGAATTTAATTGGCAAAACAGCCATTGTAACGGGTTCCTCCCGGTATGTTCTATATATCTCTCGAAGGTTGGAGGTATCACATGGCTAACAAGGCGTAGGGGCATTGGTGCAGGGATTGCGCTCGAACTTGGGCGTAGAGGCGCCGCGGTTATAATAACATATACCAGCGAGAAATCATTCCCGCCAGCAGCCTCAGTATCCCGCGCGATCGAAGAGACAGGGTCAGGGGGAAAGGGGATTCTAGTAAAGGCCGATATCACCTCCGCGACAGATCGACAGACGCTCATTGACGCAGCCGTGGAGGCGAGACCGAAAAGAATGATTGATATACTAGTCCACAATGCTGGTAATGGAGATGATTGCTATCTCAAGGAGATTTCAGAGGAATTTTTCGAAACGCTAGTGAATGTGAATTTGAAAGGTATTCACATCAGAACAGAAAACGACGACGACTTCAAACGAGAGTGCTGATAGGTGGGAAAATTGATGACCTTGTCATCGTACAGCTCCAGTTTTCCTTACTCAAGCTGTCGTACCTCACATGCCCCGAGGGGGAAGAATAGTGCTCATCACATCTGCTGCAGCTCGCATGGGCGTCGCGGAAACCACAGTGTATGCGGCGAACAAGGCCGGTCTAGAATCGTTTGCGAGGGTTTGGGCTACTGAGCTTGGTCAATCTCATGGAATTACCGTCAATTGTGTGAGCCCAGGCCCAGTTGCCACCGAACAATTTCACAACAGTTCTCCGGAGTTCAAGCAAGCATTGCAACCAATGATCGACAGTACACCGGCTGAGGCACGGATGGGAGAGGTGGAGGATATTGTGCCTCTCGTGAGGTAAGGAATTGTCACCAGTCTTTCGATTACGACGTGATTGGAGGCTAACATGCTGGATAGCTTTCTCTGCTCAGAGGAGTCGCGATGGGTAACGGGGAGCGTTCTTAGTGGAACAGGTGGACTGCTTCTCTTCTAGGCCGTGACAATAGCACCCTGCCCAGAAACGCCCCATAAAGCGGTGGCAAGCATTATGAATAGAAAAATAAATGATGATAGAATTTCAGGTAGTCTAAGGATAACAAAAAGAACAAGAAAAATGAAACGAAGGGAAACTAGTATTGTTGTAGAGGTCCATCTAACCATATTATTAACCGTAGGCTAACTCTTATCTTCGATTTTCGGGGCTGAACCAAATAATTGTAGGGGTTGCCAATTTGCCCCCGAGAATAAGTAGCCCATTCCTCACGTGGACAGGACGTCTTTATTAGCGTTGATCTCTCCTTTATCCACTTACCTTATACCGATATCACGGAGAGCCTTCGTGTTCCAGCATTCTTGCCCTTTCCAGCCATGAAATCACGGACTAGTATGTCAGATTCGACTTCATTAACTCGCTTAGTCGCTGTTAAGCCTATTAATAATCTAAATAGATCCTGCCTGCGGTACCTGCCGGAAGAAATGTCGCAAATGTGACCGCGCTCGCCCGGTTTGTAACAGATGTCGGGTGAAAGGTCTCCACTGCGAGGGCTATCCTCCGCGGTTTCTCTTCTTTCAAGACCAACTCAGTTCAAAAAGTGAACAGCGGGAGGATTCTATGCTGTCCTCAGGCGAGCCATCTCCGAGTGGTAAGACACTCCGTGCGCAGTAAACTGTCACTACTAACGATGGAAGCCCAGGCCAAGAGACGCGGTCAAACCATACGACGGCCATCAATAGACAATATCGAACGGGGAACAACCACAAAGAGCATATATGTCGGCCGAATCAACCGCAGGGGAAGCCAGACAATGCCTTAAATGCATCTACAGCAACCAACGATGCGATAGGGCCCACTAAGCCCTTGCTCGCAGCCACAATCGATGATATTTTAACACTGCCCGAGACTGAAAAGCTCCTCGGTTACTGTGAGTGTCAAAAGTATTGACCAAAGGTGTGTCTCTGACTCTAATGGAACGCAGTTGATAAGACTTTATGTGGAGCACTACTAATCGAAACCGACGATTTTCACAATTCATTTCGAGGCTATATCCTTCCTCTTGCATATCATGACATTGGAATTTTACATGCTGTACTGGGCCTTACCATGTGCCACATAACCTCCTCTGGCAAGCGGGAGACCGAGAAGATCAGCGTCGCCAGCATGATAGAGCATCAACTCTCCGCATTACAATCCCTCAGCTCGCTTTTGATGAAAGAAGAGATATACGGCCTCACGGATGATGAGCAGGACATATTACTGGCGGTTGTGATTCTATTAGTTCTCTATGATGTAACGATTAAAATCTCCTTCCAAAGCCTTGGACGTTGCAGAATATATCAGACGCTTACCATGACAACAGATCTGCGAGACTGGGGTATCATCTCATGGAGTGCATCTTACCGGGGCTGGCTACATATGTGGAAAGCTCGCCCAGCAGCCCAAGGTCATCACTTCCCCACGAACAACATTCCTACTAACAGCCTTGGCCTGGTAAGTGTGGCTAGCAGTCGAACCTATCGAACTTACTTTAACCATTGGAAAAGGCTAGACATTCTTCGAGGATTCAGCGGTGCGGAAAAGTTGGCTTACCGTGACAACGTCCGTAGGTGCATCTTAGAAGCTGAACACTTCAATTTAGAGATTCTAGTGGGATGTCCAGTGGAGTTGTTTTACGAGATAGGATGTGTTCTCACCGCAGGAAAGCAATATATGGACGGAAGGCTATCCCAAGATGACTTTCAGGACCTATTAAACGATGCGGCACAGTTCTTTCGCGTCTGGAATCCCGACAACGCTGCGTTTCCGGGTGAAGATCCGGAGTGGATACGACTCGCAGAGGCCTACCGCCATGTCTGTATCATTCGCGTGCTCCGGTTCCCAGATGCATGGGCTGTTCCCTGTGAGGATCACCGCATCCAGTCGTCTGTTCGTGCAATCCTCGATGCTTCAGCTGGAATTTCGGCAGACTCAACATGGTTCAAAAGGTTACTATTCCCTCTGTTCATAGCCGGTGCAGAAACATCTATACCGCACCAAAAACGATATGTCGAGTTCTGCATGCGTGAGATCAAAGAGTCAACCGGATTTCCTCACCCTGCAATGGATGAACTACTCACCAGAGTTTGGGGCGAAAGACAGCGACAGGCAGGTAAACCAGGGAATATTCCGTGGATGGAGTTTGTAGGATGCTCTCACCTTCTACGGTACCCCCAGGCTAACTCTGTGAAGACATGTTCTAGGGACCTGGTCCGCCAACACGACTACCTGATGTTTTGATGGCAGGTATCCAGAACGCTTTCCGGATGTCATTCCAGGCCAGAACTTCCACCGCCATGCATATAGACAATTTGCTACGATACTAGTTTCACGCAGTCCTGGTATTTCAACCATCCTCAAGCTTCTCCGAAAGAACATAGAGTGCCGTTTCCGATTAGAAAGTCTATTTCACGCTGTGGTGAAGACAGAAGCAACCTAGAAACAGAATTGTAGGCGCTACATCTTATTCAGCATAACATTTCTCTTACGAGAACACAGCGCATATTCCAGTCTCACACCCGGCTCGCAAAGAGTCCGTTCGAAATACGCTCATTCCCATAGCGTCTAATGACGTCAAGAATCAAGGCACTGCCTTTTGTCGAATTAATTTGGTGGCTGATCGTCCGCCAAGACTGTAACACAACGTAAGCCGAAAAGCCATGGGAACGATGAATGGCCATGTCACATCGGCCGGGCAATCCAGTCACGTTAACATGTTTGTCGTTTCGCGCCAATAATATGTCTCGTTCATCATTACTGTTGGGAGCTGCTGTCACGTCACAGGAGACATGATAGGTATATAAATCATGTCTGGTCCTTATTTCACCAAGACTTGCATATATTTTGCGAAACCCTAACATACACCGATCGCACACTATACCCAATTGACTGCTGTCTACCTCTGTCAAACGATCAGACCTTCTGCAATCTACCAGCATGGTCTTCGGCTCTTCCAAGAAAAAGTCCAAGGAAGGAAAGCCGCTCGCGGATCCATCCGCCAAATGGGGGATCACGCCCTCCGAAGAGACTATGAACAATGAAGTGGGAAAAGACCATCCTGTTCACAAGATACCGCTGGAAAAACAGGAGAAAATGCGAGCGAAGGGTGTAGACCCCGTATCTAAGGCCGAGATGGATGAGGCTCTGAAGGGACAGGGGGGATTCTGGGCAAAGTTGGGTATGACTGCCTTGGGCGGCGGAGTGATTAAATAAGTTATCGACAGAGGTGCGATGGGTAGATTGAGCTTCAGCAGTGTCTTCTGAGTGCATGACTGCTGATGTCGATTTTTCAAGACCGTACCATGGGCTCTGGTGGCCTGGCCTTTGTGGATCTTCCGTATCGATTTTGTCGTTGGACGGTCTTTATTGAATCGTGAATCAATTACTTTATATGTTGTTGGTTGAGTGTCAAATACTCGCTTCGTTCTCCACTTCAATGGCTATCAAGATACATTCTTGACGAGAGTTGTAGATCTGATCACTCTGGTCCCCATCAGCTCCTGGCGGTGGAGTCACCTATATCATTGGGACGAGTAATGAAATAGTTAACAGACGCTTTGCGTATATGATAATGCTATCAGAAAGATGCACTGGCTGAATATAAACGCTGAGAAAAGAAGTTATATGGTATTCTCACAAAGCCACATTCTCCCCAAAGACTTCATTAATAGGCCAACTGATATGAGGTCTCCATGTGGAATCCAGTAGATGATAGATCTCCCTGAGCACGCAGCTGCCCCATGACTGAAGGAAGCAATTTTCTCGCGCTATATGGAGGAAGGTACAGTAATGAGCATGAACAACTAACGCAAAAGGTTCGTGTCGCTGCACGTATTGGAGATACTCGGGGGTTGCCCGGATAGCCCACCCCGCAGCCAGCATCATGCAAGTTGGCTGAGCAAACGTGTGAACGGACAATCCTCTCAGCTCTTGAATAGCACGTGCGTATGCAGCAGTATCATGTCCTCTGCCCGTCCCATGTGCGGTATTAAGTTGTTCGAGGCGGTCGAGCGATTCTTTGGCACGATCGGGATAGGCAACCTGTGGTGGAGTTGGATCGAAGAGAGGAGCAAAGTTAGTGTGTCGTAGAGTAGAAGCAACGTTGATAATCTGCTGAACACCGCGGCAAAGGACAAACACGTTGTGTAGAGTATCTAAACAGGGCTTGTCGGCGTCAGAGACTCCCGTCAACGCAGAGCCGAAGGCAAATGCAACTACCAGCCCAGAGAGGCCCATCATTGCCTTTGCGTTCGCTGCATCGACACTATGGAGATTTTCCAAAAACTGTGGAAGTGCCTGGCTTTTGTGTGCTGTTGCCAGCCCTAGCCAGAAAGACTTCTGCGGTTCGTCTTCTGATAAGGAGAGGTGCAACGCGGACACAGCTAAGATGCCGTGCATTAAGAACGGGGTGTTTAAGGCTTCATCAACCAGTAGCACCCCCCAGACATGCTTTGTTTTTTCATTCCGTGCGAGGACTCGGCAGGTATCCCTTTGCCATTGGACTATGAGCTTCAGCTGATTCATCTCCAGGCCCGGACTGGGGTTGACCGTTGTGTCATTTGTTCCGAACCTGTCTAGCAGGTCGAAAGATGTATCTGCTGATGATACCGCAGTATCCTGATCATGGGAAGATGTCTTCACCCGGCTTCGCACCCGCCGCCGAGGGACACTTCCTTCAGTAGCCCAGATATAGGGGGTATCTGTGCCATAGTCACAGTCCTCTTGCCGTTGTTTGCAATTAGAACAGGTCGGTCGTACTTCATCGCACTTAAAGAGACAAATTAGGAGATGAGTCCTTGTAACATTCAATGGTGAGCACAACCATTGGCATCCCTGAAGATGAAGAGCTCCTGTCTATCTACTACATCGTGCCAAGCACTGGAGTGGAAGGATAGTAGCTTACCTTCACTCTTCGCCGTTTACAGGCCTTGCAGCCATGTCTGGATTTCCGGTGGGGTCGACGAATGGGCATTTCACGGACTTCTAGAAAGGTACGAGCGGCTCATCATCCCAATGATAGACACGCCTGGATTACTAGTGAAGTCATTTGCCTCAAAGTTTCTGGCGCCTCGAGAAAACGCCACACCCAAGGGCTCCGCTTTTCCACCGCCTGCTTCATCCGTGCGGGATTCTGCCACCCCCAAACGCGCCACATCCGGCGGCAGTTTTCACTCTTTTGAGCAACCGATACGAGTACGACTACAAGACCCACCGGCTCCATTCAGCGACGCAAAGGGGGCTCGTCATCTACGCCGAGGGAGTTGGTAAGTTGATAAGGGTCAGGTCGCACCAGTGAACATGGTTTTTGTTTCCAAACAAGAGTCATCACTACAAATTGTGGCTCGCTCAATCTGTGCATGGCCAGATCCCTGAACTAGCTAGGGCTAAGCTCATATATATATATTCCACAGCGACTTAAGTGGGCTTCGAAACTAAGATAAGTTGGAACTGATCTTTGTCCACCTACCTGGCGCCCGCTGGAATTGAGCCTTTCCCATTTCTCAACACCCCTGACGTCCAGTGTCGCTACCCTTTGCACCACATGTCGTTTGTGTCAGCAATCATCATTGTTGTTGCTACCTGGTGTATCTACGTGGGTTGGCCATGGTATCGCAACTGGACACAGGCAAAGGAGCTGCATGTGCCTATTATCCTGAGCCCTATCTCGAGTAGTGGTCTAGCATTGCAGTTGCTGAGATATATCGTGGACCTCAATATTCTACCAACTCGTATGACTCAATTGCCATTTGTTAGACTGCTCCGCAGACACGCGAGATTCCAGGAGAAGTTCACAGTCCATGCCGAGTATGGAAAGCTATTCATTTTGGTTACGCCGGAGACATGTGAGTTATACGTGGCGGACACAGACGCGGCAAAACAAGTGCTTTCACGATGGAGAGATTTTCCAAAACCAAGTAGCCTACTAGGTATGGATCTTCCCCGAAAGGAATGCAGGTTAGTCGCTAAAATAATCAAGAAAAAATGAATGTCTTTGGCAAAAACCTAGCTACGGTATGAAATTCGCGATCCCATCGTTTTTTCGTTGCGGCTCCCACGACGACACATGAACACAACAAGCTGACAGGCTTCAGGTAGAAGGGGCCGATTGGCAGCGTCACCGGAAGTTGACTGCGCGTGCATTCAACGAGAAGCTACACGAGGCAGTCTGGGTCGAATCGACGAGAAATGCGACAAAGGTATTAAAGCAATGGGCCAACATCAAGTCTCTGAACAGTACACGGTCCGATATTTTGGCGCTGAGTTTGGGTGTGCTTTTTAAAGCGTGCCTTAATATCGATGGAGTCGATAAAGATGATGCTAGGATATTAGCAGGTGACGTTGCGGCCTGCCAATGGCATCTAGATGTGGTTTTAAACGGGATATCAAACCCAATGGCTTTAGGGCGAGGAGTTCGAGGAATGCAAAAACTTAAGGAGAGCTATAAAGCCTTGGGCGAGTTATTGACCAAGTTTGTGGAAGCCCGAACGGCACGGTCAGAACAGACAGCGCACGCAGACCTCCTCTCATCAATCCTCGCTCCGACAGATCATTGCGGCTTATCAAGCGATGAAGTCACAGGAAACCTCTTTCTCTTCATGTTCGCCGGCCACGAGACCACTGCAAATGCTTTGATCTATGCTATCCATCTCATGGCGATATTCCCAGCCTGGCAGGAGTGGGCACTAGAAGAGATTGACAACCTGTCACAAAGTCAAGCCAGTGGAGAAGAAATTCCCTTCCATAGTCAGATTCTTCCACAAACACAGCGACTCCGAGCAATCCTGGTAAGCTTCCTGTCTTATGGTGCAGTTCGTTCATGTTTCTAATGCTGGATACAGTACGAGACTCTTCGGCTGTACGGTCCTGTCCCAAATATAGTGCGAAAGACAGATGCCACCCCTCAGACACTAGTGATACCTGAGCGGGAATTCGTAATCCCCAACAATACGTCCATAAATGTCAATGCGATAGCATTACATACTGATCCCAAGCAATGGGGCCCTGACCCTCTAGCCTGGAGGCCCGATCGGTGGATATTGAAGGAGTTCGACTCATCTCTGGGAATGGTTTCCAATGAATTGCTCCAGTACCTCTTTGCCTGGGGAGACGGGCCGCGGCTGTGTCCAGGACAGAAGTTCTCACAGATCGAGGTCTTCGCAGTTCTTCTCTGCCTTTTTAAACACCACCGTGTGGAGCTAGTGCCGTCTCCTGATCAAACCATGGACCAGGCAAGATCTCATGCACTTTTCTTGATACAGAATAGTATGGTGGGCCTTACATTGCAGATGCCATCTGTCGAGTCAGTAGGCCTTCGATGGGTGGGGCGATAACTATAACTTTAAGTATGGTTAATCGAATTGTTAATATTGTCTTCATCTTAAGCTATAATTTACACATTTTGCGGCTATTAACTCTAATGACATATTGTCTTGTCTCCAGGATTCATATCGTCAGCGTAATGATAACATTGAAATGGAATGTATATGTTGGTGACAGATTTGCCCAGGAATATGTACACCCGACATAGCCTTGTAACCCAAAGGATAGCATCGATGTTTACCTGTGATTCATGTTCACAATCTGTTGTAGAATGTATTGAGCATTTTGAGGCTTGCACTTACTGACGCACAGCACCTCGTGAAGTACATATTATCTGTGATGGCTATTGACACATTTGTTCAAGTTCCAAATTCTGCGATTGAATAGTTTGATTAATGTGAAATAGAAGTATTGATCCAACGGTAGTACCCAAAGAGTGTTCCATATGTTTCTCCAGGAACAACCGCGGCGAAGTATTCAATCAAACCGATGTAAACCATCGTAACGACTTTGCCTAGCAATGCCAGCCCCAGCCCTCTCTCTTCCATAGACAGATCCAAAGTATTGGGTCTCCATGACACTTTGCTACCGTGTTGTGAGTGGTTGAAATCTCTAACGATTTCGAGCCGGTGGGTCAACATAGCCTGTTAGGGTTAACGATACGAATGCGAGAATGTGCTAAGAGGAGGAATTGGACCGAGCGTTTGAATGGTGCCTATTTGTGTCTCCCATGGCTGACCTAGGTATCAGAATAAACGGTTCCTCGGTATGATACATGTAAAATGAAGTTATTCCAGAAGACTACGCAGCTTGTCGCCTTGGTGACGTCTAAACGAGTACGATGTGCAACGTAGGCATGGGAAACTAGACATATATATTAAGGGCATATGTGTTAGAAAGTGAGCAATGTATGACAATCATAATTGATTAGCATCATTGTCTTTCCATATTCTTGTTTATATTACTAGATTCTCGCCATTTTCTCATAGTTCCTGGGTGATAATAGCCGGAGTCGCTTCCCAAAGAAAGACACGATCAAAATGAATCTCTCAATCCAGAATAGCCCTAAAATCAAGTTCCGATTGCATATCATCATCGGCTCCTTGCTCTTGCTTACCTTCATCCTTGTCATCGCACGAGTGGCTGATAAGGGTACGCCGTCAAGTCGGACCAACACATGGGGTATCGCGGTGGTGAGTGATTGACACTTATACACTGTGAGGAGCAATTCTCCTTATTAGCTTCAACTAACTGAAAACATTGCATATATACAGTGCGTCAAATCAGCAGTGTTTATGACATATCAAATCGTTACTGCTCACGCTGCGCGATTCAAACGCTGGGCGAGTAGCAAAACCAATATGATCTTGAACATCATTGATACCGTCTTCTGGTTCGCACTGTTCATCATATCCATCATGGGGACTTCAGGTTCCCACAGTACCAGTAGTCGTGCATTGGGTGTTATTATAGTTATATTGGCTCTTGTGTTATGGTATGTGTCTTGGCTCTGCGAACTGCTGTTGGCGTGTATAAGGAAAACACTGACATGTCGAATGGATTTGATGCAGCGGCCTCGCTGGCTTCCTCTCGTTCATCTGTGTCCGCGACCGACGATATTATAAGCAACATGGCTCACTCCCTGGAGTAGGGAGCTCCAAGTCCCCTTGTTGATAAGAGAGGCCTTGTGACTTAGCCACCATGTGGTTAGTCCTTCTGACACGATACGACAGCATCTCACATTTATGTTACTGCAAGGTTCAGATGAGAAATCTATGTTACTCTACGAAATATTATTCCAGTGATCCAGTACAGATCGTGATGTAGGTATTGGTAGAAAGACGGCAATCACTAGACACCCTTTCTTCCAGCTGCTCGTTGTAGAAATGCCTTGCTAGATATCAGTCAAGACACAACCAGCAACATATGTATAGGACCTTTTCAGACACGGAAAATTGCGAATGCTCATACCCAGCCTGATACTGGCTCGCCATGCTACGCCCTGTGATATTGTTTCATGATCTCCTTGACGCGGACAAGAGGCAGTGCCTCGACTGTATGACCTAGGAACCCCGTAAGGGTTTCCGCCATACAGAGTGCGTTGTAGATTGCCTCTTCAACCGCATCGGCTGTCGCTTCGAACAAGCTATTGAGAGCGGAATCATCTACCACGTCTATCACCCGTGTCACTGGAGCGGGCTGCTGGTGCTGGTTGACAGGTATCTCGTTCCCCGTAGAGAAAGCTAGGAATATGTCCCCGGATTGGTTGTGCCCCTGGCCACCAACGCGAGCAAGACCAACGGTTGCCCGCTTCGCAACGCGTTGCAGCTGAGCGGGATGAAGAGGCGCATCTGTCGCCAGTACAACGATTATACTGCCATCCTTGTGGGCTTTGGCCTCCGCGACTTTCTCATACATCCCCTGCCTTATTGGGTCACTCGCAACTTCTTCAGCTAGTATCCTCCCAACCGGAACCCCTGCAATGCGGAGATCCTTTAGTTGCCCATAGTTGGCCTGGACCAACGCGGCGACCGTGTAGTCTCCGAGAACCCGGCGACTGCTGGACCCAGTGCCTCCTTTCAGCCCGTGGCATACCATGCCAACGCCGCCACCCACATTGCCCTCTCGAACTGATTTCCCAGCCACTACATTCTCTAAGCCATGCACAATATGCCCAGGAGTCACAGAAAATGACGTGCAGTCATGTAAGTACCCGTCGAACGTCTCGCCCACCACGGGCAACATCAGCCACTCCAGCTGGGCATTTTTGTTACTCCCCAGGTTCTTGACGGCATATTGATATATGCCTTGATGGGCAGCTCCAATCCCAAATGTTCCCGTGAGAACAATAGGCGAATAGAGAAGGCCCGCCTCTTCTATGGAGTGCGCGCCCGTGAGTTCTCCCGAGCCGTTAAAGCGGAAGATCCCAGCGTGACAAGCACTAGTAGCCCAACTGGGGCGAGGAATGATGCAGGTCACGCCAGTGTTGATGGCGCCCTGGGCATCGAATATCTCCTGGGTATGGACCTGAACCCCCTGCACGTCGGTGATGGAATTCAGCGGTCCCGGGGGGTACACTCCCAAGTCGAGGTCAGGAAGAAGTTCTCGGATACGCATCCGTTCGGTGGATAGCCGGACACGCATGTGTGGTTTATCGTCTGGGCAATAAGGGGGAAAGGGTGGAAGATCAAGAGAAGAAGGATGTCAAAGATAATTGGAGCTCTGACTTACGGACAAAATACCTCTTGAACCCCCACCCACCTGATAATAAGCCAACTGGCTTGATATGACCAATGTAACCTCATTATGACGAATCGGGCATGGTCTAAAAGTAGATCCTACAACTGATAGGCACCGGACAAGGGAAATGATCCGGAGTACCGGTCAGACTCGGGCAGGATTCGATGGACCGGGGTGAAATGAGACCGGATAGGTTCGGATAAATAATACATTATATGGCGTAAGCGATCGGATGTACCTGTTAGACTTGAGCGAAGGTGAACCATACTGATACTTTTCAAGTTCTCGCAATATACGTCTTCTTAGTCAGGTACCTGTGTTCTATATATGTAGAAGACCATCGAGACCCATTACTTGAAGTGCTTCGCCCCACATCCTTCACTCACTATAACAAATATCTACTAGAGGTATGTAATAATACAACGGGGAAGGGTCTAAGATCAACTGCTAGATCTTGGTTCTAATGTATCTGATCCCAGTGGAGAAATTCTCCTGCTGAACTGAAACCGATCAGTAACGCCCATATTGAGCGTGATCATACTGAGTGTTATTCAACATCTCAAGGTCAGCACCATTGTCGATCTTCTTCTTGGAAGAAACGATCTTGCTAGGGTGCCACCAATTGAGAATGATGCAACAGGCGAACATCAATGCCGCATCAAACACGTAGATGAAAGCCTCTTTGCTCTGCAGATATCCAGCACTCCCTTGGACGTACTCGGCCACACGATATATCGATCGGATCATAACCAGAACGCTGACGGTATAGAGTATCTTCATATAATGGTTCCACGGGACTTCAGTGACCACCATGTGGTGCATAGGAGTGGACAGCATGCGACGGTGAAAGACGATCGAAACGACGATGAAGAATCCGAAGAAGATGATCTGAATAAATAGGCCACCAATGATCATGTTCTCGCCCATTTTTACTGAATCTTGCGACTTGGCTTGAGCCAGCATGCCTCCTCCTGTATATCCTATCGTTAATGTTTTCTCTAAGGGCTGATAATAATGATCATACCTCCACTTTGTACTAAGAAGGATAACACGTCGCCGGTCACAAAGATCTTGGTCAACCATGATGGACGGATCAGGGAGATAGAGCCGGCATTCAGCATTCGAATAATGCGTCCGAGGATCATGTATACGGATGCGGCAAACAGGGCTGGCGCTAGGAGCAGTAGTAGACTCTGTCCAACGTATGGTTTCATCGTCCAGTCCGGTGTTTCGGTCGAACTGATGTACCTGCATAGGTAACCGATAGCCTCAACTGAAGTGAGGTAGATATGTCAGCACACTTCCACAAGGCATAGCCGGTAAGGGCTAACAGAACATACATATACCACCAATAACAAACGGCATCAAATACCATGTCCTGGACCGAATCATCTGCCAGATGTGTATCACCGTCGTTAGACTAAAGACAGCAGCAAAGCTAACTGCTGCACCTCCCGATGGATCATAGTGGTAAAACTGGTATCCCATGATGCCGTTCGGATAAAAGTAAAAGAGAGGTAATCCTTGGGCAGACAACTCGTAGTTCGAAGAAGACCAATGCGGTGCTCGATGGCAAGTTAAGAAGAGCTGTCAGGTAGGATTGTAGGTAGAATATATGAGCAGAGACTGAAAATACCAAGGCTTCCATATTGTTTCAAGGCCATGATCCGTTTTGTTTACTCTATATTTGGGTATTCATGGAACCATAAACATGGCCGAGAAAACTGGGTCTTTAACCGGTGGGAGATGTTAGTCCAGCCCTAGGCTACCTGAAGTGGTGATGGATACGAAGTACGACAAGCTCGCGCCCTCCCCACCTTTCTTTACTAGTACGATAAATTTATATTTGGCAGGTGTCCAATCACAGGATCGGGATCCTTTGGCGTTCATGGCACTGCCTCTTGATCTCGATTTAACCTTCGCCAAGCCACAGAAATTTTGTTGTATCGATGTTGCTTGGAATCCACAACGGGAGACCCACGTGTAGATTTGCTGACGAGAAGATTCTAACAACTCGATACTATTGTTGTAGCTCCCTATAGTATAGATAATGGCTGGTATTATAACTAACTATGGACGGTCATCAATTCCTGGTCCTTTAACCAAGCGCCATGGGGATATCTCTCCCGGAAGGCCAGTCGGTATCACCTCCAGGGAATTTTCGGTGAGACATTGAACTGATCTAGTTCATCTATATACCTTAATTATGCTATACTACACGGCTGGGGGAATAGCATGGATAGCAAATGCGATTATTTCTGGCTCTGGTGGCAATTTAAGGGGACGCATAACTTCCGCCGCTGGAAATGGCAAAGAATACGAGAACGAGGCTCAAGTGGGCCACCTGTTGAAAATCACGCCCACTAGGTTATCTGCTTTGCGCAATACACTATAGGGGTAGCCACCATGTTTTCGTCCCTATTGCTTTATTGCAACGAAGGTCTGATGCATGCTGGGCTCTATTTAAGGTGTCTCTTCCCCCGTTGTGGGTGATGGGACATTGCCAGAGATAGCGTGTGCCGTCGAAGACTACCACGCTATATTCCGATTTGAATCTGTCGTGCTGGAAATCACCATACTTTCGAAAATGGAGTTCACATTCTACTACTACACACCATCCGGTGTTGCTGGAGGCATCTTCGTTGCACTATTTGCCCTCAGCACCCTGCTCCATTTCTATCAGCTACTCCGCACACGGACATGGTTCATGATCCCTTTTGCGATTGGCGGAATCCGTAAGTCATGGCCTCAAGTTCCTGAGAGAGCTCTACTAAGTGGTCCCTAGTCGAAACAATTGGTTATGTCGGCCGTGTACTGTCAACAAATGAAGCTCCCAACTACACCAAGGGCCCCTATATCATGCAGAGCGCCCTCATCCTGATCGCACCGGCCTTTCTCGCCGCTAGTATCTACATGACCCTGGGCCGCATCATTACTATGCTTCAGGCAGAGCAATACTCGGTCATTCCCCTTCGCTGGCTGACGAAGATATTCGTGGCGGGTGATGTGTTATCCTTCCTGATGCAAGCGTCTGGTACGTTGACACTGCCTCAGTCATATACGCATCTCGCCTCCCTGTTTAGAATCAAAAGCTAACAACATACAGGCGCCGGTCTTATGGTGTCGGCAGATGATCCCAGCACCGGAGAACACGTTATTATCGGTGGATTGTTCGTACAAATAATTTTCTTCGGCTTTTTCGTGATCACCGCTATTGTCTTTGAGCTGCGCATGGCGAAGAAACACATTAGCGCATCTCCTGAGGCAGGACGTATCTGGCGTCGACATATGGTTGCACTCTACGTGACCAGTGTTCTGATTTTGGTGCGGTCCGTGGTTCGTGTCGTGGAGTATCTGGATGGCTACGACGGCTTCCTCATGAAACATGAAGTCTTCATCTACGTCTTCGACGCTCTGCTGATGTTTCTTGCTATGGCGGTTCTCAACTACATTCATCCCAGTCAGGTCAACTGTCTTTTGGACCGGGGCGAGCAGTATTTTGAGAAGTTCGTCGTGAGTCGCAAATATGGGCCTAGTGCCACGCATGAAATGCAAGTCAATAGCCAGGTTTAAGAAATACATAGCGTGCTTTATTTGCTTAATGATTGATGTCTTGTGAGCCCTGTTCAATGCTATAACGCACTCCATGTATATATTTGATAGAAATATTTTCTTACATCTCAGCCTCAGCTACGTGGCACCCGTGCGAGGTCGACGAATACGTAGAGGAAATATTGGACTTCCAACAGCTAGTTAGACACCAGCGACCAAGTGGTATATATAGCGAAGAGGGATCCTTAGATTCCCCTCACTTTGAGCTTGAATATCACTTTTCTGTACCACCTGGACCTGCTCGTTTCAGCTACACACAATGACTCTATGTGAGCTATGTCAACGCATCCCTCTAGAAGACCTTCCCGCGTTCCCAAGACCAGACAACATCATCGCCCTCGGGCCCCATCAGTCGATCATAGCGCTAGGTAATAACGACAACCGATCGCTACGGGATGATTTGGGCCTCCCTCATCACCCGAATATAGACAGCCTGCGACGGGCATCGGCGGCAGGGTGCGAGCTCTGCCATATTCTGGAGGACCAGGTGAACCGGATGATCCTAGCAATGGAGCAACCGCAAAACATGCCGTCGGAACTAGTAGCAGGCCGTCCTCGCTTTGATTTATGGTTGACCAGGCGCCTTAATGGAGGGGATGGTTTCGCTGTGCTTACTCCCAGCAGTACGGCCCGGGGAAGTGGGTGCGACGTGCTGGTGCTAGCTGTCATGGTCTTCTGTTGTGACGAAGGTGTAGCCAGGCTTAATACCCGAAAATATGGTTTCGCTAATGTAGCTTAGACGACCCTCTTGCTACCGTGTTTCGGGGACGCCCACCCAACAATGCTCTGGATACCGCAGCATGTCATCGTTTTGCCGGCTGGGTCGCTGACTGTAATAACCAACACCGGTCGTGTGCTATGCCGCCAAGGCCCCTACCGACTAGGCTCATTGATGTGGGATTCGAAGGCTCGGGAGATCTCGTGAAGCTCGTGGAGCCAGGTGGTGAGACTCGTGGGCATTATGTGACCCTTAGCTATTGTTGGGGTGGAGACAGGACTTCCGCAACAACACGCCTCAACGCTGCGTCCAAGAAGGAAGGGATGCTCCTGCGACACCTACCACAGACCTTTCAAGATGCGATACTAATGACACGAGCTCTCCACGTTCAGTACCTGTGGATCGACCGCCTCTGTATTTACCAGGATGACCCCCAAGATTGGGAGCGAGAATCTGCCAACATGGGGTCAATCTATGGGAATGCGTACCTATGCCTGTCAGCGACCTGTGCCGCAAACAGCCAGGCGGGACTTGTGCCTTCTAGAAAGCCAAGGCCCAGCGTGAGTCTTCCTCACACGAGCAACACCTGCGCAGGGTATGTCAAGGCCTGCTTGCTGCCAACTTTTTCAGACTTCATCAAACGGAACGCTTTGGAATTGAACGAGGAACCCCTCTCTAAAAGGGCATGGGCTTTTCAGGAACGACTATTCTCGCGACGAAGCCTGATATTTGCGAGTGATAAAGTGTATTTCGTGTGTGCAACATATATCGTCTCGGAAGATGGCACGGAGCTAACCGACGGACCCGAAGCGGGTTATACAAACGGATACCCTTATAGATCGATCGCCGAACGGAGCAAATATGGCGCAGTGTCACCCCAAACTATGCGTGCCCACTGGTACCGCCTAGTGGCGCTCTATAGTCGGCGTAGCCTGACATTTCCTTCCGACAAACTACCCGCGATATCTGGCATCGCGAAAGAGTACGGCAAGGTGCTGGGAGACACTTATGTAGCGGGACTTTGGGGGAACTCTCTCGTGGAAGGATTAACTTGGCAACCTCTGGGCAAGTGCAGGGCAGTACGTCAGTATCGGGCGCCATCCTGGTCATGGGCATCTGTCGATGGCATTGTGGATGAGCTCTATAGAGAGATCAAGCCCATAGCGTCAGTTCTGGATGTACAAGTCGATGTAGACGGTGACAACCCTTTTGGACGAGTGAGAGGCGGCTGGATCAACATCGAGGCGCCTCTTTTCCCTCTCTTCCTGCTAGATTACGAGGGCCTGGTGGCGAAGGGCACCACAAGTCTTCACACGGTAGATGAAGCGGCTGAAGGGTTTTATCTGATGTTTGACACTATCAGTAACCAACTCGATGTTTCGCTAGATCTTCTCAAGACTATGAGTCTATTTAGCTTGGTTCTTGCCGAATACGTCGGGATAGGGATCAAGGGTTGGTATTTTTCTCTCATCGTGACCCCGGCTGGTGATGACCCTAAGATATTGAAGCGAGTTGGCTGGCATGTCGGAACACAGGCCCAGTTTGGACCTCCTGACATTCACACGTTCCGGTCGATAATAACATTGGTTTGACTTTGTTACTAATGTTCCGAATTACTTTGGCGAATGGAAATCTTAGACTGGGAAGAGCTCCCTCTTGCGACACTGGTCAAGTACATATCACCACACGGTGTGCGAAAGAATCGTTTCCTCAGGCAAAAACACAGCTCATCTTTCTCGCCAGTTGGTATGCCCCGTTTCCTCTTCGTGTTCCCTTGTTGCATGTCTTTCTCTGTGTCATAGCGAGTTTCGTGATATTTATGAGATTATTTTAGACATATAAAATACAATGAATCAAAACAAATGTTTTATATTGCAAAGATCTTAGAGAAAGACACAAAGCTGTTTTGAGTAACAGGTTTACGGTGGCATGCAGCCATCGGCATCCGGGGAGAATCATATTGACCCTAAAGTCCTAACTCCGTATCCTCGGGTTCCGCGGGATGCTTTCCAACTCTACTTCTTGCAGGGTTGAGCAAATCATCCAATCACTCCAAAATCGGATCCAGACCCTAGATAACAGCGGTGGCCACGAACAGACGCCGTCGTGGCAAGCTATCTCGCTTGATTGCTGCCAACGGACCAATCGCGGCCAATTGCGCCCAAGGGATCCACCCGAGCCCTCGATCCCCGGCGCGCCGAATTGGTTCGGTCGGCTGGACTTCCTACTCCAGGTGTAGCCCAACGGAGGTGCTTTCACTCAATCTTTAAAGAATGTCCACATGGCACGATCAGGGTGGATCCAGTCTGGCGCCGGATTGCGGGGGGTCCGTTCAGGAATTGTCGCCTTCTGGCATCGTACTCGGGAGTACGTCCACATCCTCCACATCCGCGCTTTCGGGCCCTGTGGGAACCGGGACTTGGGGTCTATGTGCCTAATGGGTGATACTTAGCGGGCGGCGAGGTGCAGAACGCGGTCGTTCGAGATACTGGATAGAGAGACAACGCGCAGAAGAGTTACCAATGCTAAGGCGAGGTCAGACGAGCCGCGAGGTGGCCGGTCTCCTCCAGCTTCTCCTAAAGACCATTGATCGGCACACGAGCGCATGCCCCACAAAATAAAATTCCATCATGTCATTGGCATCGCTAGCCCCGAGCAGCGACGGTTGTTGGCCGGGGCAGGTCCTGGCCCATCCAGCGTTTCCCGGTTCTCTCATTCGCCTTCCGGTTTGTGGATTGCTTACGCCACCATCATTGGTCGCCGCACAAGGCACAGCCTAGAATTCTAAACGTAAGACTAGAGATTGCTTAATTAGCATGGACTCGAATTCGGGGGTGAGCCGCCGGTGGCACCAGACCGATATTAGTCGCTCGGGACTGCCATTCTTCAGTTATCGGGGCTTGAACTTCCTGATAGGGAAGCTGCAGGCGATTGTAGAACATCGTCGTTGGTGTTTTGGGGCTATATAAAGCCCATTTCCCCGCGGTTCCCCAGGTCTACTTTGGCATGGCCATCGCAGTCACACACTACCACCTTGTTCACCAACAATAGATACATCATGGCGCCAGACACAACATCAATCCCAGGTTACACGATCTTCCGTGAAGGAGACTACGACAGTGTCGCCGCTGCCGCAGTGACACCACAGGGAACTCCTCACCCACTTGGTAAGCTTCTCATAACACTTCAGAATTCGAAACGGGCGCTAATGGGATCGCAGATCAGCTCTCCATTGCGGAGATCCCCGTGGCGGCAGCATTGTTCCGCCAGTATGCCAGCCCCAAGCAACTCAAATTCAACTGCATCACGCTTCGTGAGCCGAAGAAGAAGGAGTATACGGCATTCAAGCAAGGAAATGGGCCACGTCCCGACCGTCGCGCGTATGCCATTGTCATTGACAGGCAGTCCGGAAAGATCGCCGAGGCTGTTGCTAACCTGACCACGTCCAAGGTTGAAGAGTGGAAGGATCTCAACGATGTCATGCCAACTCTGACTCTCGAAGACCTGGACAAATTGGAGGAGATGTCGCGCAAGGATCATCGCGTCATCGAAGCATGCAAGGGTCTCGGAATCACCGACATGTCCAAGGTGTTCATCGATGCCTGGGCGATCGGTATGGACGAGCGTTGGGGTTATGAGCGCCGTCTCCAGCAGGGTTTGGCATACTACCGTAACTCTGAGTTCGACAACCAGTACGCCCACCCTCTGGACTTCTCCGTTGTGGCCGATACCGAGCGGGAGGAGATCCTGAGTGTGGACATCCGCTATGTGAACGGCGAACGCACGGCAATGCCGGTTACCGAGCACAACTACCTGCCCCAGTTCATCGGAGACAAGTACAACCATGACCGCCTGAAACCCATTGATATTGTCCAACCTCAGGGTGTCTCGTTCCAGGTGAAGGGTAATGAGCTGTCCTGGGCTGGCTACAAGATGCACATCGGATTCAACTACCGAGAGGGTATCGTCATCTCCGATGTCCGCGCGCATGATATGCACCAAGACCGCGAACGTACCTTGTTCAACCGAATCAGCGTGGTCGAGATGGTGGTACCGTACGGTTGCCCGGAGAAGCCACACCACAAGAAGCATGCCTTTGATGTCGGCGAGTACGGAAGTGGCTTCATGAGCAACTCGTTGAAGCTGGGCTGTGATTGCAAGGGTGCGATTCATTACATGGACGGAGTGATGGCCCTGGCCAGTGGCGAAGCCGCAGTGGTTAAGAACGCCATCTGTATTCATGAGGAGGACAATGGTCTTCTGTATAAACACACTGATTTCCGCGACGGCACAGTGATCTCCGCTCGTGACCGCAAGTTGATTATCTCGCAAATCATCACGGCGGCCAACTATGACTATGGATTCTACCATATCTTCTCTCTCGACGGAACCTACAAGCTGGAAATGAAGCTCACCGGCATGTTGAACACCTACCCCCTGCACCCCACCGAACAGGCTGCCCCGTACGGAACCGAGGTGGCTTCTCGAATCACCGCCCATAACCATCAGCACATCTTCTCGCTGCGTATCGATCCTGAGGTGGACGGCCAGAACAATTCCGTTGTTCAGAACGACGCCGTTGCATCAGACTATCCAGTGGGATCACCACAGAACTTCTACGGCAATGCATTCTACAGCAAGAAGACACCCCTGCGCACGTCTCTGGAAGGCGCCGCTGATTACTGCTACGAAACGCAACGAACCTGGGATATCATCAACCCGAACTCGATTAACCCAGCTTCGAAGAGGCCCGTTGGATTCAAGATTATCAACACAGCCGCTGCTCCCTTGTTAGCGAAGCCCGGTGGTGTCGTCCACAACCGCGCAGCCTTCGCACGGAAGCCTCTCTGGGTGCTTCCCTACAAGGATTATGAATTATACCCTGCTGGAGACTTCGTCTGCCAGTCGACCGGTCAGGAGAACCACCCTCATAACCAGACCATCCTTGACTGGGCCAAGCGGAACGAGTCTATCGAGAACACTGATATCGTCTGCTACCTCCAGTTTGGCCTGACCCACTTCCCACGTACTGAGGACTTCCCCATCATGCCAGCCGAGCCTGTCGGCATCATGCTCCGCGCTTCGAATTTCTTCGTCAAGAACCCTGGTCTTTGGGTGCCTCCCTCTTCAGTGTGCGTTGATACCATGTCTCGCAACGCCTTCGATACTTCCTGCTGTGCGGGCAGCAAGCCAGGAGACCATTCGAGGTTGTAGGTCAGAGAAAGCCTATGCTTCATACGATGTAGGATACCAGTGCGGTTGATGTGCAAAAGCGATTTTATATGTATTCTATAAGCATCAATAACAAGGATTAATCTATTATGGTTCATTTATATGTTCATGCATGAACTCTTAATCTGGTGTAGCCTGACTTGAAAGTAAAGTGACCAAGACACAATACTATATATACATTGCCAGATAACAATTTGCCAAAGATGTGGCCTGCTTCTCGTGATCTACACCATTGTTAACCTGCTTGATCGGTCGACTATGTTATCAAGAGAAAGGTTTGAGGGTATACGGCTGCTCAAATGAGCGAAAACCATTTTTTTTTTTTTCTGTTTTTTCTAGTTTTACATCTCAACGTCAACTCCAGATTAAACATAAACGACAGTGCATCTAAAACCCCAAGACCCCCCCTCCACAAAGACCACCACGAATCTTGCATCTTCCACGCTCTTTTTTTTCTTGTCTTTTCTTCCCTTTTTTTTTTTTTTTTTTTTTTTTTTTTTTTTTTTT